CAAGTCTTTCCTAGTAGTTTTGTTCATTAGAGGAGGTACCTTAAATACATAGAATAAGCAGAGCTGTAAATAATACTGGTTTGGTATGTCTGGGATGACAGATGTTTGGTTTAAATTTAGGTGTCTGTCTGAGGTCTTGTCATGCAGATCAGTTTTGGAGCTGTTGTGATTAGTCAGAAATGGGATAAGAGAAGTTTGCTTAGCTCTGCTACATATAATCTCCTACATTTATGTTGTGCCCTTTCATCCCAAAGTGCTTGACAAGCTATAGATCTAGTCTGAAGTCCTTACCCAGGCAAAACTCCTATTAATGCTCCCAATAAGGACATTGACTCAAACGTTTCTCCTTCTCTCCACCACTACTACACAGCATGGAGAGAGAAAGAAATCTCAAGATAAATGGCCACCCACATGCCAGTATACTGCTCTCTGTATTGGTTCCCCTATGAACACAGCATCCCACTCAATATAATTGTCCAAATTTCAAAGCTCATGTGAAATTGGACTTAGCTACTGCAGCTGTGGCCTTCTGTGGTGGTTATGTGCTACTGGGACAATTAAACTGTCAACCAGCTGAAAGTCACTCATGATTGCAGGATGCAAAACCTTCATAAAAGCTGGAGTGAGATTATGGAAATTACTGTCCCATGAAATTAGGATCATCACCTAATCATCATCATCATGCTCCCTTTAGAGCTAAATTCAAAACTCACCTTTTCAGCCAGCTTTTCCACGACAGCACCCTGCTTGCACCAACATTCACACTTACCGTGACCATTTGGGGAACCTATGCATGATATTATGCAGTTGTTAACTATGAAAATTGCTTCGTCATGAGTGCCTCTCTGTCGCTGTGTATCCATCATTCCTGATCAACCTTTAAGCCCTACCATACTAGAGACAATAATAGCTCACGAAAGCTCATGCTCAAATAAATTGGTTAATCTCTAAGGTGCCACAAGTACTCCTTTTCTTTTTGCAAAGACAGACTAACACGGCTGTTACTCTGAAACCGGAATAACGGATTAATTAAGGACCATTAGCATCTGAATAGGCCTTACCTGGGGAGAACAAAAGAGTAATTGCACCTTAGGAGAAACAGTTCTCTCTAACCTGTCTGCTGGGAGGGGTGGAAGTGGAGCAAGAAGAAAATTTCCAAAGTGGGATACTCAGTGGTCACAATACAGGTTATAAAGGGACTCACAGGGAAAAAGACTCAGGGCATGGCTACACTTGCAGATGTAGAGCGCTTTGAGTTAAACCAGCCCTCGGAGACCACAGCAGGGAAAGCGCTGCCATGTGTTCACACTGTCACCTGCAAGCACAGTGGCGTGGCCACATTTGCGGCACTTGCAGTGGCATTGGAAGCGGTGCATTATGGGCAGCTATCCCACAGAGCACCTCTTCCCATTCTGGCACCGTGACTTGTGGGAAGGGCGTTGTGCGGGACATTCTGGGTCCTGTCCCAATGCCCTGTGACGCATCACTTCGCATCCCAGCAATCCCTGTGCTTCTGTCCACATTTGGCACCATCTTTCAATGTTTTTCATACTGCGTGCTCTGTCTTCCCTTTCGGTCTGTAGTAATGGATCCTGAACTTGTGAGGAATATGCTGATGGGTCTTGCCAGCATGAGTTACTCCTTAAGCTACAAACTGACAGTGAGGAGTCCAATGATAATGTCGTCTCGCATAGCGCATATGACACGAGATTGCTTATAGCATTCACGGATCTGCTCACCACAGTGGAATGCCACTTTTGGGCTTGGGAAACAAGCACTGAGTGGTGGAATCATACAGTCATGCAAGTCTGGGATGACGAGCAGTGGCTGCAGAACTTTCGGATGAGGAAAGCCATTTTCATGGGACTGTGTTCTGAGCTTGCCCCCACCCTGCAGTGCCAAGATATGAGATTGAGAGCTGCCCTACCAGTGGAGAAGTGGGTGGCTATTGCAATCTGGAAGCTGGCAACTCCAGACAGCTACCAATCGGTCGCTAACCAGTTTGGAGTTGGAAAGTCGACCGTTGGAATCGTGTTGATGCAAGTTTGCAGGGCCATTAATCACATCCTGCTCAGAAAAGCTGTGACTCTGGGCAACATGGGTGACATTGTGGCTGGCTTTGCACAAATGGGTTTCCCTAACTGCGGAGGGGCGATAGATGGGACGCATATTCCAATTCTGGCACCAGATAACCTAGCCTCTGAGTACATAAATCGGAAGGGGTATTTCTCTATGGCTCTCCAGGTGCTTGTAGATCACCATGGGTGTTTCATGAACATTAATGCAGCCTGGTCTGGAAAGGTGCATGACGCACACATCTTTCGGAACACAGGCCTGTTCAAGAAGCTGCAAGTTGGGACTTTCTTCCCAGACCAGAAGATCACCATAGGGGAAGTCAAAATGCCCACTGTAATCCTTGGAGACCCCGCTTACTCTTTAATGCCAGGGCTCATGAAACACTACACAGGGAGCCGTTCCCTCTGTCTCACCGAATATTTCATTACATATACAAAGTGGAACAGCTCCAACAGGAGAGCTTGAGCCACTCACACTAGAATACGCAATAGGCTGGGTGCGAGGGCCCTCAGCTAGGATGTGGGAGAGCTGAGTTCAAGTCCCTACTCCAAATCAGGCAGTGCAAGGATCTGAAAGCAGGTCTCCCACCTGCCCTCACCAATTGGCTATAATGGGGTAGGTGGGTCCATAGGTGTGAGAAAGGGTTGATCCAGCTTAGTTGCCTAACTCCAGGTGAGGGTTGATGGCTGAAGATCCTTAGTGGAGATAGGCACCTCCCTGTGGCTTGGAAGTCAGAAGGCTTAAGGCCTAGATCCATGTGAGTTAGGTGTCTAAGTTCCTTTGCGAATCTGAGCTCCACCCCTTTCCTGAGCATTTCACTCCTGGCTAGCTTAGGCAGCACCCTGCTCAGCGTGCTGGCTTGGAAGGACCCCTTTCTTAGGCACCTGACTCTCCACAACATCGTCTGGAGAGCCTGGATGCCTAACTCAGGGCCGTGGCATTAGGCCTAAGTCCTGTTTGTGAAAAGAGCCCTGGGCTACCTTTTGAGTTTGTATAATGCCTAACACATTTGACTTAGGGTGACCACCTGTTCCGAATTGGGCAGGCCAGTCCCAAAATGCAGAGTTCAAGTCCCGCTCCTGGGCTGAATGACTCCAGGACAGCATTTGGCCCAGATTCCCTGTGGCATCACTCCACATCTGCCTGAGGCTCAGGGGCAGCGCCAGCCTTTTCCCAGGAGTGGGGGCTGAGCCTCTCACCACAAGGCCCTGTCTCCTGCTCTTCCTCTTCCCCATGAGGCTCCACCCCTGGCCAGGCCAGAAGCTGGAGCTGGGCAGTAATAAGAGCTACCGAGGGAGCCCGGGCCACTGTGCGGTCCGCTCCTGGGGCGGGGCCACAGGCTGGGGCTGCTCTCAGGCTTCCTGCCCAGGGCAGGTGGAGGGTCCGGGGCTCCCACAGTCCAACTCCAGCTTCTGGCCTGACCAGGGGGTAGGGCTCCTGCACGTGTCCCGCTTTTGCATTTTGAAAATGTGGTTGCCCTAGCTTGACTGGAAGAAATAATTGTAGTGAGAGCTTAAACAGGGTCTATATTTTGGAATGGGAACTGCAGGAAAAGAAACAAATGTTAAAATTGGCATTGTACACTGACCGGAAGCTAGCTTTACATCAGTGTCCACATATCAGGCTTCCATGACATTTCCATGACAAACTGATGCTACAGCCCAACAACTAAGTTATTGAAAATGCCCTGTACACAGTGCATGAGAGAAGCAAACAATTCCCCAAAAAGCACAGAAGTTGTTTGCCTTCCTTTCTTTGGGTTAGTGGGGAAGCGCCCATTTATTTAACCTCTGGTTGGATCAGGCCCCTTCACCTCCATGTTTCGATGGTGGACCATTGTCGTGAAACTGCTTATTCAGCGGTGAGCAGGTCCATGAATGTGTTAAGGTGACAAAGGCTGCCTATTGGTTAGATGGTTGCAGTGGGGCGGCATAGTGAGATATTATCGTAACTGGGAAACATATAATTTATATCTACTTTATAGCTGGCATTGGTCATTGTCAAAAGACAGGATACTGGGCTAGATGAACTATTGGTCTGGCCCAGTATGGCCAGTCTTATATATTTCCACAGTCATGGTAGCACCTCGTTGTTGCTTCTATTGGCTTAGCTGGTGTGCCGAGACGGTTTATTTACCTGCAGCATCCGCAGGTTCGGCTGATTGCAGCTCCCACTGGCCATGGTTCACTGTGCCAGGCCAACAGGGGCTGTGGGAAGCAGCGTGGGCTGAGGGATGTACTGGCCCCCGCTTCTCGCAGACCCAATCGGCCTGGAACGGCTAACAGTGGCCATTGGGAGCTGCGATCGGCCAAACCTGCGGACGCTGCAGGTAAACAAACAGTCTCGGCACGCCAGCTAAGCCAATAGAAGCAACAACGAGGTGCTACCATGACTGTGAAATATATAAGAACGGCCATACAGATACACTGTGTTTTTGCAAAGCTACAGCACGTAATCTATGGGTAAAGATGGAATTTTCCTGGAGTTTGTCAACTAACTGTTACTTAAATTACAAATCATGATGATATGGCTAATCAAGTTGGCTGCAGGGGATTTCATACATAATTAACCCTCGACCGTTCTATCCCAATCTTTTTATATCAAGTTATTAAGGTTATATATTCCATAACCGTATCTGTAAGGCAGTTTATTATCACCAATCTGTTTCTAGTGTGCATTACTTTCAGAGCTACTGAAAACAGAATTTTCTATGGAGGTCAAATGTTATCCCTCCCTTTCTAATTGTTCATTGAAGGGAACTGCTGGTATTCATAATCAAACATTCTTAATATTACTCTCACTGCATTAATGCAAAATGGACTATGAGGTGATAATGGCAGGGCAGAAATAATGAGTCTTTTGCTGCAAAGGGGATAATTATTAATATCTTTAATTTTCAATAGCAAGAGCTTTACCCTCTCCTTTAGGTACATTACAGTATCTGCTGTAGACTTTAGGAAAGGGGATCTATTATACTGAATGTATTTCTGCCATCACATCTAGGAGTTAGGAAAGTATTTAGACTGATCATAATTAAGTTCACTGACTGCTTTTTTCAGTACAACTCAAACAAAATCCAAAATTGCTTCAAATATTTATTTCCATGGCAAAAATAGACTATGATATATTCATTTCACATATATTACATATTCAGTAATACAAGCTTTTCTGTCTATGAAACACAATTTGTACATTGTTTTACACACCAATTTCAGTTTTACAAGAATTAAAGCTGTACTGATTATACATTTTTTACAGTATTGATGGCAATACAGCAACACATACATGTTAACCACTAGCTTGATACTAGAAAAATAATACTTGAAAATCCACATATGCTGCTGTTTAAACAAAGTAGTGTATACATCCCTGCATACTGGCTCGAAGGAAAAGGATGCAACTGGGGTCAGATCCTGCATTCCTTTGCCACATAGGGTTCAACCCCACAAGCTGTTGAAAACCCTTGACTCCCACTAACTTTAGTGAAAGTTAAGCAATCTCAGCAACTTGCAGGAATGCTTAGTCAGAACCTGATGAGTGTTCAGGACTTTGCAGGATCAAGATCCTAAAACTCCCACTGAAGTCCCATCCAATATCAGCAATACAGTTGACGGGCATTTTGGGTACAGAAATAGTCCAGGAGAGGGCCCTGTACATGGACTATGTTTATCTTCTTTGTGAGAATTCTCCAGCATTAGCAAGAAGATGGACTGGATGATCTAACAGATCTTTTTCTCTCTCTAAATAGAATGATTCTAGAAATCCAGTATGCTGAAAGTTTCTCATTATAGTACTTTCAGGTCTAAGTTTTGCTTTAGCTTTTCCTAACAGAAAAATGTCATCTAATTCCCTTTATAAGGTTAAGCATCTTCTGAAAAAGTGCTTCATAAAGATGATTATTTGGTAAGATTCTTACTGCTGAATATTTGAAATGAAATAATATGACAAAGTTTATACAAAACAATTGGCTAGCCTGCTGCAGTGCTGCATCTTTTGTCATCTGTATTCATTAGCTCCTTTGTACATCAAATTTAATTCCCGCCTCCCATCATCATCATCATTTATAGCCAAAGAAAGAACACCCCGAGAGAAAATACAGTGGGGGCACATCCTTCATTTCACAATGCAGTGTCTTGTGGAAAACTGTGACAAATGCTAATTTTTTGTTTTGAAATGCACATTAACAAAAAATTTGATTTTTTTAGTTAAGTACAGAATCTCTGCTGATTAGTAAAAAAATAATATACATGACCAAAACAGAATGAACCAAGTTAGCTGGTCCCAACAGCATCTTGGTAATAAGGTTTGACTGTACAGCCATGCCTAAAAAAAAGCTGTGAAAGTTTGTGAGATTATCTGAAGCATTAAGATCTCTGCATGTGCTGCACTGAAATATGACTTCTACGTTCATGGTTAAATGCTATCGCTTAAGGGCCTAATGTGCAGCCCAGCCTTAACCTGGCACAATGTAGGTCAGTCACATCTACTGTAAATACTTGCCTGCACCCAGAAAGCATGTAGCTGAACATCTAAATGACTAACTGCACGCACAAATAGTTGCCAGTGCAAACCCTTATTTTCCCCTGCTGTTTGCAAGTGTAACACCAGAGACCTGTGTTTGCAAATCTGACCCTAAATCTGTAAACAGACACTGAGCTGATAGGTTGCACAGAATAAACTTGCAAAAGAGAGTTTGGGGTGTTTTTTTTTTTTTTTTTTAAATAAACACAGCCTCTGAACTAAAATGTTTGGCGTTTCAAAAAGCACTTTTTAAAAAACCCTGCAAAAACAGAATCTGACTAAATAGTCACTTATCCTACTATGTCTCACAAAACATCCTATATGAATCAAGCCCTTCTGGCTGCTCTAGTGTCAATAAAAATTGTTCCAGAACCTTCATTTGCCTCTAGCCACTCCCTGCACCCTCACCCCCCATTCCACATGTCAGAGTTAGTACAATAGACAGATTTGGAGAAACTCTTACCCACGTATCCTTTTCATTTTTCAAGAGTCTACAGATGGAGAATACTGATCCACTGCTTTGGCCTATTCTAGGTATCTGTGTTTAAATTTAAAAGGAGATGTGAGTATTTAAGCTCTGTGGGCCTTATCCTGCACCAGTGCTGAGTGTTTTCAACTGCCACCATTGATTTCACAGAACTGAGGGAGCTCAGCATGTTGCAGAATTGGATCCTGGTTTTGCAAGAGTTTGTAGATGTGAATCAAATTAATTTGCGATTCTTTACAAATGTCATTGTTGGACTGTTCAATTTTGTGGATTAACATTGTCCCAGCCCCTCACCTGCTCCAAGGAAACCTCAGTTTCTGAGAATAATATTTTCCACACTACTTCCATAAATATCTTTGAATGGCAGTTTCACTTATTTGAGAAAGAAATAAAATAAATTATTAATCCGTTATTTATTAGCATTATGTTGGAGGGGAAAAGTTCACCTTTTTGTGAAACACTTAAAAGGCAAGTGAACAAAATTTGCTTTGTTTACCTTGTTTCTTCACAGTTTACAGTCAGCCCAATCTTGCAAAATGCCCATGACTTCATTAACCTGGCTGCACAGTGTTAAGACAGAGGCACCATAATACAAATACCTCTTTGGAAGGTAATTATTCAAGCACCTGGGGCCTGATCCAGAGAAGTCAATAGATACCCTCCCTCTCACCTCCATTGACTTCAATGGGCTTTGGATCAGCTGTTTAATGATTCTTCAGAAGTGGAGAATGGCTTCTGGTAATGAAAAGCCAAATACAAATAGTTCTTCTTTCACTGCTCAGCCCTGCTTATTAATTTAAGAAGCTACTTTGGCAGAATTCCCCGCATGCCTTAAGTATTAACCCAGCAATACACATGCAGGATTACATGGCGAGATAGAAGAGCACAAATACACTAATAGTAAAATGATGTTCTTTCAGTTTAGCCCATCTATGTGATATTTATAACACTCTTCTACATTTCTCTTTGAAAATACTGATGACAATTTACAGCTGTCTTTATAAAAAAAAAATCGAGCTCTGCTTTGCTAAGTTCCTTGTAATTAAATGTTTTTCTAAAAATATCCATAGATCCCTAGAGTTGTATTTTTAACCTGTTCACTTGTGTAAAGGGTTATTATGTGCACAGTGGACACTATGGCCTAAATCTGGCCCAGCTATCCACAGGGGTGTACATTCCTATATGGAGTGGGACCACCACATAGTTCTACTGTGCAGGCTGTGAAGAAGCTACATAGGAACTGTGTATGCCATGGAGTAATGCTCCATGGGACTCATGCCACAGAATTACGGAGGAGTGATTTACAGCCTGATCCAAAGCCTACTGAAGTCACTGGGCATCTTTCCATTGATTTGAAAGGGCTTTGGATCAGGCCCATAGAGAAGAGCTTGTCAATGACTGTACAGATCCACTGGCCAAAACTCTCACATCAGGGGAGTATGCAAAAGCCACTGCTACAGCCTCCAAGATTTTCTAGTGATTCTTAACTCAGGCCTTACAGAGTTAGGTCAACACAAGACAGCTTTAACTACGTAAGTGTCTACACTTAAATTTGGCTCCTACTGACATAACTTCCTGCTATGCCGACTTAATACTCCACCTCCACGAGCAGCATAGAGTCAAGATGGATGTAGTTTGGTTGATGCAGTGTCAGTGTAGACACTATGTGGCTTACATTGACCATTACTGGCTTTCCAGAGCCGTCCCACAATGCCCCACACTGACAGCACAATTGATGCAAGTGCTCTTGGTGAGATTGTGCATTGCCGACAAAGGAGCAAGTGATGCACAAGTGATGTAATTACTGGATTGGCTGTATGCCCATGTAAGTTAGCTCGACTTAATTTTGTAGTGTAGACATGGCCTCAGACTTTGCAGGGTTTTACAGAATTTGATCCTAAAAAAGCATTTTCCATTTAGTCCCACAAAAGAGAGAGAGTGAAGTCTCACTATGTATTTCCAGTAGTAGCATCCTTAATTGTCCCTGAGAATTCTGAAATTCTAAGTCTGAAAAAGAGCAGTATCTTTTCCCTGCTATTTATTGCAAGATCATCTTTATTCAACAGACGTTCTATAACAAAGACTACAGCTTAAACTTTAATTATCTATGTAGTTTCTCCCACGTATTTCTACATCAGTAGGATAGGAAAGTGGATTTGGTGAACCTGGCCCCACTTGGGAGTGGAATTTTAAGCCTTTGGCAAATAAATGCACCTGCAACCCTGGCTGGGGCTGGGTTTAGCAACAGATTCCCTTGTAATGCTCAATATTCTATGAAGAAACATGGTACAGATATCCATCCAGTTTGCATGGACAAATGTGTGGTTTTGAAGGTTCAAAGCATTTGAATGCTAAAACCTGAGTATACATTTAGACTTAAACACCGTTTCTTAATTAGTTCAATAGCAATTTTAAATTTCATTGTTACAGAGAGCTGTTGAATTTCATTTTTATTGAAAAATCTTTTGGAGAGAAACGGGTTGGCTAGAATGCTCTCAGAGCTGGATCCAGCAATTCTTACTCACACGAGTAATCCCACTGATTTATATGAATGTTCATGCTGAAGTAAGGTCTATATATGAAAGAACTGCAGAAGTGGGCCCACGAGGCCAGATTCTGAGAGGTGCGGATAAACCATTTGACATATAAGTTGCAGGTAGTTTGTAGGTTAGCAGATGTGAATTATAGTGTGCCACATCTTCAGCGATTAGTTTCCTCTGGATCAAGGCATTGTTCCTGCTAGGTGTGGTTCTGGTTGGGCAAAGACATAGTAAGCATGTTGTCTTAGGCCTGCAGTTAAGAGGAAGAGAGGGTTTTCTCTGTAGTGCTCAAACTCATTTATCATCATCATGTTCCCATTACGCCTCTGGCGTTTAGGGCAGTGACAAAGCTCCTCCACTCCTGTCTGTTTCTGGCAAGTCTTTCAATGGTTCCCCAGCTTTTTTCCCCAGGTTCCTCCAAGTTTTTCAGCTCAGCTTTCACAGCTCTTTGTCATGTTGTTTTCAGACAGCCTCGTTTTCGCTTGCCTTCAGGTGTCCATCTTATTGCCACTCTGGCGATAGAATCAGTTTCCACCCGAAGCACATGGCCAATCCATCTCCAACGCCTCCTGGCAATGATGGTGCTCAGATCCTCTTGGCTGCACTGTGTAGTAGATCTTGGTTTGAATTTGTTCTGGGCCAAAAGATATGGAGGATTTTTCTGAGGCAGGTTATATAGAATGAAGATAGTTTGGACAAGTCATACTTTCTCATTCCCCAGAATTCTGCACTATAAAGTAACGTTGAAAGTACGCAGCTCTGATCAATCTTGAGTTTGGTTTTGGTTTTGTATGTTGATGATTTCCAGACTGTATGTAAGGTCCTGAAGGTGTTCCTGGCTTTATTGATTTTGCTCCGGATGTCCTGGCTTGTTCCATCATCCTGGCTGGTGGTGCTGCCCAAATATGTGAATGTTTCCATACTGGTGAGAACATAATCCTCTATCCGTGATGGTGAGGCAATAGTAAAGGTCATGATATCAGTCTTATTGCAGTTAATTTTCAGTCCAATTTGCTGGCTGAATGCGTTGAGTCACGTTGTTTTTTCTTGTATATGGTGTTGGGTATGTAATAGTGTGAGATCATCTGTGATGTCCAAGTCTTCAAGGGATGAGAAGGGTGTTCATTTAATGCCTCTCGGCATGTCTTCTGTTGTACGCTGCATTACCCAGTCAATGGCAATGTTGAAGAGGATTGAAGATGTGACACACTTCTGATGTACTCCTGTTTTGACTTCAAAACTGAGCTCACTGTGATCAACACTGCATGTAATGTTGAAATAAAAGCTTTTGATTATGTTGACTATATGGAAAGGGATTCCATATGCCTGCAGAATGTCCTCTGGTGTCTGTGCCTTGTCATGGCGGGACAGCTTGCATGCTCTAATGATCCCCAGAGTCTGTGTTGGCGGGGGCTGTTTGCTCCTGGTAGGTTCAGCCATGCCGGATTGGTCTGTGGGAAAAGGTCCAGACAAAACAGACACCCTGGTCTTCCAGGTTGGGGGTTAGGCATAGAGCTAACAACCCTGTCCCATAAAAAACAAAATATGTTACAGAAACAGTGATGGAGAAATAACCATTTCTGTGTGTGATGGCTTTCAGGAGTCAATGACCCATATGACTGCCAGTGGTAACAGCCAAAAGGAAGCCACTAGCATGAAGACTGAAGTGTTCAACAGCAAGACAAAAACCAGACTTGGTTTTTGGAACGTAGGGACAATGTACGAAAAAGGGAAGATAGCTCAGGTCACAGCAGAGATGAGACGCTACAGCTTACACATCCTGGGTATCAGCTAGAGCAGATGGACGGGATCAGGAAGATTAACAGACTCAGGAGAAACTTTGCTGTATTCTGGACGGGATGAGGGACAACACCATGAGGGTATTGTCATCCTTTTGAAGAAGGGAGTGGAGCATTCCCTGCTTGAATGGAAACCCATCAGCAGCAGATTTATGAAAGCCAGACTGAAAGGGAAGACATAATATCACCTTGATTCAGTGCTATGCTCTGACAAATGACAGCGATGAAGAAATAAAGGACAAATTCTACCTTACATTACAGGCGGAGTTAAAGAATACCATGCCATGACCTAACTATCATCATGGGAGACCTGAATGCCAAGGTCAGTAAGGACAACATAAACAATGACAGAGCAATGGGAAGACATGGGTGTGGCACCATGAATGAAAACGGAGAGAGGCTTGTTGGTTTCTGTATTATGAATGACCTAGTCATCAGCAGAACCCTATTTCAACATTGTGAAATTCACAAGCTGACATGGTGTTCTCCAATGGCAGAGAGAAGAACCAGATTGACCATATCACAATCAGTGGAAAATGGTGACGCTCACTGATAGATGTGAAAGTGAGAAGGGGTGCAGATGTTGGTAGCGACCACCACCTTGGGACAGCCTCCATCAAGCTAAAATTAGAAGTGTGGGCCCACCAAACAAAGGGACATAGACATTATGATATTGACAAACTAAAGGCCCCTGAAATACAGAAAGCCTTCATTCTGCAGTTGCAGATCTCGGTGAAGAGGAGGGGAATGCAGATGAGGAGAACAACAAGAAGTGGGACAAAGTAACAGCAATTTATAAACAGAGCAGTGAAGCCTGTCTAGGCTACAGGCAGAAGAGAAGGAAAGAGTGGATTACATCCAGCACATGGAACGCCACAGAAACCAGACAAGCCCTGAAGAAAAAAGTTTTAGGCACAAAATCCCAGAAGCTAAAAGGACAAATACCGCGAGCAGTATAACAAGGCACACCGGGAAGTCAAACGCCTTGTGAGAACGGACAAACAGCATTATATTGATAATCTGGCAACACAAGCAGAGAATGCAGCTGCTTGTGGTGAACAAGGAACAGTCTACAAAATGATGTGGCTTATCAGTGGTAAACGTCAGACACCAACAAACACTCATCAGGGTCAAACAAGGCCACCTACTATCAACCAAAAAAGAACAAGAAATGCGCTTGTCATGAATATAGGGGGAAGAGTAGCATAAAATCCCTCCTTGGCAGCTGTACTGGATTCCCTTACCTGTAAAGGGTTAAGCAGTTCAAATAACTGAGTTGGCACCCGACCAGAAGGATGAATGAGGAAAGAAGATACTTTCAAATCTAGGGAGGAAGGATTTGTTTGTTGTTCTGTAGTTTGTTCGCTCTCCGGACAGAGGGAGAAGCCAAGCAGGTACAATATCTCCTGAAAATATACCTGGAATAATCCATCTAAAACCACAGAAACTGTGAGTAGGGCCAGGAAATGCATTAGGTTATCTTTTGTTTTGGTTCACATTGCTAAAGCAACTGGTTGGTAGTTTATTCTCAAGCCTCCCCAGGAAAGGGAGTGAAGGGTTTGGGGGGGGATAGGGATTCCAAGTGACTCTTCCCTGAATATTATGTGTAGATCACTTGGTGGTGGCAGCAATATCAGTCGAAGGAATTAGTTCCTGAGAGAAGTTTTAACCTAAGCTGGTAAAATAGAAGCTTGGGGGTCTTTCATGTGGGTCCCCACATCTGTACCCCAGTGTGCGGGCGGGAGGGAGGGGGGCGACAGACAGCGCTGGACAGAGCATTTAAAGAATTGCTGAACAGGGACCTACCTAAAGAGAAAGTAAATATCCAGGAGGCAAAAGATGATCTTGATATCAACACAGATATCCCAGCTAAGGAAGAGATCATTCAAGCCATCAAATCCTTAAAAAATGGGAAAGCTCTTGGCAAGGATAACTTGAATGCAGAATTGTTCAAGGTAAATCCTGAGTTAGCAGCATTTATCCTGGCCCCTCTATTTACATCAGTCTGGGAAAGGGGAAAAGTGCCAGATGAGTGGACCAATGGGTTTATTTATAGTGAAGATACCAAAGAAAGGAACTCTCAGTGATTGTAATAACTGGCGTGGTATCACACTTATCTGTGCCAAACAAAGTATTGTGTAAATTCATAATCCAGCATACATCAGAGGCAGTTGATCGCGTTCTCAGAAAAGAGCCAGCTGGTTTTCGGAAAGGGCGTGGATGTACAGACCAGATCATCACTTTATGAAACATAACAGAACAATGCTTAGAATGGCAACGGCAACTCTACATAAAACTTATTTTTACCAAGGGCAATATGAATTGGAAAGGGCATCAAAAAACACTACATGGCTCTTGCAATCTACCCCAAAGTAATATTATTTTTTGGAGGAATGATATTTTAACACTGTCATTTGGACCTTGTCTATCATTTTGGGAGCAGATCATTACAGAGGAAACTGAAGCAACCCTTTATTATCCTTTAATTAATAATTTCACAATTTTTTTCTTGTGAAGGGAGCTTTTAATCTCTTACACTAGGGCTTAAAGCTTCCTCACAGCTAATCAGAAGTAAATGGCACCATCCTGACAGTCATAAAAATGACTAACAAATAAATGTTAATCCCATTCCATTCTGCGGAGCAGGTTTATCTCTGGGGGAGGTACAAAATGTTTGTCTGTTTGTTCACTGACTGGTCCTCCAAAGATTTAGGGATTGAATTGACCACTAGACATCTACAAACAGAGAGAGCTCTTGAATCGAGCTGTTTGTCACTAAATCTCAAAGCACTTTACAAAGATGGGGAAACATTATTACCCCTGTTTTACAAATAGAAAAACTGAGGCACAGAGAGGTGAAGTGATCTGACTTAGGTCACACAGTGAGTTAGTGGCAGACCAGGGAACAGACCCTCAGGTCTCTTGACTTCCAGTTTCATGCCCCATCCAGTGACTATGTTGCTTCTCTTTCAGCAAAGGAGGTCACTAAAATACCCACATCTCCAACATCATCATTGTTTGAGTGTTGCTGTCTTTCTCAGATGGCCTCCTGTATATCAAACACCCTTAACTCAACAATACCATACAAGGCTAACGAAAACCTTTCTGCTGATTAACAAAATAAGCTTAGGAATTCTATGTAAATTAAGATGTTTTTAAACTTTTCTTGCTAGAGAGAGTAAAAATTAATACTGAAGTCTTTGCACTAACCACGTGCAACCAAAAATCACAGCTGTCACACTTGCACCATCATTTGCACATACTCATTCCCCATTCACCACTATGCCAACTTCCTACTTTTAAGTTCTGTTATCTCTCACTTCATCATTTCCAAAGGCTCTTCCTAAATTAACAGTTAGGTTAGTAATGGTACTTTAATCTATTAAATGATATATGGTTACAGTTTATATGCTTAGCTATATAAATGAGAGCAAAAAAAAGTGCTTAAAACATTTGCATCCACTTCGATTTCAACCAGTAAAATCAAACTGTCCTCTAAATATATGAATAATACTGAATATATACCTCCTCTTGTCCATTTTGTTACCTAGAACCCTGTAGGTAACTGACTTTCTCTTGTTCATTTACTTTTACCTAAAACCGTTGACAGTAACATCTTCCCCTTGCTGATTACCTACAACTCTGTAGGTAACTGTGCCTCTCTTACCATTTATGCCACCTAGAAATGTGTAGGCAACAATGCCTTCTACTTGCCTATTTTATTACCTAGCACTCTGCAGGTAACAAGACTTTTCTCGTGTCGATTCTACTACCTAGAACTCTACAGGTACCAACAGTTTCCTCTTGTAGTTTTCCCTTTTGTACAAATCTTGAAAAGTTAATTTGAGTGTCTTCATTTCTGCTCTTCTCTGAACAATTGTGCTGTTTATAAATGTATAGCTCTTTGAAGACTAAAAAAATTAAATTTGCTGAATAGAAAAATAACTGTCCTGATGTTTTTAGGTTTCTAGCAGCTGCTGGTTCTGCTAAATGAACCAGAAGAAACCAAGTCTAAATACAAAATGGAAAGTAGAGCGAGACTACTTAAGACCTTGGCATTCCAATGAGGCAGTCATGCCCCTCATTATGCAACTCTACAGATATTTTTTCCATGCTCAGAGCTAATGCTCTGTTTTTTAAAAAGCAACTTAGATAAAAAATCCGATTTCCAAAATTACCCAGTGTACTTTTGGTAAAGTTGACAGTTAATTTACCTAGAGTAACACAATCGCAAGAAGGTGGGCAGGTACATCAGAAGAGCACAGTTGTTTTAGGTTAGAACCTTCCTGACATAGCTGAACACAGAAAGAAGTTAGTCCAGTCAATATCTTGCTTTGCAAAGGTTGATACCTTGCACTTGCATTTAATATCCCCACACCATGCCAAAAAGGTAACTCTGCATGAGTCATCTATTGAGGAAAACACAAGAAAGGCAAGTCTGCCTGGACAACTGCAATTCTCCTTTTATAAACTCTTGAGGTGAATGAATCCCATAGAAAGTGGTAGGCGTCATATAAGCCTAGAACTTTTGAGGAACTGAATGAGAACTCCATAGACGAAAGTGTATTGACAGAGAGTCTGCACCATCATCATCCTCTGCTGCCTCAGCATGTCCAGCACTCTTGGGATGTCCAGCATCTGGAAAAAGAAAGAAGTTAACTGTTATAATGACTGGTGATTAATAAGTCTGAGGTTTGTTCTTTCAAAACAGGAGAGATGTATGATCTAAGCACAAAGTCAGTAACTCCTGAGCTCTGATCTCAGCTCAGACAATTAACCCTCAGTGGCCTCGACCAAGTCACTTAAATTGTCTGCCTCATTTTCTTTATCTGTAGAAAGGGCTTAATACTAATTTGTCTACTTCATAATGAGGCTTAATAATTTAATGCTTGGCAAGTGCTTTGAAGATGAAAAGCAGTGTCAGGTGTAAATACTAAGTATCATCAGCATAAATAAAGTGTCTTAGTTTCAGTATCATCTTTCAGAGCACATTCAAAAATGAAAAAAGCAACAAGTGCAATAGTCTATAGCTGGTCACCTTGGGTGATGGCCAGACAGGGCTAATGTCTCCTCTAAATATTTTTATTAAACTGTCACACTGTCTTCTACACAATATTAGTATTATAAATACAGATACACCCAGCAACCAGGCAAATCTAATGAAGTGCAGGGACTAGACTGAAAAAAATGCATCTGTAAAAATCAGTCATAAAGCCAAACTAGCAAGATGCTGGGTACCCTCAGCTCCCACTGAAGTCCACGGAATGTGAAGATGCCCTGCACCACACAGGCATTGATCAGCACCTTGCAGGACAAGATTCCGGAATGAATAATACATTTTAATGCACACCTGATGCACTAGTAATCACTTTTACAATATTACTAAAGGTGGTGAGCTCGTAAGGGTTCTCCCACCCTCAGCAGTAAGGATTTTCCATAGGCCACACCATAAGTGCTCAATAGCAGTACAACACTTATGATCTGGGTCACCTGAGCAATCTCCACATACATATACCAAAGCTTTTATTTTAAAACATAGGCAAGAAGATAACCTCATTGTGTTCCAAACAGGCAATCATGATCTCTGACAGTATGACCACTCCCGTTCTTCCTACACCTGCGCTGCAGTGCACCAATACAGGAGGGTTAGAGCTTTTAGGATCTGCTGTGCTGTTTGTATGGCGCCGCACTGATTGTATCTCCTCCAAGTATGCTGTCCGTTCCAATGGAAAAGAAAAAGACACGTAAATATACATATTATATCACTACCATTGTAACTAACATCAGAGAACAAACTGCAGCATTCCTGACAATGATCATTGATTTACTGAAACATTTTTAACAGCCCATCAAAACAAAAGGAAGGATTATTTGTTTGCCTGGGTGGGCTCTTGGGGAGGTTATAGCCTAATTCTCTTTTGCTGGAGAGCTGTTAAAGTGACAGAATGCAGTGTAATTATGTTTCAATTTATATGGTTTTTAATAATTATGTACATCAGTTTAGAGGCAGAAAGACACACATTTCTACAAAAACCAGCAATCCAACATCCATCACTGGTGTGAAGAAACCTTTAACATCAGTATGATCTACAACCATAGGAGGTGGTGCGGCTAATGGAGGGGATGAACACAACTTACACAGAAATCCCTTGGGATCATCTGGGCACCCGTGCTCTGGCCAGTCAGTGTACTGCAGATGCCAAACTGTTCTCTCCTGCCCTGTGAGAAGGTGTTTGATCTTCAAGCCTGTAGTTGCATAGCAGCCAGAGTCTGTCCGGAATCGTGTAGTAATCTTAAATCTCCCATAGGTGACAGTGTTGTGCCTTGAGCCAAGCCGGGGCCAGTACCTGAAGCTCTTTTCTCGCCCACCCTCCTTGGAAGCAAAGCATTGTAAACATAAGGCATGAACACACACACACCTGAACTTGCTGTAACAATCCCGACATTTCTACCCCACAATGTATCGCTAAAGGGCTTCTCCACACACAGACTCAGACTTAGTAAATGAGGAAACCATTTCTAAGGCTGAGTCTACACTAGAATGGTTGGCCAGTATAGCTATCTCAGGAAATTCTCCGAGTGGAGACCAGTTTATACCAGCAAAACTTCTACCAGTTCCCTGAATAAAAAACTATATTGTCAAAAGGATTTTTTTGCTAATATAAAAATATCACACAGGATCACGATCCTAACTAACGTTACTAGATCAACAAATATTTCTAAAGTAGACCTGGCCTAAGGACCCACCTCTTCTGCTGTCACCATTGCTATAATGGCAATCCCTTGTTCCCACACCATCTGCCAGAAATCCTGACATGTATTCTGCAAAGGGCCCTGTGTAGCTATATAGTCCCACTCAATGCCACTGACAGAGACCTGTAAAAAAATGCAAAAGGAGAATGTTAAATTACTGGTTACCAAGAAAGTTGTTTGCAAAGTGAGCGACTTTAAAGTTTGGAGTTGCAAGTAACATTTGGGAATCAAACGAGGCCACTTGTAAACCATATAAATCTGACTCCACCTAGTATTTGCACCCTGTCGTGTTGTAGTCATCATTTATATGGTCCTTTAAAAAAGTTAAATGAACATTTAGAGGAGAAAAACAACTAGAGACATAGTATTTTAAAAACCAACTATACTGGACAACTGAGGCTACATCAACATTATTTCATATTGGGTGAATTCTGTGCATTTAGACAAATTAGGCTTTATAGACATTTTCTAGCCATTTCAATGCCATTATTACAGCATTAAAGTGAGTCTACACTAGTCAGAATGTTTTTCCTTCCAATTTTGATTCAGGAAAGTCAAAATGCTGACTTATAGCTTGTTATCAAGTATGGAAACTGTTCGATACTATGCCAGGCAGCAAAAGGCCATTAAAAAACATAACCTTGTTTAGAGCTGCCTCCAGATAAGAAGGAGATCTTAACTCTCTTTAGAAGCATTAAATCATTTAGGACTATAACCCACCTCCCTGTGGAAACATCCACTGGAAAAGGGCAAAGGGCCCTGGCCCCTGGAAATCCTATGAAGTTCACCTTGCAAGAGGTTCCTTATAATCTTTGAGGAAAGAGGCTTGGGCAAGGGAGAGGGATTATACTGTGAAGAGCAGTTTCCCACCTGGCTCCATCTACTCCCCGTGACCAGCCAGGAAAGTTCCAGCAAGAAGCTAGCATTCCCACAGTCTGTGCTCCCAAATCCACGGAAGGAGAGGGAACAATAGGGCCCTCAATTTCAGTTCTTTAGGTTGGGTGTGTGTGTCTCTGTCTCTCTCTGCTGAGAATGGAGTCAGACTGGGCAATTACAATACCTGACACATATATACCATCTTTGATCTCAAAGGACCCGCATCATGGATTAAGGATTATTGCCCAGCATGTCACATCCCCAAAGCATTGATTTACCTTCTATTAATGTATGACAAATTAAAAAGAGAAAGCAACTAAATGAACAGTATATGGCAGACACCTCAGATATCTGACCATGAAGTCTCTCTTAAGGCCTAAGGGCTTGTCTACACCGAGACTTAATGCGTGGTAAAGCAGGCCCTGTAGCCTGTCACTCACTAAGTGGCTGTGTGGACCCTGTTACTATGCTCTAAAGGTTTCATTGTGTGCTGTGATGTTCTGCCGTTTCAAAACAGCGGTACGTCAAAGTACACTACAGAACTTTTAGTGCGCGGTAACAGAGTCCACACAGTTGCTTAGTGTGTGGCAAGCTACAGTGCTGCTGCGCACTAAATCTCCATGTAGATGTGACCTAAGGAAAAATCTCTCTTCCTTAAAATAGTGAATATTAAGCCAACATGAAAAGGGAAAGAGGGACAGACTGAGCACTTACCCACACTCATCTATCAGTCAGTTTTTCCAATATCAGTTCTAACACTTCTCTTAGTATAACAGTTGCAATCCCCTACACAGTTAAGAGAAAGAAAAGTCTCTCCCAGCAGCATCATGCTGCTCTGAAACTAGTACCACCAACTGAGATCTTCATCACCAAGACTCTCCTCATAACCCCTGGTGCCCGTGACATTTCGAAGTGCAGAGGTCAGTGTGCTCAGTCAATCCAGCACGTCAACTACCCTGGCAACATTTTTAGGCTATTCAGAATTATTTTAACAGAACAATAAAGAGGCTTTTGATACTACCTGCAAGGAGACTGAAGAATCCTTCTGCAAAACGTTCTTCATCAGTGTTAATCTTACCTTAATATGGGATGCATTGATATAGCCAGTGTTGTTTTCTTTGGTTGGGACCAGCTCCACTCTGGCATCATCATAGGGGAGGACATCCTGGAACCTGTTTCGTTCTGCATTTTCAGGGAGCCGGGCTATTGAGCACTCTCCATCTATAAGCCTTTTCTTTTGAATCCGCTCATACTCGGTAAACACCATTCCTTGTTCTAGCCGTTGTTCCAGAATTTTACACTAAAAGACAGAATAAGATGATCATACAATACCACATCCCAACTCAATTTTATTCTTAACACTTCAGTGAAAAGAATTTAATAAAAAAAAATCATCACAAATGTCTCACTTAATTTTTTAAAAGCCCCCTCCAACTACCACTGTTTTTACAATCACAGTAATTCATGAGTGGCCAAATCTTGGGGTCTTTAAACTAATTTATGTTAATAGGAGTTCTGTCTAAGTGACCATGGATGAAGAAAGTAAGGATATGGCACTAGGAGATGGAAATAGTAAATAACATTGAAAAATTATTCCTTGATTTCTATATAGACAATCCAATTAGACATGGAAACATTTTGCCAAACAAGGTAATTAGGACAGATTCTCTACAGGTATTTGAGGCAAGGATAGATAAATTTGGACGGGGATGTGTGCAGTCCTTCCTGCTTGATGTAGCAGATTACAGTAGCTAATTTGAGAGGTATCTTCCAACTCTATTATCTGGTCAGCTTTGTTGTTCAAGTGGAAGAGAAAAGCTCTCCAGATTCAAAACAAAGTGTTTGTTAAATGAATAAATTCAGCACACTTTGCAAATACTCTGTTTTATCAGCCTGCAGATGATAAATGTTGAAGATGGCAGCAAATCCTTCCAACAAACTCCTACTACAGATGAGGTATAAGCACAAATTCCTCCTACCATGGTAATTCTATTTTTCACTATTTTCTGTATTATTTTTCATTTATGTTTCATTAATTGTTTTATTTTTATTTAAAAAGACCTGCTGAAAAAACAGTTTTTCCCCCCCAAGGCCAAATACTTTCTAATCAGAAGAGACTTTTGGAATTTCAGCATTTTGGGGGGGATGAGGGAAACACAAGAAGATTTAAGCTAGAGAACTGTGTGTGTCACATGAACCAGACTCTCACAGTAACATCAAAACAGCCACACAGTATGAGACAAATCAACCATCTAGTCTGGTATCCTGTCTCTAACAGTTGCCGTTACCAGATGGTACAGAGAAAGGTGTAAAATCTCCACAACAATTCATACATCAGCACACTCACAGGGAAGTTTCTGACTTTGTTCTTGGTCAAGTTTTCTACTATGAAATTGACTAGCAAGGGCACAGTAGCGAGAATCTGAGCTTCAGAAATAGATGCTGAACAAACTTCTTGGTCCTCCAAAAATATCTGAAGTCCTCTGAAACTGGATTTTCTCCCATTACATAGGTCTGAATGGTTTTGTCTGTGCCCTATGTAAGTGGTAAACTTCTTGTTTGTGCAGCATCACGCACAACAGTGCTCAGTGTTATAGTGGCAACAATATCTGTTTTTTAAAGCTTTAACTATTTGCTTCAAGAATGACTCAATTCTTTCTTCTAATAGATTCCTGTGGGTGGTCCTGGGCAATTGCGCCTCTGCTGTATTGGTTCTGCTGCATACAGGTCTGCAAGGTTCTATTTTGTCACCCTCCTATTCAACATGCACTGCATACAGGGCTGCTGGGAAAGACAATGCAGGGATGTGGATGCAGAGGACACACATCTGACTCCTTTTCATCTAACCTATCAGCGCAGCTTCCCCGTTTTCCCCCAAGTGCTTGGGAAAAACTGGGGTGTGGATAAAGTGTGCTCACTGAAGCTCAAGTCAGACCCCCCCCCCAAAAAATGATGCTGATAGGTAAGAGGGAGCATGTGAAATATGGGGAAACCTGCCATCATTAATGGCTGTGTCTGTTTGCTAACTTCAGTGACAATGTGGTGTTATTGTAGGTCCCCAGCATCTGCTAGACTCCTATGGTGCGCCTATGGCTAAAAATGCCATTTTCTATCTACATTTGTCCGGAAAACTACAACACCTCTCTCCAGTGTGTGGACCATACTCAGTTATCCAAGCCTTTGAGATCCCCAGAATGGATTACTGCTATGTGCTTGACATTGGATTACCCTTGGAATGATATTGGAAGCCATTTGGAAGTTTGTAGTTGGTGCAGAATGTGGTTTCTCACTAAGGGCTCAGTCTTGCAAGGTTCTCAGTGACCTTCTCAGTGAATTGAGTTAAAGTGGAGATGAAGTTAAGCGTGCTGTGTTATGCACAGAATCAGGTCCTTAAGTGTTGGCTGAAGCATGCACTTTACACTACTTCTCCAAGGACTACACTGGCTTCCTCTATGCTCCTGGGTATAATTCAGGGTGATTACATAGGGTTCTATTGAACAATATTGTTCGGGTTCTGCCTATTTTCATCCCATATCCTCTCATGACACTTAGATTAGCCAGAGTGACCTTGCTTATGCTGCATATCATAGAATCATAGAATATAAGGGTTGGAAGGGACCTCAGGAAGTCATCTAGTCCAACCCCCTGCTCAAAGCAGGGCCAATCCCCAATTTTTGCCCCAGATCCCTATCAAGGATTGAACTCACAACCCTGGGTTTAACAGGCCAATGTTCAAACCACTGAGCTATCCCTCCCACCCTAAACAGCTAGAAGCTGGGATCAAGGCATTCTCAGTTGGATGACCCTCAACTTTAGAGCCTACTTCCCCCCACAGGTTTGAGACGGTATAAATGTGTTTATCTTCATGGCATTGTGTAAGATCCATCTTTTTTTTCCAGGGTTTTTCCTGAGGAGAAATATCAATGTGACCTGCAAAGACCTGAACCCTGATGAATTCTAACTAGGATACTTGTTGTTAAATTTTTATTATTATTTGTTAAGCACCAACAGTAATGAGTCACAGAGAAAGTCACAGCCTCTACCATGAAGAGCATACGCTCTAGACAGGGATACAGCTCAGTGGGAAATGAAGGGAAACTTTCTAATTTAAAAAACTCTGAATAGTATTTTAACTACTGCCCACATGCCCAGGAGCTGGATGATAGGTGAATCTTACATATCTTAAAAAAAAAAAAAAAAGAAGAACAAAAAACAAAAAAAAAACCCTTTCATCCTTAGTCTCATAAAGGCACTTTTACCAACAACTAACCAATAATTAGAAGTCTCTTTCACCGATTTGCTGTCACCTTCTAGGTCTGAATTATTTTGAGGGTGAGACATTATAGAAATTAGCACAAAACACAACGATGCAGTTAATTTTTAAGATTGCCCAGCTAAGAGAAACCAAATACTCTAGAAAACTTTAACATACCCGTTCATCATTTGTTGCTCTGGTAGGCTCTTCTTTACCCTCATCTGGCAAAGGCATTCGAGACAAGGTTAGTCCATTTAGGGCAGCTAGCTTCAGAGGCCCTATTTTTTTTGCATCAGTTCTATTCTTTTTCATACCCTGCAGAAAAATTGTAACATTCACAAAACAGATTACGATGTAGTCTTCACAGGGGTTAAGCTTAATAAAGGGGACGACTGACTCCCTTTTGCAAACAGAAGACAATGCACAGCCCTTTCTCTTTGCTAACCACTGTGTAAGAGATTGCAGTGGTAAAGCCACATTCTTTCCTAGGACGGGACACCAGTCTGACTTCATTCCAGATACACGTTTCTGGAACGCCACAAGAATGACAAATATTGTTCTCTCCAAGGCTAGGTCACATTGTGACAGGCAATTTTGGGCAGTTTACAGTCCTCAATAGAATTAAAATCTCTAACAGTATGAATATGACAGAAAAAAATACAACAATGGTATATCACACACATCAAAATGATTATGTGCATCAGACTATATAGTTTATAGGCCCAGTTTTCAGAAGTGGCCCCAGAGCGCACAATTTTATGGGTGCATTTTATAGCATTTAGATGCACAAGCATTAGACTGCAGCGGGGGGGGAGGAAGGAGAGCGGGTTCTTAAATGTCAAACCAGGTAAAAAAAAAGCCTACAACAAATTTCAGATGCAAAAATGTGGTCAAGTCTTAGAGGCAGAGTTAAGGGCCTTTGGAAAAATCAGGGCCTGAATCTTTAATTTTGCAGTATTCGCTTACTGTTAGAGGAAAATATTAGTACAAATTCAGGGGGATTTTTGTGTTAAGAACCATTCCACCATAATCTTTTAAACACTTATTTACTAGAGAAAGCAAATGTCTCAATCCTATAGTTTATAAATTTGGCTTCTAACAAAAATAATAGACCTAAAGAATATCTCACAGTGAAAAAAACTGAAACAGAACATGGGCACATGTGGTGTGTGAGTGAAAAATCATTACATCCAAGAGCTAAAAGGCAGTAACAGAAACAAAAACACTGCTAATTGCCAAAGCTAAGAGAATGGGACTCTGTGCAAGAATGAATGAATGGAAACCCAATAATGAAGGACCACAATGGGAGCAAAAGACGTCATGGAAATAATGCCTCTACCAGTCTTATCGGGATATAAATGTCAGTATTAAGTCTTGAAAGGAATTAGGTTCTATCTATATTGTTTGCAGGGTTGTTGTAGCAATGTTGGTCTCAGGATGAGAGAGACATGAAGTGGATGAGGTACTGTCTTTTACTGGACCAACTTCTGTTGGTGAAAGACAAGCTTTCGACCTCCACAGAAGTCACCCCAATAAAATATATTTCCTTACCCACCTTGTTCTAGCTATATTTTACAATAACTAAACAAAGTTACTTGCTGAATAAGACAGTATTCTATTGAACATTTCCAATGAGTAAAGGACATCTTAATTTAAAACTAAAGTGAGAGTCTCTCTCAGCAAAAGCAAACTAATTACAAACAGTAGAAGGAAAAAGCAGGGTAGCTTCACAAATGTCTCAAAAACATATACCATGTAAAGAGCAAAAAGAAAAGGAGTATTTGGGGCATCTTAGAGACCAAGAAATTTATTTGAGCATAAGTTTTCATGAGCTACAGCTCAAGCTCACGAAAGCTTATGCTCAAATAAATTTGTTAATCTCTAAGGTGCCACAAGTACTCCTTTTCTTTTTGCGGATACAGACTAACATGGCTGCTACTCTGAAACATGTAAAGAGCAAGACCCAAAACCTCAAAGATATTTAAAGGTCACATTGCAATAATTAGGAGTTAGGTGCCTAAAAACTTTTGAGGATCTGGGCCTATGTCACAAGGTGAGAGTTTAAAGCTGCCTATGAATATAAGCCTATCAACAGAAGAACCTAATTAGTTTGACTTGATGTTAGTGTAACAAGGGGGGGGGGGAGAGAAAGAGAGAAGAGACAAAGAAATTATATACAATTATAAAGTTCTTAAAGGAAATTGACTAGGATTGTGCAATTCTACTAGGTCTTTCTGCATCCAGTTCCATGCTAGAAAGCTTGATTTGGAGGGACAATGATGAGGGCTATATACGTGTCGAAGATAAATAGACTAATCCTACAGTATTTAGTTTCTGCAGGGTCAGCTGTAGCAGCTGTTAAGCAGTAAAACTAGTATGCCAGTCAGTTTCTCATTGCTGCTTTTCCCTGTGTAAAGAGCTACTTGCAGCTGCTGATAGTGACCCTGGGAAAGAAGTTAATGTAGCACAATTAAAAAAATAAAAGCAAACTAAAAGTAGGGAAAACGGGGGGGGGGGGAAGACAGTGGCTAAAACGAAGAAAAAATTTTGTTTTTATTACAGTAGCACCCACAATGAGCTAGACACTGTACAAACACATGGAGTTATAGTCCTTGCCCTAAAAACTTGCAAACTAAACAGACTAAAAACAAAGAGGGGTCGATGTAGAAGATCACGAATTACATTGTGTGGTTCTGCACACATCTTGGAGGAGGTTTTGTGGGTGGGAGTGTCAGTTTGTGTTCCTTTCTTTCATTATTTTTTATGGCTTGGCAAGGTAGAAGTGGGAGGGAGGGGAATGGCAAGGAAGGACTGAGTTTTTAAGGATGAAAGAATGGTTAAAAGGTAAGACAGGAAGGGAGGGAGTGCCTAAAAAAGGGAAAAACCAAGGAGTGAATACAAAGGAGGGAGGTGCTTAGTAACATCACATTAGGAGGAGAGGGAGTGGAAAGTGTGTTAGAACACACAAGTGAACACTCAGTTAAGTCCAATGCTCAAATTACGGGAATGGGTCTAACGTCATCACAAAACTGCCAGGGGAGTGGATGTAGCTGCTCCTGCTTCAGGTGCCTGGTGAATGAGGGGGGGGGGGGGGGCTCTAGGAACCCTGGAGCCCCCGTGGGTTATATTATATATATGAGTTATAGGAGGTCTCAGAGCCAGTCCCCCGTAGCTACAGACTGAATAGAGGGTGGGGGCAGGAAGACTAGCTGAACAGACTGAGGGGGATGGAAAGACAAAATAGGGGAGAGAAAGGACAGACAAATAAGGAGAGAAAGCAGGAAACAGCGAGAGAGAGAGGGGGGGCGGGCAATGGAGAGGATGGTTACTGCATTTAATTGTTATGCCTCAAAGATATTGAAAAAGCTTTTTTAAAAACACCAACAAATGGGATCAGATCTATCATCATGAACCAAGAGAAGAGAGAGAAATAATATCCACTTACACCTAAAGGGGGAAGACCTTCCACTATATTTTTCTTCCCTGACAGAAGGTCAGAGACAGGTCTCTTCTTTAGAGAATCCCTTCTCACTCTGTACCTTCCTGAAGTCGTAAGGTCAGATTCTGACATGGATGGAGTCAGCAATCCTTCACCTCTTCTCTGCACCTGGGTTTCAGCCATTACGCGTACTGGGCTCACATCTTTTATCCTCTTTTCCGTCTCCGAAATATGTAACTTAGGCTCAAGGATATGCAAAGGGCCAGGAGGTGAAGCAACAGAACTGTAGGGGTAACTTAGTAAGGATTCATTAGGATAACCACCCATAATAGCAGAAAGCTGGGTTTGATCATCAGTGAGAGGAGTCAGAGTTGTACTAGCTTTGTTTTCTTCTTCAAATTCTTCTTCTTCCTCCTCGCTGCTGTGAATCAGCATAGTGGCATCTGAAAGAGACTTCTTATGATCACAGTTCAAACTTTCTTCTTGCTCCTTATTTTCTTCTTGCTTTGTTCTCTCCATGAAAATGCTGGGCTGTGACCCTGCCGACATGACCCTTGGAAGGGCCACATCTGCAGCAGAGGCTGACATGGTCCTCTCTTTAATTCTTATGCATTCAAAGTTGTGGGCAAGTCCAGCTATTTCAATACTGTTCCTTTTCTGTAGCTGAGCATGTCGTGCTGATGTTAAGGGCTCACTCACTTCCTGAAGGGAATGTGCAACAGGCAGGCTGTCTTCCTGAAACGTCTGAACAGAATGGTGGACTCGCCGCGTGATGAGATCTGGATTGCTGCTGCTAATGTAAAGATGTCGGGAAAGGTCTGGGGTACTGTTTGCAGGTCTTGGGTATGGGTAAGGGGGAGGAGGTCGATAGACCTGGGTCTTCATGATGTTTGGGGCTGGATACTCCTGAGCCTGAAGCTGCACATTTGTTAGCTCAGGGACACTGACTGCACCAACAACTGGACGCCGTTCAGCAGGGTATGGGTAGGGAGACTGGCTATGAAAACTGTAACTCAGGTTGAAAGGATAGTGATTAGATTGGGGGGAGGTGAAATGAGCATGTTCTCGGATTTCAGGTTGGCTGTAGACCAGAGCATCAGGCCTACTGTAGGCATATGAATTGCTGATGTTAAGATTTCTCATAGAATGACTCTGCCTGTCTGTGTGTATCATTCCTCTGTTAAGCTGTCTCATCACAGTTTCATAATCTGGTGTAGGCCGATAAGAAGGTGGTATTAGCGCACTGTGTCGATGCGACGGAACATGATCAGGTCTCAGGACATCGCTCCCAGTAATGCTTGGGTTAGAGGACATGGGAGATGGCTGCAAGTAGTGCTGTGGGCTATTCAAAGAGTTTGTGCTGTGTGCACTATAGACACTCCCATTGCGGATTCTGCCATTGTAGTCATGTGGAGTTCTATCCAAGCTAGTCTGAGAGTGGTAGTAGTATCCGTTCTGCTTGCTCACAAAAAGGTTATCTGAAAAAATAAAGGTGTTTAACAACCATTATGTCCAAACACTAAAAGAGTGAAATTCCTGTACTAGTCATGTTTAATCAATGATTAATTATCAAAACCTCAGCCCTTCCCCTCCATATCTTGGCTTTAACAATATATTGCTGCCAGGCAACATTTTACTTCCAAGGATTGCATTTTTAGTGCTGCAAGGCTCCCAACACTGCTCCCAAATACACAATTGCTACCTCGGGATTTCTGTATTTCTGTTTTACCTCTTGCTACCTGGTCAATTTTCTGACATGCAGAATGGATCCTGTAAAATAGTCCTTTACCTGGAGACTGATTTAATTCTGATGTGATTTGTTTTCAGACACCATGACATTAATGAGTGTTGCATCAAGACTCAGCAGTAAAACATGAGAGTTGTAAATTTGCCTTTTATCTTGAAGTCATTCAGAACTTGTTTTGCTTTGACCAAGTGGGGTTGTGATGTAACAGCCAGAGTCAGAATTCAGGCAAGGTTGATCAATAAAATGTGTCAGCCTCACTCACAAGAACCATTCAAAAGCAGGAATCTAGAAAAATCCCACCAACGAAGCAGTAACAGGCTCAGGAACAACCACAGGATTTCAGCTCTCTAGGCCAGGGGAGACAATGCACAGTACAGAGTTATGGCACGTGAGCTCTGGGGGAAGAGGTGCACCATACCTGTAGGGGCAGCCATGCTAGTTATCTAACTAACTGGATTAATTAACAGTGGCTGCAGAGGGGACTTTCCCTCATCCACCAAGCCACTCAAAGCTCTGCAGTGACTGCAACTACTGAGAATTAGGCAGAGTGCAAGCGATGGAGGAAAAGGGTAAAATAGAAAAAGTTTTGGTCCCGCTTCTGATCTTATTTCTTTATAGCTTATTTACCTGTTCTAGACCAGCAATTTATACAGCATTACTCTTGAGATACACCAGTGCAAGGTCTTGTCTACGGGCTTGGCTACACTTGCGAGTTAGAGTGCATTAAAGCAGCCCCGGGCGCCCTAGGTACTACCCGTCCACACTGGCAAGGCACGTAGAGCGCTTTGACTCCATGGCTAGAGCGCTCCTGGTACTCCACCTCGGCGAGAAGATTAACACTTGTTGTGCCTTAGCTGAAATGCCCAGGCGTCAGTGTGAACGAGGTGTTGCATTACTGCGCTCTGATCAGCCTCCGGAAACGTCCCATAATCCCCTTAAATCAAGTGGTCACTCTTCTCATTGTTTTGAACTCGCTGTAGGAATGCGGATATGGCCTTTGAAAGCTCTGTTTCTGACAGCCAGCTGCTTATCTGCTCCAAGAAAAAGCAACCACTACTGTGGAATGTTGTGTGAGAGTGAGAAAGAGGCGGGGATCTGCTCCTATCTGAACTTACAGGACAGCATGCTGAGATGCTCCCAGGCCCCCAAAACCCACTCTCTCTCCCCCCACATACACACAACACACTCCCTGTCACACTCCACCTCACCTCCCCCCCACATTTGAAAAGCACACTGCAGCCACTTGAATGCTGGGATAGCTACCACAATGCACTGCTCTCTCTCTGTGGCCGTTGCAAGAGCTGCTAATGTGGCCACGCCAGTGTGCTTGTAGCTGTCAGTGTGGACAGATTGCAGCGCTTTCCCTACTGCTCTCTACAAAGGCTGGTTTAACTCAGAGCACTCTACATCTGCAAATGTAGCCATGCCCTACATGGGAAAGTTGCACTAGAATAACCTAAGATGTGAATTCAGATTGATCTAGTTAAACGAGTGCAAATTCCTGTGTAGAGACACTTATTCCAAAGAGTGGCTTTTTTCAGTTTAGCTTAATTTGACTGGGAATAGGTTTAAATTAAACCAAAATAAACTCAAACTGAAATAAAAAGAGTGTCCACATGGGAGTTTGTATTGGTTCAACTATATCAGTTAAAAAAAAAAACCACAAAAAACAGTAAGTTAAACCAGTTCAACTTGCCTACGTTGACAGGGTCTTAGTGACAGAAGCATCAGGCCCACTATATAAATGAATGATCAATACTAATGATGTGTCTATAATCAGCTGGGAGATGCGATTTCGAGTTCAGAAAGACATACATGTGCTAGCGCTGGTCGATATAGCATGCTAAAAATACAGCATGGTGGGGACAGCATGGGCGGTTGCTCAGGTTAGCTGCCCCAAGTACATTCCTAGGACCTCGGATATAGTTGTTCTCAAGTGGCTAGCCTGAGCCACACAGCTGCATTGCTACTTCTCAAGCAGAGCTAGCGTCTGTACATCTCTCCGAGCTGGGAATCACCCCTCCAGCTCAGAGAGGCATACACATACTAGCTCTGTGTCGACGGTAAGAAATCTGCCTTACATCACCATCCCAGTAACCAGCAAAGGTAGATCTTAGTCAAACCAAAGTTTTCTGGAGACTTTGGAAAATGATTTTAAAATATGGTAGGATGTTACGGCTTACTACAGTTGGTCCTTATTACAGATTTCACTATACATATGAAAGTAAATTATCGATGGTTATGTTTAATATTTATAAAGCAATGGAGCTTTTGCTCGGGTGCCAAAATGCAAAACACTGCTTCGGGCGCTTTTTGTGCCTGTAGCGCAAACAAAACCTGCTGTGCATCTTTGCTGACAATTGCTTTTGATTCTTCGTTCATGAGAATAAGCGTTCAATAGCAGGATTTTACTACAAATCTGGTATTCTTTACTGAACCCCTACTGTGGTATTGGAAACAATTCAACTCCGTTCTGCTTTGGAGATTACGGATATTCGTTCCCAAAACTGTCAGCGACTCCGTATTACCAATATTATTAATATTTGTACACCATAGCACTCAAAGGCCTGAATGCAGTGGATAATTAAACACAGTCCTTGCCTCAGACAACTTAGTCTAATTAAACACAAAATGAGGGTAAGAATAAGGGAGAAGGAAAATGAGGGTACTAGTAAATCCACTGCATATTACATAGACTAGTTATGTGCACCACTTGAGAGTTCTGAATAATTTAACGATTTTACTTTTAGAAAACCAGTGTTTAAAAATTCCATAACAAACCAGCTACAATCCCCTGGGCTCTCTCAAAGTTTGCACCCCCAGCCTATCCCAAAGATTTCTATACCTACTGCTACAGACAAGAGGTCCCTCTCTTCCTGGAGTACCTATCCCATATGGTCCTTAGAAATCCTACTCTCTCTATTGCTGTCCAGGGGCGGGGCTGGGTCCTTGGAGCAGTCGGGGAGAGAGGGTACAAAGTCCATGGATAATTTATGGAGCTTGGATATTCTTAAGATCTAGAGGGATATGAAGGCGCTCCTGAGGCCTGCTCATTAGCTTACCTTCTGAGGGGTGTGTGTATATATATATATATATATATATGAGAGAGAGAGAGATATAGCCATAGAAACCATAGCCAATTTAAGGTCATTCAAGAGGGATTGTGGTCTGTAATTACAATGTGCATGGTCAGTAACTCAGTATTTGCTATCCTAGCTCCCTGCCGCACCCCTATATCATTCTGTACTTAGAATAGAAACAAGTACTGCAGCAAGAGAAATAATGTGGGCCTGACTCACATTTACACTTTGGCCTCTTTACACAGCTCTAGCAGCGCCATGGGGCCTTAAAGTGAGTTGAAATGCAATGTGGTAAAATGTGATATCAAGTGGTCTGAGTGCTTACTGGTTCCCACTGTATTTAGAATTTACTTGAGAGTTAAACATTGAGAGTGACACATCATAATTTACCTTGGGATGATGTGTATGGTTCCGTGTAGTGTCCATTGTAATGTAGAGGAGGTGGTGGTTGCATCATGTAAGGCTGTGGCTTGGGCTAAGAAAGAAGATATTTTAAAAGTAGTTAAATACTACATGACTATTAAAGAGTCTTGAAGATCTTTAATACAAGGGGCTATTCTAAAAGCAAATTCAGTCAGTGTGTAACACAAAGTATCAGTTTTCAGGGCTAGCGAAGAGTAAAAGTCAACCAATGTCGTGCCTACAAACAGACGTCTAGGATTTTCTCTAGATGTAGGGGAATCTTAAATTGAAAAGAGATGCATCTAAAATACCTAAAAACAAAAAATATTTTTAGATCAGTTATTAAGAAGTTACATCCTGGTTTTCTGACGAACTAAGAAGTTTCTTAATTTATTGGTCCCACCTTATTTTTCATCATTTCAGCTTATTTCACTAAATGAAAAAATATTAAGTCAAATGGAAAACTGTAAAAATTCAAATCTTAGAAGTCAGGCATATTCCTAAGAAAAGTATTCTTCTCCAGTCTTACTGACTATTAATGTAGTCACCACCATTTCTCCCCTCATGCGGAATCCTCATTCTAGTTAGCAAGAAACAAGAAGTGGCTCAAATGTAAAGCTATTTGAAAACCTTACCAGAGACATCCTGGAAGAGGACCTCCTTCTAACTGGATTCACTGTAACAGCCTGGGTTTGTCTACAAAGCAAGTCATATGATGAGCAACATTGTCAACTTAGGCCCAATCCTGTAAAGTGCTCACCACATTTCAGGGCACTTAACACTTCACAGGCCCTATGTTGCACAGTCCTCCCGCCAGTCCCAGAGGGAAGAGCTTTGTACAGCATATGCACAAATCACTGCTGTTGCTAGAATGAGAAGAAACACAAAAATAGGATGGAGAGGGAGAAAGACAAACACCTTGTTTATCTCACTGCCTCCTTTCCCCATGTACAGCACCCTAGCAGGGGAAGAATTCAGATTGCTCTGGCACACCAGGCTTCCCCAGAAGTGAGTGAAATGGAGGAGGATCTGAATTTCACATATGCAGTGGGCAGGGAGAAAGGTGGGATTTTCATGCTCTCACACCAAATTTCAACCCCTGGTAACCTGTAGGCTCCCTGGCCTGGATGTCTGTCTTTATAATAGTCTATAAAGGGTCTTCAATACTTACTAGGCTATTGAAATAAACAACAGCCGAATGCTCATTCTGAGTCCCTAACCAATCCAAATTTTAGATATGGCAAACACTGTAGCTATCATAAACAATGTTTTGTAGTTTGCCAAATCACTGCATGTTGGACTGTTCAGCAATGCCCATTTTCCCCACCCTATACTGTTTCTGTACCTGTCAGCGTGCAGTACAAGGACCCAAAAGACACCAGAGCAATACAAATACAGAACATGCAAAATTTCAGAAAGAAAGATTATTCTCCAGCTCACCCTTTAGGAAGAGAAGGACGAGAAAGAATTGGTAAGCGTGGAAAGGAAAGAATGAGGAAAGGTTTCTGAGAGCCTTCCACAGGTGGAGAGTCTGGGGAGTCTCTAAAGACAAGGTACGTGCAGACAAAATGGAGACAATCAACTAGCACATGGAAAAGAAAGGCACTTGTTACTAGCAGAGAGGACATTTTAACTGAACTTAGATGAGTCTGGGACAGAGGTTCTTAGCCTGGGTGTCAGCACTACCTTGCCCCTCCCTTTTGTTAAACAGGAGGATTTCTCAACTCATTGACATGGGGATCCCAGTAAGGAAAGGTTAAGAACTACTGATCGTGGGCATTTTTTCTTTCTTTCTTTCTTTCTTTTTTTTTTAAAGTGAGCTATTGTAAAGGGTGCAGAACTGACAGCCCGGAGACTGAAGTTCATAATGTAACCAGAAAACAGATACAGTTCAGACAGCAGCTACACATGCTTCTGACATGTACACTACCTCCACCAATATGCTTCATCCCTGACCAGAAGGCAACCACCATGAGGGAGGAGAGGCCAGTCTGGTCTCTATTCCAAGTCAATCCTTCAACTATTTTTGAGAGTGTCAACAAGGGTGTAATTAATATTAGTGCTTGTTGTGGTGATTTTTCTGATATGGATATTTCTCTCAGTCTTTCCTTCAACTCCAATAGGCTCTGAATCAGAGCTCAATAAGTCATTTATGGCTGGACTATGTAAAATAAATTGAATTAAATGGAAACCATGCTTATTCAGACTCACTGGACCCGATTCTCTGTCTCATACTAATGAGAATCAAGAGTAACTTGACTGAAGTAAAAAAGATTAAAAAAAAAATCAGAATCAGGCCCTTGATTTGCAGTGTGGAGACTGGCCCATTAAATTTAATCTTCTCACTTGTATTTAATTTGTTCTGCTCTGGCGCTTACTGAGCTATGAGGAGTCTGTGGATATCGAAAGGGCCGCATAGTGTAAAACTGCCAATCCAGCATCTTCCAAGCACACTACATTCACTCCCCCACTCCTTTAAAATAACGTCAGTGTCCTATTACAAGTTCAATCAAAAGCACATTCAGAGTCCCGTAGATTTCAGTATTTCACAAACACCCTGACATTAATGGCCCAAGTAGATGCATTTACAGCATTGAGATCCAGTTATTAGAAGAAGAGGACTATGTTCTCAGCTGTGACTCAGGGTTATAAAAATATTATCCTCTATTATAAGGCTGCAACCGTTTAAGATAAATCCTTTCCATATTGTAAACTTTAGCACTGGGGATAAATAAGTGGTTGAAAGCATCAGGAGTAGACAAGGTCACTTTTAGTATATTCTAAACATGTATATAACATTTAGGTTCATTATGGGAACAGAGACCTCCCCCCCCCCCCCCCCCCCAAAAAAAAAAAACAAAAAAAAAAACTATTCTACTTACAGGCTACATTTATTTAGTCTGTAAAATTTGTGTCTGGCCACACACATCCTCCACACATATTTTGCTGTTTCCATGTCCTCCTGTCAAACAAAATATATATAGATATACGACAAAATATACAGGCCAAAATATACAGGCCCAACTTTTGGTCCCATGGAAGTCAGTGAAAGTTTTACCACTGACTTACACTGGAACAAGATTTGACCCCCTTCATTTTGATGTGGCAGTTTCTATATCAAAGTTTCTTAGGCACCATGTAATTTGCAGGACTAATCCAGCTGCTCAAGCATGAACACTCCACGAGATTAAAAAAAGCTGAAAATAGCAGCCTTCTGTTGAAGACAATCTTATGACTCAGAACACTGAATAACCATATATACTGTGCATATCACACTTTAAGACTATTACAATAATTATATTATTGAAGAAGGGAATAAACAAATGCTTTAAAGACTCAATTCTGCAAGGCGCTGAGCACTCTGGCCCTGACCCAGCAAAGCACTTAAACATGTACTTATCTTTAAGCATGTGAATAGTCCCATTGACTTCAAAGTCTTATTTAAACACATGCTTAAATGCTTTGCTAGTTTAGACCAGAGTACTCAGCACTTTTGGTGTACTTACAAAAGATAAGATTTCTTAATGCCTTTTACTTTTGTATAAAAACTACTGAAGCAGCCATAGAATTCAAAATGTTATATTTGTGCCACCCTTATAATTAAAACTTTTTAAAAATTATAACAGCAACTAAAAAACCTCCACATATCTACAAAGTTGAAAAAAATAACATTTTGGACAAATATAGTTTGAGGGATTATCTTATTTTGTGGTTTACTTGTATAGCTTTAGACTGATAGAAATAAAAACTCACTCACTTACAGTTTGGAACTGGATGGTCTCTTCTTTATTTGCCAGTTCTAATGCAAAAAAGGACTTGTTGTGGGACATATTGGCAATGTCATGCCACCTAAGGATATATGGAGAAGACATGACAAGTAAACTCTGGATTTTCAGCATACAGAAAGTATAAATGAAAAACAAAACCTATCTTTGGGAGGGTGAGGACTAACTGAGCAATAACTCCCCCCTATCCCCAATCTGAGTCATGTGTAGCAAACTCTGCAATAGTGATTAAAGAAGCAGACTAACTTCACACCCATTAAATTATTGTTAAAAGGAAAACGGGGACGTAACTGTAGTTCTTTGGAGGATGTATAAGTGTGGGTGGTATTATTTATAATGGATAATGCTTTGCTATTCCTGCTCAACTTTGCGGTCTTTCAACTTAAATGCATTTAAAAAAAAAAGTTTAAGACAAGAAACTAGCCATTAGCATGTCCTGACTTCTTGAAAGTTAATCACTCATTGTAAAAGAAAAGCTATGTCCAGTAACCAAGAACACTCAGAGCAATTAAGACCTGGTTAAAATGAATGAGAAGACAGGCGAGGATGAGCAGAACTTGGGGCCTGTAGAGATTCACTGTGCATGGCCCACTTACTCTGGGGTTGCAGAAACGTTCCAATATTTGGTCCTCAGTCAGTCAAAAACTCGATCTGATCAGATAAAATCCACTGAGAACAATGTCTACCTGGCCACAATGGTAACTATAAGTCACCAGTATCCTTGAAAGTAGCCTTCCACATGTGTCGCTACAAGACATTTATTTGGTAGGCCAAATTCCGCCCATGGATGCACACGTACAGCTCTTATGGAAGTCAGTGGGACTCATGTGCTTGCATCCAAAGGTGAAATCTGGGCTATTGGAATTGGGTCAGGTGGATCTCAATGCCATGCCTAGCATGGAAAAATATTTTTAAAATGTTTAACTATGAGAATGCCCAGAAAGGCTGCATGCTTCACTACTAGTGACAGCTTAATTGCAAACAGCAAATGATCTATCACTTCAGAATAGTAATGCAACTCTCCTCTTCTATATTTCCACATATAGAACACCCCCCAACATACTTTTACGATTGCACATCCCCAAGTAATTGATGTGCACGTTTGTTTTTTGTATGTGCCTGTATCTGCCAAAATGATGCTGCCTCTAGATTCACATGCATTTGCACAGGGGAATATACATAACTCTAGGTGACACACATATATAACGTAGCTCTAAATGAGTTAATCCTGCAGCAATTATATAGGTAAAACTCCCATTGACTACAGTACGTATGCACAAGGGCTGCAAGACAGGGCCCATATTTGGAACTGTGCTAATGAGTAAGATCTGTATTCATCCAAGATGCCATGAAAGCAACTGGGGACTGCACAGAAAATGTTAATTTGCAAAGTACTCATCAGCATTATTCTGACGGGACAATACTCACCGAAATATAACAGGAGGCCGGCCATTTTTGTGTTTCACAAAGATACCATCAAGACATGCCCCAATAAATAGGTCACTTCCCTGGCTATCCTAGAAGTAGTAAACAGAAATCACAAGAAAAACTCTTTATGAGCCAAAGTTACAGCAGAAACTGTTCACTTCAGTGAAGTCACAGAAAGGTTCTTACATAGGCAATGCAAATCTTAATCTTTAGTTTGAGATCATGACGTCTCCTCATCATGCAGCACTTACACAGGACTCGATACAGTGGTCCTTATGAAATCAATGAGACAACTCAGGTGACTAAGAGATGAGGTATAGGGCCCAGAGGTTTCTTATACATTGGATTTTCTTGTTTTTTCTTTAAAATGGAAGAAATATATAAAGATGGTTGCACTTATTAAGTCACGTCAAGTGTCAAAGCCATCCTTACCTTTGCAGGGTAGCTCTCTTCACCATAGCCTTCCATTCTCTCTACCTCTTGCATATATAACGTTTCTGCATCAGGAGGTGTAAGGCCTCTATAAACAAACACAACAGTAACTTTTAATCTAGTGATCAGCTTCTAAAATTGTACCAGTGGGGGGGCTCCTACTTGTATTACTCTTGAAGCATGCTCGAAAAGCACTTAGTAAGATATCCAGGCTATCGTGAAATCTTATTGCTTCTGGTCTGTCCAAGAGACTAAAACACTTGTCCTGGTCCTGCCACTTGGAATCCTGTAACCTCTTCCTCTCTAGCTTCCCTGATTTCCATATCACTTCTCGCCAATTCGTCTGCTATGTCTATTGAGACCATGTCACATCCCTCTTCAAATCCCTCCCCTGGCTCCCCATCACCCACCATATCAAAACTGAAAGTTTAGTATTTCCATTCAGGGTCCTTCATAATTCCACTCCAGCCTGCATCTCAGATTTATTTATTTATTTAGCACAAACAGTATGCTTAGCACTGTACAGTACAAGGAGACCCACTAATTTCTTATTATATATCCCTTCTCATTCCTCTTTTCTGACAGTCACATCAGCCTCAGCTCCTGCACTTCCTTCTCCCACTCCCATCTACATTCCCTCTTTCTATAATGCATATTATGCACAGAAAAAGCCCAGAATCCTGATATGTTAGTCCTCACCCCTCTCCTCATTCCAATTCCTCCTAAAACCTTGCTGCTTCCATGCTACTTAAAACAAACCCACAACACTGAGTCACATCAAACTCCATCTCAAGCCCAACATTATTCTAACTAGAGGGGGGAAAAAAAAAAAAAAAGAGAGATCAGGAAAACAAAGAATCTCATCTGATGCCGTCCTCTGGGTCTCCCAGTGCACCGTGTCTTATCTCTGTGACTTAGACTGAAAACACCTTGAAACAGAGGTTACCTTTAGATTGGTACAGCTCTGAGCATACTGTTAGTTCTTAACAAACAAAAATAATTGTGGTCACAATTTCCATTACACTAAAGCCAGAGACTAAGTTAAAGGACTTTATAAATATTCTAACAATGAAGCCACAGTATTTATTTTTGCTCTGATAAGCAGCATTACTACGATGTACATTTGCTATTTCAAATGTCCTGGCTTTACCCTGGATGTAAATATCCACACAAATTGCCAGAAGCTTGAAAATCACAGCACAGACAAGAGAAATGCAATTTTCTCCACACTACTCATCCCCAGCTGTGCCTCAACTCTGACTGGGAGGGAACATCTCTGGCAGGAGAGCAGTAGCTGTTCCTAATTATTCCTTCCCAGTTAGTGGCACCTATAGGTTTAGTGATTTGGAGATCTGTACTCTAGAAATTGGAGTGAGACTGCATCATACGAGGATAACTTTCAGTCACTACTGAGCCAGGATGGACTTGAACCAGCAACATATTGGTGACAAGCTCTATATCACACTACCTAAATATCCATCATCACCTATACCATAGAATCATAGGACTGGAAGGAACCTCAAGAGGTCTTCTAGACCAGTCCCCTGCACTCAAGGCAGGACTAGTATTATCTAAACCATCCTTGGCAGCAGTTTGTCTAACCTGCTCCTAAAAATCTCACACGACAGAGATTCCACAACCTCCCTAGGCAATTTATTCCAGTGCTTAACTACCCTGACAGTTAGGAAGTTTTTCCTAATGTCCAACCTAAACTGCCCTTGCTGCAATTTAAGCCCATTGCGTCTTTTCATATCCTCAGAGGTTAATGAGAACAATTTTTCTCCCTCCTCCTTGTAACAATCTTTTATGTACTTGAAAACTTATGTCCGGCCCCATGCCCCGAATCTTCTCTTCTCCAGAACAAACCCAATTTTTTTTTTTTCAAATCTTCCCTCATAGGTCATGTTTTCTACATCTTTAAACATTTTTGTTGCTCTTCTCCAGACTTTCTCCAATTTTTCCTGAAATGTGGCACCCAGAACTGGACACAACACTCTAGCTGAGGCCTAAGCAGCGCTCCAGCTGTCAGCCCTGGGACGGTAGGGACTCCAGCTGTCAGTGCTCAACAATGCCCCACTTGAGTCGATGCAAGCGCTCCTGGTGAGGATGCACACCACTGACAGAAGGTGCATACTGTACGGATACACAGAGCTGGTTTAAATTACTGCAATGGCTGTAGGCTGACCTAACTTAAGTCAACTTAACTTTGTAGTCTAGACATGCCTTTAGATCTGAAGTGACTGCTCCACAATTTCTGCATTTATGAAATCTTACCTGTATTTTTGATGCAGCAAGGCCACTTTCTGAGTTGCTTCCTCCAGTACTTTCTCCTCTTGTAACCAACCCTTAACATAAAGCAGAATTTAGTTAAAGAGCTAGTAGAAGGAATTCTAAAGGATAAAATAATTAGTTCCTTCACTCAGCAGGATCCTGACTTCCAAGCGAGCCTGTGGTTAGTAGGCTGTGAACAGATTACTGCAAAAACCTAACACACACTTTGTTTTTTCCCCCCCACCATTTATCTTCACTATAATGTACAAACATCTTTAAACATTGGAATGTCCTGGAAAACTGGGATCTTGTGTGCAATTTAAAGCATTATGTGTAATTCAATTACCTGATAAAAACTTTAATTAGCTCTGTACTTGCAGAACCTCAATAATTTGTGCTTTGATTGGTTTGGGAGCAGTAAACAAGAGAGAGAAGTAGTGGTTCTCAGCCTTTATATAAGCATGTATCCGTTTGTTGAAATCTCTCTGATAAGCACTGCTATTTGTCAATACAGTGTTTGCTCACTTTGAAAGGGGTCTCCAAACCATTTGTTTTCTTTCAATAATGTCAGAAAAGCAGCTGAAGAAAGTGCTTACCACAGGAAACAAGGCAAATCTTTGTAGAAATTCCTGAGATTCATACTGATTGTAGTCTCCAAAGTCAGCTAAGGAAATGAAAGAACAGGTAAGATTCAAGTACTTGTGATGATGAAAGGATATAGTTCAGTGTGAAGGATGCGCTCTCTGTACAGCGTAGCTCTGTAATAATGAACTCTATTATTTAAAAGTAGTGGATGACACTGTACAATAGTTAGTAAACTTTGCAAAGTATAACAGTTAAGCAAATCATGTTGTGATGAGTGTATATACCCCATACTGACCAAACAGGAGCTAAATAGAGATAGAGGCCTGGTGTATACCTCAGAGTTAGGTCAAGACAAGGCATCTTGTATTGACCTAATTACAGAAGTGTCCACACTTAAATTTCATTCCTGTCAAATTTCAGAGTAGCAGCCGTGTTAGTCTGTATCCGGAAAAAGAACAGGAGTACTTGTGGCACCTTAGAGACTAACAAATTTATTTGAGCATAAGCTTTCGTGAGCTACAGCTCACTTCATCGGATCCATTCAGATTACTCTCAAAGTAACTGCCCTGCTAAGCCAATTTAATAACTCCACTTCCACAAGCAGCATAAAGTCAAGGGGTCAATGTAGTTAGGTCAATGCAGTATCTATGTTGACACTACGTTGCTTATGTTGATGGTTACTGGCTGTTAGGAGCCTTCCCACAATGTCCCACCCGGACAGTACAAATCAACACAAGAGTTCTTTATGAAGACATGCACCGCTGACACAAGGAAAAGCGTAGACACACACAAGCAATGTAATTTCTGCAGTAGCTGTATTCCAATGTAAGTTAGGTCTACTTAATTTTGTAGTGTAGACATGGCCTCAGAGCTTTAATTAGCACCAACTTGTTATACCTGGAGGGTGCATCAGGCTCACTGAGGAGCTCAGCTGGGAGAAGGAGACCCAGGAGAATGGAGATCTGGAGTTCCTGCCCTGTGGGAAGGGTCAGACAGAAGCTCAGTGGAAGGAGAATTGTGGGGAAGCTACAAGCATGGAGTTAACGCTGGGGCGGTGGGGGGTGGAGGGCTTGAAAAAGGGACAAGATTCCAGCAAGCCAGCCCTGTGGGTTGATGGTCTGTAGGAGAGAGGAGAACTGGGAGAACCCAAGATGCGCTAAAAGCTGAAGCCTGCAGCAACTTCTGCCTGCCCTAGTTTGTATTTGTGTCTGGTTTCTGAGTTTTGCTGAGGGTTTTCAGGGGGTAGCTCTGCAAGGCTGAAGAGGAGCTCAGGAAGGACAGAAGATGTTGTGTTGATTACCACGATGTTGTTGGACATTATTTGGGGCCCTGGAAGGGTGGAACTATAGGGAGACGTGGATAAAGGCCAAGTCACCATTGTTAGAGCCCTGCATGGATACAAAAATTTGAATCCGCATCCCTGGTAATTAAATTGTATCTGACCTGTGATCTGCACTCCACCTTATAGAAGGATCTGCATCTGCACCAGCACCTTCTAGAGCAGTGGTTCTCAACCGGGCATCCATGGCCCCCTGGGGAGCTGTAAGCTGGTTTCAGGGAGTCCAGGACCCCGTGGGGCTCCGGGCTTCAGCCCCACAGGCAGTCCCCCTGAAACCGTAGCCCTGCTAATTGAGATCCTCTGCATAATCTAGAGCCCCGCACTATAAAAAAAAATTTGGATCTGCATCCGATCTGTAATCCAGAGACGGTAAATAAAGATCCGTATCCATGGATGCAGATATTTGTGGATATGATGCGGTTATCGTAAGATTTGCAGAGTTCTCACCATTGTACCAGACCAATGACAGAGCGAGGAGGAGAGCAAGACAGAGTTGCTGAAATGCCATATCACACCAGGAGTGCGGGGGGTACTCTGTGATGGTGAGACTGTCCTTTTTCTCCTAAAATATCCTACATAGTCTGTGTTCCATTTCTGACTGGTCACATGACACAGTTCAGACACTAATCCTTTTGATCTTAATTCTTTAGGAACTCCACTCCTGTTCCTCTCTTTTCATTTGTCTCCTGCACCCAGTTGTATTCTGGCCCTTGGATCTCCTCTCCTCCCCTCCCCAGGATTCAAGTAGGCCTGGTCCTGGTTTAAGGCTTCTTTTACTGAGGATGCTGGCTGTCAGTTGCTCCAAATGAACACAACTTGCACTGGGTGCATAAGAATGGGAGGTAGGTAGGAAGGTAGCTATCCGGGAGATGATCACTGCTCCCTGATTCTCTACGGCAGTCCCAGTTCTGCCGTAGATTAGAACAGACTAAGGGCTGTTCTGACAATTCTCCACTGGGTATGGTCCCACAGAGACTGTACATCAGATAGGGATTGTTGGAACACACTGGACACTTCCCCTCCACACCCTAAAATGATCCCTGGGCTGGGAGATGTGGGGAGTGAGGCCTAGAATCCAGTTCTGCATGCTCTGCACTTGCTGGGGGTATTCACAGCAGGGACTATGGGGAGGTTTTAGTTCTCTTTTGGTCACCCAAGCAGCCCAAAGAGATCATAAAGGGACAGAGAACCTGCCTCTATATCTGGCCCCAGCTGTCGAACAGGAGAAATAAAGTGGGCTAAATACAGAAGACATCAAGAAGACCAAGGTGTTTAATGTATTTTGCTTCTATCTTCACTAAAAAGGTAAGTTGTGAAGATACTTCACAATGGTGAATTCGGACGGGATGGGCGCAACATCACTTCACTGTGGTCCCGTGCTTGCAATGCCACGCATCGCCTGGGGAAGCGCATCGGCTGCCGCTGGGAGTGGTGCGAGGAGCACCAGGAGCTGGGAGTCCTGGTGTCGCAGATCAGGTCCGACGACAACATCATCATCGTCACCCCGAACACCAGGGGCAGGCTGGAGAGGTCCCTGAAGGCAGCTATCTACTCACTGTACATGGAAACCCTGAAGTGTAAACCGGACCAGGGTAAAGCCTTCGAACTGACCAGCAAGTGGGACGTCAGCAACCACTTCCTCGCCGGGGATGGCTTCACCCGTTTCACCAACTGGCGGTTCATCCACCGTGCCCAGCTCAACTGCGTTCCGCTCAATGGAGCCGTCCGCCATGGGAACCGAGACAAGCGTTGCAGGAAGTGCGGCTACTCCAACGAGACCCTGCCCCACGTCCTGTGCAGCTGCAAGCCCCGCTCCAGAGCCTGGCAGCTGTGCCACAATGCCATCCAGAACCGCCTGGTGAAAGCCATCGCACCACGCCTGGGGGAGGTCGCCGTGAACTGCGCCATCCCCGGTACTGACAGCCAGTTGTGACCTGACGTAGTAGTCACCGATGAGCCCAGAAAAAGATCATCCTCATCGACATCACTGTCTCCTTTGAGAACAAGACCCCGGCCTTCCGTGAAGCCCGAGCTCGTAAGCTGGAAAAATACGCCCCCCTGGCCGACACCCTGAGAGCAAAGGCCTACGAGGTGCAGATGGATGCCCTGATCATCGGAGCCCTGGGCGCTTGGGACCCCTGCAACGAGTGTGTGCTGCGGACCTGTGGGATCGGTCGATGCTACGCACGGCTCATGCGGTGCCTCATGGTCTCGGACACCATCCGATGGTTCAGGGACATCTACATCAAACACATTACCGGCCACCGACAGTACTAGGAGGTGTGAGCCGGTACGACATCATGAATCAACTATGAGAAAGGGACTGAGAGACTTTTTCCATTGGACCATATGAACTGGAAACAAACTCACTGAACATTAAATCTCACCAAATGAGGGTAAATCCAGCCTCATCATCGTATCCACTCATTATACTCCACACCTGAACATAGCCATTATATGAACAACATACCCCCATATCTCAATGTCTGTATTTTGACCCTGTTAACCTTTTACCTCCAATCGGGGAGATTGCAGATTATGTATTCCTTATGCTACCGTTCCTTATTCCCTGATAACCAGAAACTTCTATGCTTAAACTCTGTACCGTTTTCTTTTTATTTCAACATCTTAATAAAATTATTAAGAACAAGGGGGAAGGAACACAAGCCAAAGTAGGGAAAGCACAGGTCAAAGAATATTTAAATAAATTACATGTATTCAAGACAGCAGGACCTGGTAAGGAACCAGCTGAAACAATCTCAGAACTGTTAGTTATTATCTCTGAGAATTTATTGAGGCCAGGAAAGCTCCCAGATTGTTGGAGAAGGGCAAACATAGTACCCATCTTTAAAAAGGAGAACAAAGAGGACACCCAGAGAATTATAGACCAGTCTCCTAACTTTGACACCTAGAAAGATACTTTACTGGAACAAATTAATCAACAATCGATTGTAAGCACCTAGAGGATAACAGAGTTACAAGTAACAGTCAACATACATTTGTCAACAACAAATCATGCCAAACAAACCTAATTTCCTTCTCTGACTGGATTACTGGCCTAATGGATAGGGGGAAGCTGTAGACGTGATATATCTTGGTTTTAGTAAAGCTTTTAAAATAGTCCGAAGTGACATTCTCATGAGCAAATTAGGGAAGTGTGGTCTAGATTAAACAACTATAAAGTAGGTGCCACACTGCTTGAAAGACCATACTCAAAAAATAGTTACCAATGGTTCGCTATCAAACTGGGGAGATGTATTTAGTGTGGTCCCGCAGCTGTCTGTCCTGGGTCCAATACTAATCAATATTTTCATTAATGACTTGGAGAATGGAGTGGAGAATATACTTAGAAATATGCAGATGGGAGGGATTGCTAGCACTTGGAGGACAGAATTAGAATTCAAAATGACCTTGACAAATTGGAGAACTGGTCTGAAAGCAACAAGATGAAATCCAATAAAGACAAGTTCAAATTACTTCACCCAGAAAGGAAAAAAAATCAAATGCACAACTACAAAATGAGGAATAACTGCCTATGTAGCAGTTCTGCTGAAAAGGATCTGGGACGTGGATAGTGGGTAGGATAGTGGATCACAAATTGAATACGAGTCAACAGTGTGACGCAAATACAAAAAACACCAAAATCTTTCTGGGGTGTATTTACAGGCGTTTCAGATGTAAAACATGGGAGGGAACAGTCCTGCTCTACTAGGCACTGGTGAGGCCTCAGCTGGAGCAGCATGTCCAGTTCTGGGCAACATACTTTAGGGAAGATGTGGACAAATTTGAGAGTCCAGAAGTGAACAAAAAAAATAATAAAGGGCTTAGAAAAATCTGACCTCTGAGGGAAGGTTCAGAAAACTGTCATGTTTAGTCTTGAGAAAAGGAGACTGGGAGGAGCTCTGATAAAAGTCTTTAAATATGTTTGTTAAGGGCTGTTATACAGAGGACAGGGATCAATTGTTCTTTTGTCCACTGAAGGTAGGAAAAAAAGTAATTGGCTTAATCTGCAGCACGGGAGATTTAGGTTAGATATTAGGAAAAAACTAAATCAAGATAATTAAGCTCTGAACAGGCTTCCAAAGGAGGTTGTGGAATTCCTGTCTTTGGAGGTTTTTAAGAACAGGTTAGGCAAATACCTGTCAGGGATGGTTTAGGTATATTTAGTCCTAAATTAGTACAGGAAGATCGACTAGATGACCTCTGAAGGTTCCTTCCAGTCCTACATTTCTATGGATTCTATAAATATCAGAGAAGCTATAAATGAATCTTCAGGAGAAAAAGGTCTCAAAGGACCAGAGCTTCTGCTGAATGTCTGTTCCATATAGGAATATAACCCACAAAAATATAGCTCTTATTTACAAGTCTCACTGAAGAGAAGTACTTAGACACCAGTCTTTAATTCAGAATTAATAGTATTGTGTGGGCTAGTATTCACATTTAAACGAGACTTCACCCATTTTAGATTAAGTTAATACCCACGATCAAACTAGTGTTCGGAACGGACATACTGTTACTATTAAAATCACAAATTGCTGTGGTATTCATCAGTGGGGACAATGACAAATCACCAACTTGCCAAAATCCAAGTGTTCATGTTCCTGGTAAAAGCAACTGACCCATCTTATAAGTCACCATAGTTATCAAGCAGTACCAATCCAAAAGCTCTACTATTCTATGCTGGTTTTTCAGTGTGTTATGACACATACTATTCCTTTCTTACAACCCTGCCAGATAAAGTGAAAAATGCAAAAAAGTTAATGGATAAATATTTTCCATCTAAGAAGAGGATTATACTGAGAAAGATTCCCATAAACAACTCACTGAGCAGAGACACATTTATACTCTCCCAAGAACATGAAAATGAGTAAGAAAGAACTTGGTAGATGAAGAGTATTAAAGGCCTAGCCTGAACTACAAACAACAAAAAAACACAACCCACACAAAACCCCATTTTTACATACATAAGGTATTTTTAATTCACCCTATTTCACTGGTAAACAAAACAGAAAAACAGATTCTCTTCTTTAAATGTGACGCTATCAATATCTACACACTTAGTAGTTGATTTTTTAAAAAATTAACTATTTTCATGTACTACACATGCCCCCCAAGTGCTCTGCCAATGCTGGTGGTTTTACAATCTATTAGTCGTTATAGAGGAAGACAAAATTCAGGCAAAGGCTGTGGGAATGGAAGACTACATATAATTAGCCTGGTCCCGGGGAAGACAGGTAAACTGTTAGTTCTGGGGGTTTCTAGGTTTTTTAAACTATACGTGTAACCTATCCCACCAGCCCACAACTAGCCAACATTAAATGGCTAATTTCTTGTAGGCATCATGGCAGAAGGGGGTCTTCAGGAGAGATTTGAATGTGCGGTAATGGTCCTGTGGACAAGCTCTGCAAGCACATTCCAGGCGTAGGGGGAGATGGCATGAGAGACAACATGGAGAAAAGAATATGGATGTACAAACACATTCTTATTTATTAAAATGCATCCCCCTCTCCTGCTCCTAAACCAACAGGAGGAGATTGCAGAAGTTGAGACGCAATGAGGTCTAGTGGTCTGAGCACATGACTAAGAGCCAGGAACTCCTGGGCCACTGACTCCCTCTGTGGCTTTAGCTAAGTCCCACTGAAGTTAATACACCTTTGAGGATCACGCTCTTAATGACCAGCTAAGTGTTGAGGCACCATAATCCAGGTGCATTAAATAATTATAAATTCAAAGCAAAGATCATGTATTTTACAAAAAGGCAGGTTAGAGCCACAAAAATACATATAGAGTATCTACCATAACAGGGGGTGTTCATGTAAGCAACAAATATAAAATATGCATTCAAATATCTCAAGTCACCATCCCTAAAATTTACTTAGTGAAATTCCTTTGTTTACCTTGAACAGCTAAGCCAGCCAGATGAATTGCTTGTTCTAATGTGCAAGGAATGTTTCCCTCCAAGATATCTTTCTTCAACTGCAAATAATACTGGTATCTACAACAACAAAAAATATATATATGTGTCAGCTTTTTCCATTTTTGTTTCAGTACAATATAACGAAAAAAATCTTTTGAAAGCCAATGAATTTGCACACATATTTCCTTCCAAATTCCCTCCCCTTCCCTCACTCTCTCACTACTGAGGACACCACAATCCTCCTTGTCACTCAGTCCCATAACTTAGTGTTCATCTTCAACTTCTCCCTCACCCCTCACACTATAGTGTATCCATATCCCGCCAATTCTTTCAACACATCTCCAGGATCTGCTCTCTCCTGCCTGCTCAGACATCAAAAACGTACTCACATCCTCCTCATCATGCTATTTAATTCCTATAACAGCTTCTTCTCATGCCTCTTTGACAAAATCACACCCCTTCTCTTCAGGCCATTCAAAACACTGCTGCTGGTCAAAACAATCCCTGATGGTCAATCTGACATCACTCCTCCCTTTGAATCACTTTGATTCTCGCTTCTCCAGTACATCTATTGCAAGCTATAGGTCATCCCCTTTAAGTCCCTACATAATCCATTCCCTTCAACCTGGTCTCTCATCGAATTTATCCAACCTGGTCTCTACCTGTGTCATCTCCTCCATTCATCAATTACATCACTTTCCCACAACCATCTTCTTGCATGCCATTCCCTACGCAGGGAACATGCTTTCTGCGGAAGTCCAGCAGCCACCAGCCTCTCCTGAAAGTACTTCTTTAAAACCTACTATTGCTGTAGTAAAACCTATATAAACTTAACCAAATAAAACATTTATTTAATCTGAATACAGATATTTTTAAAAGTTTAAACTTCCTCATGCTGTACATTAGCCCTTGCTCAACATTGCAAACACTTAAACATGTGCTCAGCTTTACTGACTGGAGCAGTCCCATCTGAGTCAAGTAAAGCACACAAGTTTTTCAGCACCAGGGCCTAACTGCATAATTTTACTGGTATTGTCCCTGTCCCCCTAACTGTTTTACTACATCACATTGAACAATAGTTTAAGAGTTCCTGGGGGCAGGGATTTTGTCTTCTTACATTTCAGGAGGTACCTCATGCCCTTAGAAACAAATCAATAAACGCATGTCAGACTAAACACAGGAATACAGATTTTTTCATCTTTACCAAAAAGACTGTTATACACAGCAACCTTTTAACGTATTCTCTACTATTTTCCCCTCTCCCACAAGAGCAGAGCCATGTGCTATATGACAATAGATACCAGTGCTACATAAAATCACACACAAACAGAGCTGGGACTAAAATCCTTTGCTTCAAAAACACACAACACCCTTTGTGCAAAAGGAAATCACCCTAACCAGGCAGTAGGTTTCTTGTTCTTCCTGCAGGACACCTGCTAAAGGAATATATGATGATCATACAACTACCCCATCTAATTATTGGCAACTTCCCTCCAATACGGGCCTTGCACTCCCTTGGCTACGCCAAATATACCACTTGTTTTAAACACTCTTTGGACCAGATTCTGATATAGAGCGGGAGTAAGTAACTCCATGAACTTCTCTGAAGTTAATTCCCATCTTAACTGATGTGAATTAGGTAACAATCTAGTCCTTTATATCTAGCTGCCCTGGGTATAGGAACACAGAGTTTGCACCTGAACTTGTGTCTTGTGCATGGCAGTGTATTACAACATTGCTGAGCTACTGCACCAGAAATTTACAGCCTCTGTGTCTGCTAAGAATGTCTATATTAGAAATACTGGCAGTTTCACCCCACTGAATTAGAAAACTGCCTAATCAAAGTGAAAGCTTTTACTATTTTGATCTTGCTGAAACAATTCCTGATACATCAACCTGTGGAATCCTATACCAAGTTTAGGACCTAATCCAATACCTGGAGTTGATCAGGCCCTTAAAAACCTGGAACACAACTGAAAAAACAGCCCACCATGCATTTTAACCTTTTATAAAGAAAACAAGTATACAGCTTTTCCCATACAAAACAAGAAGCAAAGTCAACAGGCCTTGTCCTGCACTGTATAATATGTTGGAGCTGCAGAATGTATTCTGAGCCACCCCACTGCATTGAAGCATAGCAGCCTGTAATTAATGTTGTGACAGTTCTCAGGGTAAACAGGACTGAGCCATCTTGTTACTCCTCTGCCTTCAGTGTGAGGGAGTCTTGCTTGTGCTTAACTGGTTGTCAGCTCCATGAAAACACAAGACTATTAGCCACCCAAACACGCTCCTCTGGGCTATGCCAGCCCTTACTCTGCCTTGCAGGTTAACAGTACATGCACCCCAGTCCCCAAGTTCCTTTGAAGCATTGCCCCTACATAGTGTTCACCCCTTATCCACTGAACAGTCATCGAAATACACATTTTCTGGGTACCCAGGACAGTCAGATATGAAGGGTCCATGCAGCAGCAAAATAATTTTTAGTCTTCTAATTGTTAAAAGTAAACTCCTGAACTACAGCAGTTCACATTAAAATAAGTGTTTTCCACTTCTGTGAGAAACTAAATTTATCACAGATAGTAACTGCAATACAGCCTGCTACAACAGTTTCCTATTAAACTCTAAATATCGGGTCTGAATGTGGTCTCTGCCAAACTGGTATAAATTAGAAGTAACTCAGTGAAAGTGAAAAAAATAATCACACTGGTGTAAACACCATGTACATTAAAATAAGAAGTGGAACACCAGCTGGGAAAAGGTGAATCAAATCTGTTTATCCTTACCTCCCTATTGAGGCTATGTAGACACAGCCCACTGGTTTAGATGTTTAGAATTTGGCTTTAAGGAAAGATTCAGGTTTTTTTTCATTTCTATTTGTACAGAGCCTATCCCAATTCATTTACATTTTTGCATTTCTTTTGTCTATAAAAAAATAAAATTATAAAAGAGTAAAGGTACATTCACCATATGAAGAGCTAATCAGTGAACATGCTGAACTGGATCTCCTTTACAATTAACAGCACTTCCTGGCACTTGTGCCTGTGATCAGTGAATACACAAAGCAACAGTGGAAAAGGATGCACAATTTCCTCTCTGATATCCATCTTTATTGTCTATAATCACACACACTTTGCAAATATGGTTTATGAATGCCAGAGAGTGTTCTGACAACAGGACAACCTGCCTCTATGAGCCCTTCAGGTGGTAAGTGTTGGATTGGTTTCCTGAAGCAAAGTATTGCTCTGAAAGAAAAATCTATAACAACTGACAGGCTGATCATGCAAGCATGTCTGTGAGTAACTTTACTAGGCACCAATGGACTCATAAGATCATTGGGAAAATTCATCCCAAGAGTAACTATTATTATAGTGTCTAAATACACTAAAAGGATAATAAATGGCACAGTTTCTGCCTTAAGTCTGCATTTCCATTTTTACAAAGGTTGGAAATAAGGCAATTATGTCTACTTTAAGATGACCCATACGTTAGAATGTTAAAAACTGAAATTAAAAACATGTGCAAGTTACCTGGTAATCTCCTGCTGAAGCTGAGAAACAGTAGGCACATAAAACACCACTCCAAAATATACCGTCGGCTCCAAAGCATATTTGTCCAGTTGCTTTTTTAGAGGCTTGTCCAAATCCACCCACCGGCGCTGGTTTTGCTTATTGTAATACCACAGACTGAAATAAGTAATCTGAAAAAGAGGGAAGCAATTAAATGATCAAATCATGTCAGTATTGCAATACCAGATAAAGTGCATATAGTGTGAACCTGGCACTGTCTCCAGCTTCACAAAAGGCTAGAGATACAGGACTAAAAACCATTTAACACAGGAAGGCTTTATAAACCTATAGTCTTAGGATTCAAAACTGCCAGGAGTACTGAAATATTTAACAGTAATCGCATGTAACAGTAATAGCAATTTTTAATAGCATGCCATATTAAATATTATGCAATAACAAAACAAGCCCAGGTAGTTGAAGAAAACACTTTTGGTTGCCTAATATATAAACTAACAGCCCTATTCCCAAAACACTACCACCTTTTATTACTGTGAGCATGCTCATTGACTCTGATAAGACTATTCACATAAGTAAGTAATATTCTTGCTACTAAAAGTTTACTTTTCATGATGCAGCATTAACTTCATGATGCAGAATCAGACTCATTTAAATCTAAATTTCACACCATACAAGAAATGATCAATAATGTCTCATTTGGCAGCCTTTATTCCTGTGAATAACAATTTCAGAATTGGGTCCTCAATGAGCACGGACCTGGGTATAAAAGGTCAATCTAAAGATCAGACAAACCATCAGTACTTTTATTATAATAGTGATTAATATATGGCATCAATGTTGTGCAGTGGTATCAGTGGCAGTAAGGAATTTCCCTAAGTGGTTTATGCACACGCACGGTTATAGATGGTGCGGGTAAAAACACCTATAGACTACCTAACACTTTTCTTTAAAAGACCGCGCTTCCAGTTAATTTTGCAATGTTAACCGCCAGGGCTGAAATATCGTATGCCAAGTGTCTGCCTCAAGTTGATTTCCCCCTCATCCTCCCCATACTGAAAGGGTCAGCCATTTCTGAGAATGAGAGTAGGAAAAAATGTGTTCACCACTCTAGGCCAATGGGAACTACTGGAAGCCGCTGCTTCCTGCAACCCCCATTGGCCTGGAGCAGCAAACCACAACCAGTGGGAGCTGCGATCGGCCGAACCTGCGGATGCGGCAGGTAAACAAGTCGGTCCGGCTCGCCAGGGGGCTTATCCTGGCAGGCCGCGTGCCAAAGGTTGCCAATCCCTGCTTTAGAACCTCCATGCTTTGGAGCAGGGACTTGAAATTTGTCCAGGGTGTTGACTTGGTGTCAGAGATGTGCCTTTTGTGGATGTGCTAATGGATGAGGGACTCACCCAGGATGTAGGAAACCCTCAGTTCAAGCCCCACTTTTCTTGAGGGAGAGAAGCGATTTGAACAGGGATCTGTTGCCTCTCAGGTGATTGCTCTAGCCACTGGACTTTAGGATATTCTTGTATGGGTGTCTCAGTCTCTCCTATTGAAGTTGTTAGTTAACTAATTGAATAACTAAATATTAATTGGGCAAGTGAAGAGTTAAATAGCTCTATAGCCTAATAGATAGGGCAGTGGCTCTCAACCTTTCCAGACTACTGTACCCCTTTCAAGAGTCTGAATTGTCTTGTGTACCCCCTAGTTTCACCTCACTTATTCTCTCATTTTTACCATATAATTATAATATAAATATTGTACTTACATTTCAGTGTATAGTATACAGAGCAATATAAGCAAATCATTGTCTAGGAAATTTTAGTTTGCATTAATTTTGTTAGTGCTTTTACGTAGCCTGTTGTAAAACTAGGCAAATATCTAGATGAGTTGATGTACCCCCGGAAGACCTCTTAGTACCCCCAGGGATACACATACCCTGGTTGAGAGCCACTGAGTTAGGGCACTCACCTGAGAAGTGGCTAATCCCTGTTTAAATCCCTTCTCCCCCTCAAAAGAGGGGGAGGGGGGAAGAGGAGTTGAATCCAGGATCTCCCACATCTTTGGCGAGTACACTATCCACTGACTAGGCTAAACCTTATCAAGAAAGTCCTCCTCCCCAAGCTGTTTTGTCCCTGGCTCCTCATGCAATTTAGGAACACCTATCTTCCCTGGTTCTTGGATCACTAGCAGAGATAGCCGCCTCACTGCAGCCTACATTTAAGAGCTTATCTCTGTGACTGGGTTGCGGTTTGCACACATCCCTGCGGTCAGCATCTCCCATTGGCTAGCTTAGTTGGCTCCCTGCCTAGTATGCTGGCTTTGTGGATCGCAGTACGAGGTACCAATCTCTCCCCATTTATTGTACAGGGCACCTAGGTGTCTAGTTCAGGCTTTCCAGATGGCAGTAATATACTGTGATTTTCTAGGGATCTAAAAGTCAGGGGCTGCGATGCTCAGAATCATAACGCCTCAGTCCCTTTAGGGGTTTGGACCTAAGGTACTATGATGAAAGCACCCTAGAAAAACTCAGGAAGATAATTTGGGATTCAGTATTGCATGCCATCCACATGCTGCAAAGAACACACAGGGACAAAGCCACACACTGAATGAAGAGGATAAAGAAGTATTGAACAGGTACCCATCGAATGAGCCCACCAATGTCCATTGTACACTGAATGAGGCATGGATCCTGTGAAAAAAATTGTAGCTGATCATGTAATTAAAGAGCTTGTCTACACAAACAGCTAGACCGTAGGAAGTGCCCCGCATTAGCCTAGAGTGGACTAAATGTCTGTGTGCACCCTGCAGATGCGCATAGGCTTTGACTGAGACTCGCATCAGCGAGGTACATACATTACAGGTAGCGTGCCGCAGCCCAGCGTGGGGCAGAGCCGCAGCCCAGCGTGGGGCAGAGCCGCAGCCCAGCGTGGGGCAGAGCCGCAGCCCAGCGTGGGGCAGAGCCGCAGCCCAGCGTGGGGCAGAGCCGCAGCCCAGCGTGGGGCAGAGCCGCAGCCCAGCGTGGGGCAGAGCCGCAGCCCAGCGTGGGGCAGAGCCGCAGCCCAGCGTGCCATCATCTAATTGTTTGCATAGACAAGCTCACTGACCATATACACGATAACGTGCGCACACACAAGGAGCTGAAATAAAGTTACATGACAACCTTAATTATGGCATTTCCTAACTTCTGACTGCTAGAATTTGCTACCTTAGCATCCTTTTATGTAAAATTACATTAAAACAATGTAAGGTAGATGAACTACAGGAATACAATTACAATAATGTAGACTCATACCTCAATTAAAGTTGAGGTATAGGCCAAGCGCTGCCAGATCCCACCTGCTGCTGTGATAAGCTTGTGTATATAAGCCTATTCTTACTACTGGTCCAGTCCATCTGCCCAGGTACTAATGCATTTAGCTGGCCTAGCAATTATAGTAACAGCTAGGGGCTACCACTAATCTTTAGGATCAGTGCAATGTTTAAAGCTGGACATTGAAACCTAACAGTATTTTGGTGACCACTACTGAACCAATGCAGCCTACTGTCAAAATGTGTGTGTCTCTGCCTGTGTCCTATTTCCCCGAATCATATGAACATTTATGAAAATTGACCTTGTGGAGATATGTGACAATGCCCAGAAAACCATTTGACTGGGTTTGATCTGTAGACTTAATCTAAACCATGAAAAAGAAAATGGATTGTTATTTAAAGGGGGACGGGAGGACCTTGAGATTTGGGCTAAATATGCCAAAATCTTCAAACCTGTCAGACCAAAATAAGCATCTAAATCTATATTGAATAAGTATCTTGGTTTTTCGGAGGTGCTGACTGCCTGAAGTTTCCACTCAGTTTCTTCAAAAAGCAGGCCACTTATGTTGTTGCATAAAAACAGATCTAAGTTGTTATGACCACAAATAACGAAATGTGTCTACTCTTAAATATGATTGAGTATAATTGTGTTCATTTAAATAACCTCTCCCTGCCCCCAAAAAAGTGTACACTTGAAGGCCCAGTATAAACAGATTAAAGCCAAATAAAACACTCTGCCAAATCCTGTCTTCTGAGTCACATGCAAGCCTTCTTTTGGCTTCAAGGGTAGCATTTGGCCCTATGAATTCTCAGTAGAGGTAGTGCACTCTGGAATACTGGTGCTGATTAAAATAGAATCATTTTTTACTCATTGCTAAAAGTCTGTTAATAGTAGCACAAGACATTACACAATCCTAAAAAAAGTGACATGACATAATTCTTAAAATATGTCAAGCTTCTGAGTTTAACACTGTAGTGAAGTTTGTTTATTATAGCAACTTATTCGTCATTTAACTCTTGGGCAGAAAATCAAACCTAGATAAAAAGAACTGTAGAATTTCCACTTAACTATTTTCCAGCTAATTACTTTCTGCATTATAGAAAGAAATAGCAGGGCTCTTGTATAATTGTGGAACTGCTGACAAAAAAAAGGCACAGTAAAATTAAAGGAACTAATAAAATATGTCTAGAGAATACTAATATGGAAACCAAAATTTTAGGTGGGAAAAGGTTGCCTCTATCGCCTACATGCATGCCACCTTGCTTTGAGGCAATGGGACTTCACAAGCTAAGCAGCTGGGTTTGGTCAGTATTTGCATGGGAGACAGAGACACAGTTCTGATGATACAGTAGGTCGTGATCTACTGTACCTTCTCCGTCAGTAGAAAATTAATGGTGCTAAAAGGCAAGGTCTTGTTGGCCTTGTACATGAAATATAAACCCGAGGTCTCAATCACTTGATGGTCTCTTAAGAGACCACAGGAAAAACTGAGCTTGATTCTTAGTGCTCTAGCCAAATTCTAATTCTGGTCATCTCATTCTGCCTCCCTCAGTTCCCCCTATAGCGTCAACTGGAAACCATAGTTTTTTCTGCCTACGGCAAGAGCAGCACGCAGAGCCTCTCCCCTCCCCGACACACCACCTAGGAGCAAGACCTGCTGGCCACTTCCGAGGTACAGCACGGTGCCAGGACAGGCAGGGAGTCTGCCTTATCCCCGCTGCACCACTAACCGGGAGCCACCCGAGGTAAGCCCATGCCCCAACCATGAGCCCCAACCCCCTGCCCCAGCCCTGAGCTCCTGCAAACCTGGAGCCCCCTCCTGCACCCCAAACCTCTCAACCCTGGGCCCACCCCAGAGTCTGCACCCCCAGCCAGAGCCCTCACCCCCCCACACCACAACCCGCCTACCCCAGACCAGAGCCCCCTCTCACACCCTGAACCCCTCATCCCCCACCCCAGAGCCTGCACCCCCAACCCTTCATCCCCAGCCCCAACCCAGAGCCCACACCCCAAGCCAGAGCCCTCACCCACTCCTGCACCCCAACTCCATGACCCAGTCTGGAGCCCCCTCCCACACCTTGAACCCCTCATTTTTGGCCCCACCCCAGCGCCTGCACCCCCAATTAGAGCCCTCACCACCTCCTGCCCCAGCCCATGAAACTCATGAAAGTGAGTGAGGGTGGGGGAGAGTGAACCACTAAGGGAGGGGGAATGTAGTTGCAAACCAGATATAATAAGATCTCTACCTGCTACTGTAAATCAGCTCTGATTGTCAATTTACTCTATTTTCAGAGGTCTCCAAACTCCACTAACACATACACAGCCTGCTACAGTACAGACTGGCACTATCCCCAAAATAACTACTTTTGTCATATTTTTCCCCCCTCAGGCACAACATAGCATGGTGAGAACACAAGACAATGAATTAGTAACAGCTGCAGAAAAGTATGTGGTATATTAAATTTTGAACTATAAGGTTTAAAAAGACAACTGATGGCAAACTACAAGAAGGCAGATGGAAGTTAATGGATCCCAAAGTAAGCAAGTGCTGATAAGAAAACCCCAGTACAAATCCACTGACTTATGTTTATCAAAACATTTTTAAAAACAGAATACGAGGTCATTTCTGCAAACATTTGCTACTGTATAATGCTTAATACCATGAGCAGTCCTAAACTAATTAATGCTGTTCACAACAGTAACCGTCTGCAGGACTGAGCCCTAAATTAGTTTGCTCAATAGTTACTGAAGCTGCTTGAAATTGGAAATACAATATTTTGGAAAAATCAACAAGTTATCAATTAACTAAACAGAGTAATCCTATATCCTTTTCAGCTTGCTCTTCTATTTTTGTTGTGTTCCGCAGTCGGGGATTTTGTCTCTGATACAAAGCAGTATTTAGAGGCATCTCTTTTCTCGTACTACGGTACAACATATGCCCATTTCAGTCTTGTACATTTTCTAGTTTATATTTTGGTTTTTTCCTGAACAAAAAGCCAGATTAGTGCAGTACAAAATACACAATACAGTGGTTACAGCAAGACTGGGATATGTGCCAATTTCCAAATTGTGTCAACAGCATCCAGCCCTTGGGGTCAAATTCAACTCTTGTACCACTAGACTGAAGCTAATGGAGTTACAATAATAATAAATGTCTCCCTTTAAAAAGGGATCTGTGTGAACAGAGGTTCTACTTAGCTAAGGATTCTATAAGACCAGTTTCACAATTCAGCACTTCAGGTGTAAATAAATCAAAACATAAAAAAAGAGGGAACATCATCAGATTTGTGTGGGACAGAGGTAAATCTGAGTTACTGAAGAGTTCTCCAAAATGTTTAACCTTCTTTTCAAAACTAATTTGTGTATGCAAATACTCTGTCTTTTAGTGGAAGTCAAGCATCTGCACCTGGCCAACTATGCATTTAATGGGCCATCTAGCTCAGCAGTTCTCAAACTGTGGGTCACAACCCCATTTTAATGGGGTCGCCAAGGCTGGCATTAGACTTGCTGGGGACCACGGCTGAAGCCTAAGCCCCACTGCCCAGGGCCAGGGTCAAAGCCAGGGTGGCAGGGCTCAGGTGACAGGCCCCGCACCTAGGGCTGAAGCTCTTGGGCTTTGGCATTGGCCCCCCACCTGGGGCAGTGGGGCTGAGGCTTTGGACCCCCAGCCCAGGATGTCAGGCTTGGACAGGCTCAGGTCTCGGTCCTCCTCCTGGGTATTACCTGTAGTAATTTTTGTTGTCAGAAGGGGATCACGGGGCAATGAAGTTTGAAAACCCCAGACCTAGCTTATATATACCATGCGTGTATTTGCACATGCCCAGTCCACAGTACATGTATTCGCGCTGGCATGGGAGGCTGGTCGCATAGGCTAGGAGAGACACTGCCTCTCCAAACAGCCAGGCCCTGCCTCTCCAAACAACCCTGCCCGCTGCTGTGACTCTCCCTGTGTGTGGCTCCAGTCCTCTGGCTCCAACCCCACAGTGCTCCACTCCACCTGCCTTCCTGCACTCTGGAGCTGGGGACGGTGGGGTGAATGGCCGCCCGCCCCAAGGGCTGGGGTCACACCTCCCGCGCTCAGAAGCTGGGGAGGCTGGGGTTGCGTGCCGCCCTCCCTCCCACGCCCCAGGGCTGGGGCCGCATGCCCCTGCCCTCCCTGCGTTCCTTTGTGGCTGGGGGACTAGCTGCGGGACTGGGCCGGTGGCTGCAGGGGTGTGGTGTGGGGGGGCTATGGCAGGCGGGTTAGGTGGAAGAGGTGTGGCCTGGCAGGGACAGGGGCGAGCATCCCCCAGCTGGCAGTTCACGCATCACCCAGGAGTACTGGTGCTTTTTTGCCCAGCACCAGTGCCCTGAGACCCCACCCATTCAAATACCTCTTTCTTAAAGAGCCACTTCTTTCATGTAAGCTCTACAAACACAACTGATTAAAAGGGGGAAAAAAAAAAAGAGACTCTAAATTAACACTTGCCTCCAAATCGCCCACTACTTTCTGTATCCCTCTGTTATGATCTATTCAGGCAGGAATGGTCATTGCTTGTCTTAAATTCTGACAATATTCTCAGCACTGTACAAGAAGTGACAACCATTGTCCTTTTGGCTGGCACTTTAGGCTTGTGGGCTGAAACATGGTGCACTGCTGCTGTCCACATCCTATTCTCTAACCCTACAACATAAATTGTGAGACTGGGTTTTGAAGCCATCCAAGTTGCACTGTGGATCAGAGCATTCACAATAGAAGGAACATGCTGGGGTGGCTGGTACAGGAGAGAATTTGGTAAAGTATCATAGTTGTCTAAAACAGTGGTTTCAACCTGGGGTCAATGGACCCTTGGGGGTCCGCAGACTATGTCTAAGGGGGTCCAAGAAAGGTTGTCATTACCATAGAACAGCGGTTCTCAACAGGGGTCCACAGACCATGTCTAAGATTTCCAAAGGGGTCCACACCACCATTCAAAATTTTTTAGGGATCCACAAAAAAAAAAAAAGATTAAAAACCACGGATCTAAAATAGTAGGGAATCACTGTAGTGGGTAACCCCTTTAAAGTGATGGCTAGAGAAGTTGCCAATTTGCTTACCTCCCGCAGTTCGAGTCTCTGAGCCACAGCCTCCAGGCTTTCCTGGCCGGTGCTCTCCACAGAAAGAGTGAACTCCACATATTCATTGTTGAGCAGCTGGATGCGGGCCACCAAGCAGCTCTTGCTGGACACTGTGTAACGTCGAGTTCGTTTCAATTTGAGCCCAAAAGGTAACGGCATCTTTCCCCACGGCCAGTGATGAAAAGGTATCACCACACCGGAAAATGAAGGGAAGTTAGCAGTCTTCTCCCAAGCAATAAGGAGCCCTGAAGTATCCTGCCAATCAACCAGCGGCAGCAGCAGTAGCCATTAAAGAAGAGCAGGTCCTCCACCAAGCTCTAACTGGAGGGAGTTTCCACAGCAGCTCTAACAAGGAGAAGGGAGAGAGTCCAGAAGTGATTTATTTGAAAGGGGAACTGGAGCCATGGGAAATCCACACAGACTTACGTTTCCTAAATCTACATGGTCAACATTTTTCTCCTCCACTATAGAGAGTGGAGTATGCTCTACAACAGCGAAACAAGAATGAAGATTCCTGGTTTGCCACAGACTCTTGGAATGACCTTTGGTAAGTCACAACTTCTTGATGGCTCTGTCTTAGTCATCTGCCAAATAGTGTAATGAATTTTGATCAAATGCGGCTGACATGCTTTAAAGACAAAAACGGCTCTAAAACTGCTAGGTATTTCATAAACTGGATCAATACTTGGATGAGAACGGAAAAACATAGGCGTCTCAAATATTTGGGAGGGAGAGTCACTAGGTGGCACTGTTTTCTCCAACTCAGGACTAAATCTGTGCTCCAGTATTGTCCTAGGAGCACCATGCTATTGGAGGCTCCGTCTTGGACACAATGCAGAACCAAAACACAGGGTCATTAGAGATGCCACAGTTTGGCGTGTCATGTGGTGGTGGGTTTTTAGTTTAGAGCTGGGGTGAGGGAATACTAGCCAGATTCCCATTCAGTTCATTATATTTCAACTCTCATTTCCCCCTGAAGTTCGTTAGCTACAATATTCTTTATTTCCTGTCCTAAACATCCGCACTGTGCTTCAGGTTGCTAGTACTTGCCATAGGGTCCTCCCCTCCACCTCACCAGAGGGGACTACCTTTCAGTGATGGTTGAAGCAATTCTTTTCTAAATCTCCTCAAAGAGAGACTTCTTCCAGGAAACCTATAAACCCTAACAATTTCCTTGACACCATCCATTGCTCCATGTCTCCCACAAACAATTTTCATGCTACCTCCTAAGCGCAGAAAACCCTCCATAAATAAGTCTGGAAACTTACAACCCTCTTTCCAGTACTTTCTCACAGACCACTCCCTATAATAAATTGCACATCATTATTACTATTATTGACTGTTTAGAAAATGTGCCTGCATAATGGAAGTGAAGGTATCAACATTTTCTAAAAAGACAGTATTCACTGCATAGAGAATAATAATGTTTCATAGATATAAGTAATTTGGGTAATTAGTAAGGTTTATAAAGTGTTTTAAGATCCATTCTGATGGAAATTGCTACACAAAGGCAGGCTTCACATAGTAGATTGCTGACATCTAATCACATTCCTGGGGAGGAGGAAACCAAACATTAATCTTGAAACTACCAGCCCAAGGTAAACAACACGCACAGAGCACGGACACACTGATTACCTGAGCCTGGACTTTAAGAGGTTTGTTTGGTTTCATCCCCCCTCTGCTAGAACTAGCCCCACTAGGTTGGCGACTAGAACCTGCTTGGTGTCAGGCTCTGAAGACCCTCTGGATGAGCTCATAGCTGATACAGAGCAGACCTGTCCAGAGGAAGGGAGGGAGGGAGGAAGGAAGGGAGGGAGCAAGTCCACTGCCAGGGAGGGCTGAAGGGGCTCAGAACCCAGGCTGTCAAAGGGAGGCTCCCCCGCCCAGACTGTGAGCACCGGGCAGCTGGGGGCAAGGTATTCGGGCAGCTGGGGGCAAGGTATTCGGGCTGTCACCCACAGGAGCTTCTTGACTGTCAGGGACTGGTTAATCTGGAGAGGCCACCCCCAGCCAGGGGAAGGCAAGGGAGGGGTGCATTTAAAGGGACAGTGCTCACTTTAGTTAGGCCTCCAGCTGAACTCCCCTTTAACCTTATGCATTGTTAGCGGGACACATGGGGCAGATTCCTCCTGTGCAATTTATTTACATCTAGCTTTTTTATTTTTTTGGTCCCCTCTAGTTTCCCAGTAGCTTTGTTTCATCACTTGAAACTTCAGGAGGGGGATGGTCAGCTTTTATATAAGCAAACCTGCAAATGTCCTTTTTAATGAAGGGTTGGGGGGGGGTGTGTGTTTTTTTAAATGCAAATTCACATCCACCTTAACTGAAAGGGTTTTATTTTAAAAAAGTTAGGGAGGAAATATTATTGGAGCTATTAAATAGGGAATTTATAAAAAGTTATGTTACTCCAGCAGTGTTTAAAACCTAGAAAAACAGAACAGAGTGAGAGTGAATTATAGAGAAAGGAAACAAATGGAATGTGTGTCTATGAACCGGGAGAATATTAACTCTATCAAAATATATGCCTAGCTTACTGCATCATCAGGTCTAGAGTGGCCTGACCAAACAGGACAGGCAAACATCTGGACTCCTGAAAGAGCCAGATTGAAGAGGCCTGGACCTCCTTGGGCTGCGTTTACCACTAATGGATATCAGTGGTTACAAATAGACCTGAATAAAGAAAAGAGAACAGGCATTATAACTACTGGATCCATCGTAGCAGAGTACTACTATTACATCTCTGCCTACCAAATTCTATACAGTGATGATGCACAGAAATTGACAGTATACAGAGAACCTGGTGTTGATCAGGGTAAGATATTTCAAGGAAACACTGAGTATAACCAGGAAGTTAGCAATAACTTCAGTGTTACCAGAACATAGCCTTGAAGGCACTAGTTACTACACTATGGAATTTGATAATTAACCCAATCATCAATGAAACCCCAGACTGCTGCAGGCAACATGTTCTGCAACATTAACAATAATAGCAGTTACTAAACGTCTGCTCTAGCACAGTGGTTAAGGACCTGTCAGTATTTACCATCAAGTCTTATTTGTCAGTGGTGGTGTAGCCCGGAAGCAAATATTTATTGTGGACAAAAACATAACATACAAGTTTGTCAAATCATGTACATTGTTTTGCCTGCAAAATATTACAGTTGATTTCTCTCTCTTCTATGGTTAGGAAAGAATCAAACATCAACTCCTTGTTTCCAAAGTCTTCCAAATAACATTTCTTCAAACTAGCATGTGTTAGTATTATATTTTTTTAAATTTATGGACTTTGATTTCTGAGAAGACTCCCCTTACAATTTGTTAAATCAAATACCCTATTTCCAGAACACAGATCAGTTTTGATGGGGGAGGCAGACTCCTAATGCACCTCTCTTTTAGCCCCTTAAAATGTATAAATAAAGATAATCTGTATCTAATTTGAGTATTTTATTATGGATCATTCTGACCCAATCAAGGAAAATTCATAAACTCATACAGAGCTCCATGTTCCCTTTTGTTAGGCACCCTTGGAGGGGAATAAAGGTAGGCAAGAAGGGACAGATGACTGACCCCATGACACAGAGAGTGCAGGGAAGCAGCACCTCAGTGACCTATTTAACTCTCCACATCAGGAAACCCTCCATGTCCTTTTTGCATGGTCATGCTTCTAATGATTTGGAATAGGTTGTACCATTCTATACAACATACTTCCCCAGCTCCTGGCAAATTTCCACAGAAGTCTGTGCAGTAATTAAGGTAGGCTGGATGAGAGACTGTCTCCCTGTATGCATATGCAATACCTAACAAAATTCTAGGTAGTACTGGAATATAAATCATAATGGATGGAATTAGATTTCCCTGCAGAGCCTAGGGTGACGTGGGGTTTCCAGGTTTTCCAGTTTGCTCTGCACATTGATCCATATAGTCCTACTACATAACAATAGCATGCAGGGAAGGTTCCACAGACTGAACCTTGCAGAGTTTCCTGCATACTGAGGGAAGAATCCCGCAGTGGATTTATTCCTAGAAGTGAAACTTGTGGATCACTGACCAAGCTCGCTTTCCTGTGCCTTGGTATTGAACAGATCCTACATCAGATTATGCTCTTTTCTCTGATCCCTCTGGTTCCAAAGGCAAAAACCCAATTATGGAGCTTTTAGTCAAAACTTTAAATCTGTTTTAACAGTTTTAAAGGGGTATAATTAAACATGAATGACTTTTTAGCTCTAAGGCAGTGGTTCCTAACCTGGGGTGCACACACCCTTTGTGGGTGCGAGATGCCCTTTCTGGAGGTGCAAGAATGCCAGATTTTTTTAGAAGATAAATCATCAAGAACACTAATTAAGCATAGGCACGTAAGTAGAACTACTTTGTTTCATCAAACCTATGTATTTATTAATATTATGCATTTTTAAACAATTACTGTACTATACAAACAGAAAATATATCTAGGTTTAAAGAACTGACCTAGAACTTCAACGATTTTTGATAAAAGGTGTGAGAACGTACTTTGAGAACCAAAGGGGTGCAGGCTGCAGTAAAGATTAAGAACCACTAAGGAGTCTTAAAAAAAACAAACAACAAAAAAACCACCCAAACAACTACAACTCACTAACCCCAGAGTGACTTATTACAATTCATTTGTCAGAGTGTCAGATTGCCCAGATTCTCATTGCTTTAGTTATTTCTTTGACAAAACTAGATTTACGCATACGAGGGAAATTTTAAATAAGACTTGGTGGTCCATTAAAAGGGAAGGAATTTTCAAGACATGCCAGGTCCATTTTTAAGGTCATATTGTATTCTCTGCTGTTTCCCTAGTGATGACTAATTTTCTCTTTATCTAAACTATATTTTTTGGTAAATTTTCCTTACTTATAAGGCATGCTTACCTCACTTTTTAAAATGATTCTTAGGAAAGCTATAGTGAAATCAAATAGTTACACTTATTTAATTAGCAATCCATATCATTCACTAAATCAAACATAGCCCCTGACATATTTTACAATACAATTGTATTGAACAAATAACATTTGAGGAATTATGTTCAGAAGTAATTCAATAACTTATTGCTGGCCAAGCACAATTCTTGCAAATAGTGCAGTATTGTTTTCATTTGCCAGCTGTCATTTTGCACTACCATATGCTGTCATATTTGTCTCAGGCATTATTTCAAATGTGTGTATCTACACTGTTTTGGGGCTTTTTTTGCAAAAAGAAAACTGTGCTAAAGTGCCAATGCTTGTAAATCCAATCAACTCTCCGCTGAAATTATAAGTCTTTTATTTGGCAGGCCTACAATTTTCATACAGCAGCCAAAAAAGGAATTTCACTTGCTAAATTATATACATCCATCCATCCATGCATGCTACACATATAGTTTTAGACAAGAATTTAGTTCTATCCGGCCAGGAACCAAACAGAATTACCAAGGATTTGAATAGCTTCCTTCTTTATCCATACTCCTAAAGCCTCTCCGATAATTAGCTTTCATTTAACTTTGTAAAGCATTTCATCATAGCTTGCACGAATGACAGTATGCAACATAAAACTGCAACGCAGGGAGGAGAAATGAGGCTCCCGCTATTTCAAGTATTTAAATGTAGAAACATTTTATAAATTATGGGGCGAAGCCTAAAAGCAAAATCACTCCCCTCGCCTTGGTACACTTTTACCAATCAATCGCTGGAATTACTTACTCCTAGGACTAACTGTAAGAGTAAAGGCAAAACGTGCACCACATCACAAACTTCCTCTGCTACCCGGAGCGAAGAGGCCCCGAACTGACCTCACCTTTCCAGGCTGCTCTTATTTATCTTAATAGGAAATACCTGACACTGTGTAACCTGGGCAAACAAACAAACAAACAAAACAAAGAGGGGAAAAAACATGTTATTTCCAACAGTGCCCGCGGCTTTCCCATTACCTGCTGCAGCGATGCAAGGACACAGCGTCTCTCATCTTTAGCTGCGGGACCTCACCAGCAGCGCGGAGAGTTCTTCCCCTGAAGCCACCTCATCTAAATTCCTGGGAAATTGACTTATTATGCTCCCCTTGCATGAAACAGCTGCTATGTCCGCTCCCCCGCCTTCTTCTCCGATCACTCATAGTGAAAACACGCCTCACTTCCTGTCTCAAAGCCCTTGCTCTGGAGATCATTCCACTGGGAAAAGAGTCGGACTGGGAGGGGAACAATATTGCAGCCAAATAAACCTGCAGCAGCCAGCTTTGCAGACACCTTTCATGTGACCTGGGGTATTGTGCTGCTTGAGCACAAAATGAGTTCTCTGGAATATTTCAAATCATCTCTCTCGCTGTGCATTTAATTTCTTTTCCTGGGGGCGTTCCCCTGGCTCTATGCATGCGGAAGGATACGATGAAAGATTAAAGCCAATCCCGTGTGCTGTAGCCCATTACCTCAGAGAGCTGGAATGCCTGGCAGGGAGAATGTCAGCGATGGGACAGCTGCTTCTCTGGCTACCGGGGCATTACAGAAATAGGGACTTACAACAAACAGCGGGCAATCCTTTCTTTTTTTAATCATATGATCATTTATTTGATGCCTTTCCAATTAAAGAAAAGCTTCTTTCAAATCTACTGGTCTTATTTATACCTCGCCTAGACATATTTTTAAGCTTTCATTTTAATTAGGTTTATGTATTATATAAAGTGGCTGTTGTACAACATTATTTTAAGGTCTATGACTTAAAACAAAAGTGATTGGGGAGTACCGGCCCTTATCCAGATGCCTTCTCAGCAGCACTACAGAGTAGCAATACTAGTAAATACAAAATTGATTAGGAGATAGAACTCTCAGCCCTTGGTAAGCCAAAAAAACCCATTGAAGTCAACAGGAATTTTGCCATTAATAAGAACTGTAAGATCAGGCATCAAGTGAGGACTAATTACTTCATGTTTATAAAGCATTTAACTGAAGAAAAGCCTTGTGTAAATGTTAAGGATCCCTTCTCACTTTGTTGGTAATGGAATGGTCCTCCTTGTTGTGGGGGGCAGAGGAAAGCAGTGGCACAGACTTAAAGGGGGACAAGCGGGTGGGGAATCAGACATAATAAGTGAATGCTGATTCATTATCAGAAAATGTCAGTTATACAATCTGAACTCCTCCCCACACCCTAGGCAGGTTTAACTGCAGGTCCACTAGGTAAGCAGTAGGTAACTCAGTAGAACACTAATCTGTGTGTGACAACAAAATGTAGGTAATATTTGTACTATGAGGAACTGCTCTTGAATTATTTCTTCACTGTGTTAGGCCCAAACATGGTTTCTATCACAGTTTCTTTTCATTCTGAGCACAATTTATTTTCCCACCTATCTTAATGCTACTGAGCCATATTTATGATGATCACTGCAAGCCATATATGCCAAGTTAAAAAAACAGATTGAGGGATTTTATGTTGAGAGTAAATATCAGTAACAAATGTAAAAAATTATAGGAATGTTCCAAATATCCTCCAAATATACAGTTAAGTTTAAGCTTAAAAGACATCTCAACATGTTAAAGTATAGAAACACACTATTAAGGTACCCAAATAACTGCAATTTAGTAGCCATACCATGCAGTAATCACTCAATTATACTTAATGCAAGTTAGTGATTTGGTCCCTCCCAGATTACATTATACTGACCTTTAAAGGTATGTTTCCATAGGTGCTGGAACAATTTTTATAGTGGGGGTGCTGAAAGCCATTGAACAAACTGTAAACTCTGTAAATGATGGAAACCACTTCAAACACCTTTCCACCCCTAGTTCCAGCTCCTCTGTATGTTTCTCCCCTTTTTTCTTCCCTAACGGTGTCAACAACCTGAACTGTGTCCTGTAATCTGATGCCTCCCTAATACTATTATCAACACAACTCGTTGCAGCTCTATGTCTTGATGGGTTCCTGAAACTGGGAGTGATTGCTCCAGGTGACTGAGAGATCCCACACATTTTATCTGTTATATCTCCTTCCTAAATCCTGCTTTCAGTGTGATCCTGCCCTGAAGTTGCATCTCTGAGAACACTCTTAGCTCCCTAATTTTTCATCTCTGTGTATTTGTGCATCTTACACTAAGGTAGGGTGATCAGATAAAATATGAAAAATCAGGATGCGCGTGGGGGGTAATATGTGCTAATATAAGAAAAAGCCCTGAATATCAGGACTGTGCCTATAAAAACAGGACATCTAGTCACCCTACACTAAGGGGCATGCATCCAGCTCAGCAGCCCACATTTCCACCTTTCCTCCTGAGAGCCCTGTGTTTCTTTTGGGTTCCCTAGAAAGGACACCTCATGCCCTGCTTCTCCACCTCTCCCATCATTCTTCTGTCACATCCCTGCCCATGCTGCTCTCTGTGTTACCCCTGCCCTCTTTTTTGCCAAGAAGCCAAGTCTGGCAAGTACTGAGGGCAGCGGTAGCTTTACTGTTGTTGAATGTGCATGCTCGGGTCTCTAATGTATGCGCAATAATAGATGTAGACTAGCCCTGGGATGGGGGGGTTGGACCGGTGGCAGCACCCCGCGCCCTTGTTCCTGCCGGGCTGGCACAGGCGCAGTAGTCAGGTGTAATTCAGGCCCCACACTAGCCCCCTTCCTCGCTATCCCATCCTTGGGCCTGCGAGGGGCCGGGCTCTCCCGGGAGGTCCCAGCCTGGGACACACCTTGGTCCGATGGGTCCCTTCTAGGGAGCAACACGGCTCATGGGCTGTGGTGGCACTGAAGGGTTGTGGTCTGGGGTCCCATTGCCACGTTGACCCCGGGCAGTGGGCTGGTTGCGCCTTCCCTGGTTGGCTTAGAATGAGCTGGCATTGCCCCATCCAGCCTCTCTGGGATTTCTCCATCCTTAATGGAGCTGGTGCAATGCCAGTGGTGCAGCTGGGAACGTTAAATGCAGGAATTCATGGTGCCCTGTTTCTGGCAATTTGGTATCTCTGCCTGACTCCAAAGTTTGTAGCATTGCCAAACCTCCAGGATTCTCCCAGTGTCTCCAGAAATTAAAAATTAATCTCTACTTAAAGATCATGTCATGGGATGAAACCTCCAGGAATACGGCCAATCCAAATTTGGCAACCCTAAAGGGTTGGGTCAGCTTGTTCCCTGACTAATGGAAAAGGGTCACTCCGAAGTGAGCCCACTAAACACAACAAACTCCATTGTTCTCCGGAGCAAGAAGACATTGGCACAAATGTCTTGATGAATTTATTGGGGAGACACTAGTTCTTGAAAAGATACAACGTACTCTAGAAATCAATAGGAAAGAAGGGTTGCCAGGACTTCTGAGCACCAGAGAAGCTTTAGAGAATGCATCAAAATTTATTCACTGAACACAAGAGACGGTGGCTCCAGACACTTAAAGTCAGACACAGACTGATATTGTCTCAGGGACGAGAATTATTCTTCTTCGTGTGATTTATAAAATCTTCTCTCCTTTTTACAAATGTATTTTCTCCTTCACTGCCCTTTTACTACTTGACAGAGTGTCTCTGAGACTTCCTTTGTTTTTCATCACGCTAGGTATTATTCATGACAAATGCAGGATGTTCCACAAAACAAGGTTAAACCACAAAACAAGGTTAAATCAGGGCTCTCAGGAATTTACAGGGGCTTTTAAAGTATGGAATGTTGTAGCCATGTCAGTCCCGGGATATTAGAACAAGGTGGGAGAGGTAATAGCTTTTATTGGACCAATGTTGGTGAGAGAGACAAGCTTTCGAGTTTACACAGAGCTCCTCTTCAAGTCTGGGAAACTTATCAGAGTGTTTACCTCTCTTTATCTGTGACGCTCTGATTAAGTTACCCAGACCTCAAGAAGAGCTCTGTGTAAACTCGAAAAAGTTTGTCTCTCTCACCATCTGAAGTTGGTCCAATAAAAGATATTACCTCACCCACCTTGTCTTTTTAGGGGACCATTTACGACACACGGCAGTTATGTGAAATGCAACACTGTAATTTATATATATATAATTTGTTGCATTTTTAAAAGGGTGTTAGGTGCCATAGAGACATAAAATGACATAGACACAGTCCCTGCCTTACAATGCTTGCAGTCTAAAATGTGTCCATTATGTTTCTGCAGATGAAACTTTTATCTGTGTTTGCTGGATCCCTTTTCAAGGTATAAATGGGCTCGTAAACAATGAACTGCAGTCATCATCTTGTGCTACTGAATACATTAGCTGAGATTATTATTGAGGTCCTTCAGTTACAGCTTTGTAGTTAAAACTGAGATTTGCACTTAATACAGAAATGAATCACTGATTTATGTATGAAGAATACAGCATATACTCCCCAAAATTACAGCACTTTATCAGAAAATTCATTCTGTATTCAAAGATAATTTACAAGTAAATCCACTAATTAGTTTGAGATAAAATTAATTTTACAATGTCCTTTAGCATTCAGACCTTTCTTGTCTAGAAAACTTTATCTCTGCTCTGTAGTGAACCCATAAGTAATTTTTTACAACTGTCCTTAATGTCTTTAAAGTCAATTTAATCTAATCGGGGACCCAAAACAAAAATTATTGATCATAATTTTATGGTTATTGCATGGTGTTGTTACAGGACAGAGTTCATGTTATTTAGATGCCTTTACTGTTTATTTCCATATTTTAATATGTTTGTATTTCTTTTAAGTTTTACCTTAACTCCTGGGTTTGTATACTTGTTTTTGGGATAATTACAACATCCCTGTAATGTTAATGTTTTTACCTTTAAGTTACTGATATATCTTTAAATGTAGTTTTTTTGTATGGAAATAACCTTTTTTGTTTCAATTATTAAGGTGTGTTAAGACCACTTCTTGTATGCTGATCAATACTGTCTCATTTTTTCCTTGTACTCTCATATTCATCTGGAACCATCTGATGTCTCTTGACTTATTCTTACATTGTAAACTGTTGGGGCAGGGGCTGGTTTTTTGCTCTGTGTTTGTATAGCACCTAGCACAATGGGGTTACCAGAGCTACAATAATACAAATTTTAAAAAAGTTACCATGTGATATATACAGTGATTTATGAAATGTATGTAATATCAACCTTAATTTTTGTTTTAATTTTAGCTTTAGCGATAGATTCACTTATTCGCTCTCACTGCTTTATGGCACTTTGGAGCAGTCCAAAGTACCAACAGTATTCTGGCCTGTTAAACTGGGTTTACAGTGGTCAGGACTGGGTGCGGTACAGTCATGTCAGGGAGAGGAGCTGCCTGGGGTGAGTGCTGGCTCTTGCCAGTGGGGGCCCAACATGCTGCTGCTTTCGCCACTGTGGTTCCTGGCAGAGCCTGTTATATCTGTGGATATGCATATCCGCGGATATGAATTTTGTATCCACACAGGGGTCTTAACTTTTTACTCTCAAAATGCAGGCGCTTGCAGGGTTTGGTGGGAATTTTGTGAATCACAGTGGACCCTAAAACTGAGGCTTAGAATATCAGGGTTGGAAGGGACCTCAGGAGGTCATCTAGTCCAAACCCCTGCTCAAAGCAGGGCCAATCCCCAATTTTTGGCCCAGAATGGCCCCCTTAAGGATTGAACTCACAACCCTAAGTTTAGGGGGCCAATGTTCAAACCACTGAGAGCTATCCTTCCCCCAAAAGTACCTTTGTGAATCCCATCCTTAGCTGATTGGGATACAGGGTTTTTTTAAATGTTGATTTAAAATCGGCCAATTTAGCAAGGAAGGAAACTTCCTGAATAGGCAACTGGGCAACTTGACTCAGAATTGAAATAAAATGGATATTTCCACCCCGTTTCCGTTTTTTTGTTTTTAAACGGAGGTTACCCGTGTCTGGGAGCCGGGCAGGCGTAACAGAAGGCAGGCGGAGAGCAGGGATGGGGCGCTCAGCGGCGACGGGGAGGCTCTGCGCAGAGGCGACCTGTGGTGGGCAGAGCAGCCGTCCCCGGCGCTCTGTAGAGGGCCGAGAGGGGTGGGCTTAGTCCCGGCGTGTGCTGTTCCTGGGCGGCCCGGCAGAGGGCGCAGCAGGCGGAGGCCGCGCTCTCTCTGCCGGCCCGGCCTGTGGTGGTAGCGGCGGCGGCCCGGAGCTCCTCAGACATTGCGACCATGGAGATCGGCACCGAGATCAGCCGCAAGATCCGGGTGAGAGAGAAGGGGGCCGTGGGGCCCCGGGCAAGGCGCTGGCGAACCCAGCTCCCCCCGCTCGCCGTGTTCCCGGGGGGGTGCGGCCCCGGGCCCCTCTCGCGCTGCAGCCGCTGAACAGGGCCGCAGGCTGGTGCCACGGGCCGGGCACCCCGCCGTGCGCTAACGAGCCCCGGGCCCAGCTGTGAACCGTCCGCCGGGGTCCACGTCCAACCCGCTCGCCGACGTGCGCGCGCGCCCAGCGGGGAGAGGGGGCAGGCGACGAGGGAATGGCCAGGGAGTGAGAACAGGTGGCGAGAGGCCCAAATCACAGCCCCCGCCTGCCCCCCCCGACACCCCGCTTCCATCGGGGTTTGGAATCCGACCCCACATCCAGATCCGAACTGTGCCGCCAAAGCCGGCTCTGGAAGGGGCCGAACCGACCTCCAAACATCCCCGCACTCGGGGAGGCCGAACTCTGGCTCTGAATGATGCAGCTTGAGCCCAACACTAGTATACACCAACCTGATTCAAAAATCATGAGGTAGATTCTCTTCCCTTCCTCCCGCCCCCGTCATGAGATTGGTTTAAAAATGAGATTTTTTTTAAAAAAAGGGTTTCTTCTTACTGTTTGTTTTATTGGGGGAGGAGGGTGTTCACGTTTTCCAGTGTTTCTCTGCAATTATGAAGGGCTTGGAAAATTAAAAACATAAATGGAGATTTTCAAGTAATCTCATTACTCAAGGAGCTAGGGATACCGGAGATACTGGTGATTACATCATGAGAGTTGTCAACACTGCCTCTCCCCTTGGAAGTTTGCTTTGCAAATAGTGGAAAAGAGGAAAAATAAGCTCAACACCTGTACAAGATCTGTGTTAGTGGTGTTGACAAACACATTTTAGCAACCAACATTCTTTCAGAGTTTGGGTATTAGTTATATCCAGTGTTCCTTAACTTAAATGCAATACTCTTAATTTATTTTCTTTTTGTAGGGTGCTATAAAGGGAAAATTGCAGGAGCTGGGGGCTTATGTCGGTAAGTTTTATTCTGTTTAATAGCTTTATTTAGGCTCATTGTAGTTAAAGGTGGAAAACCCCTGCTAGTTTGTGTCTGTCCCCTGCAAGAGTATAAGGTAGTTTCCTCCCATGACAGTGTGTGGGGTACTGCACTGACTTTAGCTATTTATTTTAGTGTAACAATAGTTCACAAGTTGATATAGTGCTCCACTGGAAGCAACTCTGAGAAAGGCTTCAATCCTGTGTCTGGATTTATACTTACAAACTCCGGCACTCACCTGGAGCACAGTTGAAGTCCATGGGGAATGGGCTACATGGGTGTAAGGATCACATGCCATTGGGTGATCAAGCCCAAAGGTTGTAGCTGGGTCCGAAATTAATCCTGCCACCTATTTAAATGTGTCAGATGGGTAATTACATTTACAGGTTTACCCAAAGTGGTTATGAAAGGATGCCCCATCATTTTCTCAGCCCATCATGTCTGAAGAGGATGAGCTCATAATTTCTCCTTGCAAGTCTTCTCTTTAATTTGTTTGTCAGCCCCACTGTATATTTGGTCATTCAACCATGCAACCTGGTTGTCTTCTTTGATTCTGCTCTTTCCTTCTCACTGTTACCTTTCGGTTCTCTGGTCTCCCAATTATATAGCTTCTTTTTCAAAAATATCTCTGAAATCAGTTCTTTCTTTTTTCTAGAGCCAAAATGTTATTAGTACTCAAGTAATCTCTGGTGTTAATTACTGCAAATGAGGAAGTTAGTTAACTAGAAATTAAAGGGTATAATGCCCAAAGTGAAATCCCTGCAAGCTTCACGGGAACTTTTTAAAGACACCATAATAGAGGCTCAAATTAAATGTATACCCAAATTAAAAAACACAGTAAGAGAACCAAAAAAGTGCCACCAGGGCTAAACAACAAAATAAAAGAATCAGTTAGAGGCAAAAAGGTATTCTTTAAAAAGTGGAAGTTAAATCCTATTGAAGAAAATAGAAAGGAGCAAAAGGCCAAAAAGAACGTGAAGAACAGCTAGCCAACTCAAAAAGTAACAGCAACATTTTTTTAAGTACATCAGAAGCAGGAAACCTGCTAAACAATCAGTGGGGCTACTGGAGGATTGAGATGCTAAAGGAGCACTCAAAGAGGATAAGGCCATTGTGGAGAAACTAAATGAATTCTTTGTATTGGTCTTCATGGTTGAGTATGTGAGGGAGATGTGACGGGTTGGATCACAGAAAACCCCTTGGTAACTACCACCTGATGTACTTTGACTACCTCTGAGTCTGTTTTCCCTACCAGCTTAGGACTTCAGTGCCCTGCCTGGTTTGAGCCAGATACACTTGCCTGCTACAAACCCAGACCCAGGTCTGAACTACGTTCCCTAAAAGCTGCAGGCTTAACTGAAAACAGCTTAAGAAGTGTTCCTGTCTCCAACACTCAGATGCCCAGCTCCCAATGGGGACCAAACCCCAAATAGGTCTGTTTTACCTTGTATAAAGCTTATATAGGATAAACTCATAAATTGTTCAGCCTCTATAGCACTGATAGAGAGAGATGCACAGATGTTCCCCTCCTACCCCCCCAGGTATTAATACATACTCTGGGTTAATTAATAAGTAAAAAGTGGTTTTATTAAATACAAAAAGCAGGATTTAAGTGGTTCCAAGTAATAACAGACAGAACAAAGTGAATTACCAAGCAAAATAAAATAAAACACGCAAGTCTAAACCTAATACAGTAAGAAAGTGATTACAGATGAAATCTCACCCTCAGAGATGTTCCAGTAAGCTTCTTTTAGAGACTAGCCTCCTTCTAGTCTGGGTCCAGCAATCACTCACACCCTTGTGGTTACTGTCCTTTGTTTCAGTTTCTTTCAGGTATCCTTTGAGGGTGGAGAGGCTATCTCTTGAGCCAGCTGAAGACAAAATGGAGGGATCTCCCAGGGGCTTAAACAGACTTTCTCTTGTGGGTGGAGACCCCTTCCTTTCTCCTATCCAGAATTCAGCTCCAAGATGGAGTTTTGGAGTCACATGGGCAAGTCACTTGTCCATGCATGACTGAGTTCCTTACCAGCCAGGCCACATTCCTGGGAAAGCTCAGATGTGGATTGACGTCTCCAAGTTCATTGTTTGGACAGTTACTGAGAATAGTCTTTTCTCAGGAAGCTGACCAACTGCTTCACCGAGGCTACTTAAAATTAAACAAGTACATAGCCAATATTCATAACTTTGAATACAAAAATGATACATGCATACAAATATGATGAATATATCCAGTGGATCATAATCTTTACAGAGATATGTTACATGGCATATCTAGCATAAAACATATTCCAGTTATGTCATATATACATTCATAAGCATAATCCCATAAAGCATTATGGGGTGCAATGTCACAGGAGATTCCTCAACCTGAGCCATTCTTTTTAGGTGACAAATCTGAGGAACTCTCCCAAATTGAGGAGTCAGTAGAGGAGGTTTTGAAACAGATGGATAAATTAAACAGTAATAAATCACCAGGACCAGTTGGTATTCACCCAAAAGTTCTGAAGGAACTCAAATGTGAAATTGCAGAACTACGAACTGTGGTATGTAACCTATCATTTAAATCCACTTCTGTAACAGATGACTGGAGCATAGGTAATGTGATGCAAATTTTTTAAAAAAGACTCCAGAAGTGATCCTGGCCATTACAGACCAGTAAGCCTTACTGCAGTACAGGGCAAATTGGTTGAAACTATAGTAATGAACAGAATTGTCAGACACATAGATAAACACAATTTGTTTGGAGAAGAGTCAATATGGTTTTTGTAAAGGAAAATCATGCCTCACCAATCTACTAGAATTCCTTGAAAGGGTCAACAAGCATGTGGACAAGGGGGATCCAGTGGATATAGTGTACTTAGATTTTCAGAAAGCCTTTCACAAAGGTCCCTCACCAAAGACTCTTAAAGTAAGCTGTCATGGGATAAGAGGGAAGGTCCTCTCCTGGATTGGTAACTGGTTAAAAGATAGGAAACAAAAGGGTAGGAATAAATAGTCAGTTTTCAGAATGTAGAGAGGTAAATCGTGGTATCCCCAGGGGTCTGTACTGGGACCAGTAATATTCAACATATTCATAAATGATCTGGAAAAAGGGGTAAACAATGGGGTGGCGAAATTTGCAGATGATACAAAATTACTCAAGATAGTTAAGTCCCAGGCAGACTGTGAAGAGCTACAAAAGGATTTTACAAAACTGGGTGACTGGGCAACAAAATGGCAGATGAAATTCAATGTTGATAAGTGCAAAGTAATGCACATTGGAAAACATCATCCCAACTATACATATAAAATGATGGGATCTAAATTAGCTGTTACCACTCAAGAAAGAGATCTTGGAGTCATTGTGGATAGTTCTCTGAAAACAAGCATTCAATATGAAGCGGCAGTCAAACAAGCTAACAATGTTGGGAATCATTAGGAAGGGGATAGATAATAAGACAGAAAATATCATATTGCCTTTATATAAATCCATGGTATGCCTAGATCTTGAATACTTCATGCAGATCTGGTCAGCCAATATCAAAAAAGATACAGAAAAAATTATTAGGGATATGGATCAACTGCCATATGAGGAGAGATTAATAAGACTAGGACTTTTCAGCTTGGAAAAGAGACGACTAAGGGGGAATATGATAGAGGTCTATAAAATCATGACTGGTGTGTAGAAAGTAAATAAGGAAGTGTTATTTACTTCTTCTCCTAACACAAGAACTAGGGGTCACCAAATGAAATTGATAGGCAGCAGGTTTAAAAGAAACAAAAGGAACTATTTATTCACACAACACATAGTCAACCTGTGGAACTCTTTGCCAGAGGATGTTGTGAGGGCCAAGATGATAACAGGGTTCAAAAAATAACTAAATAAGTTCATTGAAGATAGATCCATCAATGGCTATTAGCCAGGATGGACAGGGATGGTGTCCCTAGCCTCTGTTTGCCAGAAGCTTTGTCCTCACCTCACCTCATCCTCACCTCAGTCCCTGGAAAAATCATGGAGCAGGTCCTCAAGGAATCAATTCTGAAGCACTTAGAGAAGAGGAAAGTGATCAGGAACAGTCAGCATGGATTCACCAAGGACAAGTCATGCCTGAATAATCTAATTGCCTTCTATGACAAGATAACTGGCTCTGTGGGTGAGGGGAAAGCAGTGGACGTGTTATTCCTTGATTTTAGCAAAGCTTTTGACACAGTCTCCCACAGTATTTGTGCCAGCAAGTTAAAGAAGTATGAGCTGGATGAAAGGACTATAAGGGGGATCGAAAGCTGGCTAGATTGTCTGGCTCAGTGGGTAGTGATCAATGGCTCCATGTCTAGTTGGCAGCCGGTATCAAGTGGAGTGCCCCAAGGGGTGGTCCTGGGGCTGGTTTTGTTCAATATCTTCATAAATGATCTGGAGGATGGTGTGGCTTCCACCCTCAGCAAGTTTTCAGATGACACTAAACTGGGAGGAAGGGTAGATACGTTGGAGGGTAGGGATAGAATACAGAGGGACCTTGACAAATTAGAGGATTGGGCGAAAATAAATCTGATGAAGTTCAACAAGGACAAGTGCAGAGTCCTGCACTTAGGATGGAAGAATGCCATGCACCCCTACAGACTAGGGACTGAATGGCTAGGCAGCAGTTCTGCAGAAAAGGACCTAGGGGTTACAGTGGACGAGAAGCTGGATATGAGTCAACAGTGTGCCCTTGTTTCCAAGAAGGCCAGTGGCATTTTGGACTGTATAAGTAGGGGCATTGCCAGCAGATCAAGGGACGTGATCGTTCCTCTCTGTATGGCTGTTCTTCTGTAACCCCCTCTTCCATTGTCTCTCCCCACCAGCTAGTTCATTCAAAAGACAGCTACCAAGATAATCTTTACAATGGCTCCCGTTCTTCTGAATTATGTTCAAGCTTCTCATTTTATTGAAAGGTCTCTGGACCCACCTACATCTCTGTCCATGTATTATCTTACCTTCTGTCTACACTCAAGTTGTGGTCCTTTGTCGTCATTTCTCGCTCCTGATTTTACACTTTCTTTCATGTTGCCCTTAATGCTTGGAACAGCCTTCCAGTTAATATTTGCCTCCATTTCTTCCTTTAGAAAACCAAAATCCTCCCTACTTCTTGAGCCATTTTTACTATTCTGAGCATAGACCATTCTGTATGTGTACATTTTTATTCCGATTTGTGTCTATTTGTGCCATTCTGTTAGGTTTTCTGTAAAAAGACTTGTTTTTGGTTTTTTAAAGTTATTTATAATGTAGAAATAACTGTTAATGGAAAATCTCACAACATAGGAAACTAAAGAGAAGAAAAAATATTCTAAAATGCTAATCCAGAATTTTTCAAAATATACCTAAATCTCACATTTGTACAGATCCCGAAGTTTTTCAGCAAGGGAGTAACTTCCATACATTTTGGTAAGAGACTAGGGGACTGTGAACAGTAATGTCTTACTCTGGAATGGTTCACAAAGTATTAGCACAGGGCTGAAATGATATCTTACGAACTTTAACAACTGCTGTTGCAGTATATGAATTTAACGGCTGTAGTCACACAAACTGTCACATTCTCCTCTGTACATTTGACAATATAAGAGAAAATGTAATTCTGTTCAGTTATGCTTTGATTCCACTTTAAGACTTCCTCCTTTTTTCTCTGATTTGTTTCCTTAGGCCCTGATACTGTAAAGGCTTATGCATATGCTTGATTGTAAAGTCTTCGGGGCATGGACTGTCTGCTGCTCTGTAGAGTCCTAGTAAAATGGGGCCCCACTCTTGATTTGTTCTAAGGCACTACTGTAATAAACATGTTAAATACAAATATGCTTGACCTTACACGCTGTGAGTAGTCTCTCTGAAGTCAGACAACTCACAGTAGAAAGTTAAGCACATAAATAAGTCACTTGAAGATTGGGGCCTTGATTTTTATTTATTTATTTATTTAAATAAAGAATGGATGTACCATTATTAAGGTTAAGATTTAGTCATAGGTATTTTTAGTAAAAGTCATGGACAATAAACAAAAATTCATGGCCCATGACCTGTCCATGAGTTTTACTATAGGCACCCCTTACTAAATCTTAACCCCGGGGCGTGGGTGCACTAGGGGGCCCCCGGGGCCAACCCCACTTGCTGCTGTAGCTGCAGAATTTCATGGAGATCGTGGAAAGTCACGGAATCCATGACTTCCGCGACCTCCCTGACAAACTTGTAGCCGTAGCCACTATTTCCTCTCAGCAGCGTTCCCCACCACTCCCTCAAATAAAGATAGGTAAGGAGCAGTTCTGAATTGGATTATCTTCAGTAAACATTATTGGTTTTCTTTTACATTTAGTGACAACGGTAGCTTTGGGGTTGCGCAGCATTGTTAAGTGTCATCAAAATAAAAAAGGGTACATCTAATCCTCTTCATAAAGTCATTCAGAATGCTGCTGCTGTTTTAATAATCTAATATTTTGAAATGTAAGGCACTGTAGAGAATTGCAAAGTGCTTTATACATAGTAAGGAATGAAAGTAAGACATTGTTTCATTGATATTCATCTGAAATGAACAATAGTTTGTTTTTAATCTTGCATTTTAATCTTTTAATCTCTCAATCAGGCCCTGATTGAACAAAGCACTTAAAAATGTATGTAACTTCAAGTGATTTAATTGGCACTGCTGACATGCCTAGTTATGCACGAGTTGAAGTGTTTTGCTGAATCCAGACCCTAATGTTCTTACCATTCCCCCATGAAGTATATAGTGTCTATCTATGCTTATTCATTTTTTTTAAGATGGAATTTTTGAAGTTAATAGGTAAAGGTTTGTCTGTAAATTTTATGCATAAATCAGAAAGGAAATTTCTTTATTTCAGGGACATGTTTTCCACAACTTCCTGCAGCTCCCGTTGGCCGGGAACTGTGAACCACGGCCACTGGGAGCTGCAGGGGGCAGTACCTGCAGACAGTCAATGCAAACAAAATGTCTCTTGGCCCGCCAGTGGATTTCCCTGATGGGCCACATGCCAAAAGTTGCCGACCCTTGCTCTATTTGGTTGCTTTTCCTGAAGGAGAAAGTCCTTTTGCAGTATAGGGCTTTTATCTTAAATATTTGAATAAATGAGAAACGTATACTATGAGTGTTTAAATTAAAGGCCATAATATACAAATGTGATATCAAAATGACATTGTTCATATGTTTATCATGTATGTGTGACTCACTTGCTCTTTTAAAATTTTACTGTAGTCTTTAATTTGGGTTCTGGTGGAGTTGACAATCTTATGTGCTTTAGCCATATCTGAAGCTTGTTGTATTTCAGAGGAAATGGAAAACTTGTCCACGAAAAGCTTGCTTATTCATTTGCTTATCAGATAATCTATTTGTTGTGCTGTCATAAGTAGGTATGTCTGACATACCGGGATGCAGTCCAGACCAGTGATGGGCTGTCTCATCCCTGTCCTACAACCGTTACTCCTGGGGGAATACTGCGCATGTTCAGAATTTATGTCCCCCTGCAGATTTCTTTGCTTCCCCGCAGAAAAATAACTTTCTGACAGGGAAGCAAAGGGAAGCCACAAGAGCAGTCATGTGACTCGCCCCGGCAGTATGTTTTGTGTGCCCAGGGCAGCCGATAGAGAGGTAAATCACTGTGGGGCAGGGGGCAGGATTGGGGAAGACCCAGCCGGTGGCTCCTACCCTGCACTGGGCTCAGCTGCTAGTCCCGGCTGGGCTGGGGAGGACAGGACTTCCTCTTCCCCTGCATGGCATCTGGGGCTTTGTCAGACCCACTCCCAGATTTCTCCATCGGTTGTAGGAAGCTCTGCAAACTCCCCTCCTGCCTGCGTCTTCTCCCCCACCCCCGGCGCATCCTGCACCCATCACTCCTCAGCTGCAGGGGGAGGGATCACTGTACAGGGAGCTACTCCCCCATCCACCCAACCCCTACTGCATCCAGAACCCCTCATACCCAGAGCCTCACGCCGAGCCTCCCCCTCGCACCCATAACCCCCCCAATAAGACCCTACCCCCGCACTACCTTGATGAGCCACCCACACCCAGATCCCCACCGTACCGAACTCCAACCAGCTGCACCTGGATCCCCACTCCCCTGGCATCTGGACCCCACCACTGAACCCCCCACACCCACCCTACTGATGTCTATCCCCCCACACCCAGACACACACCCCGAGCCCCAACCACCTTCACCTGGACCCCTTTGCAGAGTCCCATTAGTGTTGCACCCAGAACCCCCCAACAAGCCTCTGTGCATCCAAATTCTTCCCCCCGCACCCGGACCCCACTGAGCCACCTGCACCCAGGTTGCCCCACACAGAACCTTCTAAATCCACACCTGGATCCATCCACGCTAAGCCCTTCCGTAATTGGATCCTGCCTTGCTGAGCCTGCTTGCCCACACCTGGTGCACTTGGCATGGACGGGCATGGCCCTGGGGTGTTTCTGGGGCGGGCCTGGTCCTTGCGCTGTGTCAGGGTTGGGTGCAGCCTCACCACTGAGTCTGTGTCCCGGGAGGAAGCTGGGAGGAAGCACAGTGATCTCCCACCTCTGTGCAGTCAGTGGCCTGTGCTTCCCAATGCCATGCTGGAGCCTCCACATTTATTTGACAAATAAAATTTGCGGAATTTTGCAGAATTTTAAAATATTGTGTGCAGAATTTATATTTTTTTGGCACAGAATTTTTAATTTTTTCATGCAGAATGCCTTCAGGAGTAAACCTTGAGTGCCGCATAATACCTTGCTTATAGTAGCTCCAACCTAGGCTGCTCACAAATGGCCTTCCAGCATGCAGGTCTCACCATGAGTCTCTGTACAGCTGCAGCCTGCTAGCCACACTTGGGTTTCACTCTAGCTCTTACCAACCTGAGTTATACTGCAGAGTATCAGAGTATTCCTCAGCATACTCCCAGTCCTGGATTCCTCCCCCCGCACCCCCCAAAATGTGTCTTGTACTGCACAGCCCTCTCCCGAACAGTGCACATTAATTCCGTCATTCCTTTAAGGAATAATACAAGTTTACCACCTTAAATGGAGTTACTCAGATACTTCAATTTAAATACTGGATTAGCTAAATCAAGTTTATTAACTACAAAGAGAGAGTTTTAAGTGAGTACAAGCAATGAGGCATAAAAGTCAGTAATGGTTACAAGAAAATAAGATAAAAATGCTTTCTGGTGCCTAGTTTAACAGATTTTAAAAATTTTATTAACGCTAATGTTAAAATTACATAATACACAGGTTGCGAAAAGAGTGACTGTACATCTAGGTATAGTGCTTGGATTATCCACAAATACAAAATTTGTTTTTAAAAGTCATATGGTACATACATAACATAATCAGCAATAACCCAGATTTAGGTGAATAATTTTAAGAATACAGTTTAGATCAGGGGTGGCCAACCTGTGGCTCTGGAGCCACGTGCGGCTCTTCAGAAGTTAATATGCGGCTCCTTGTATAGGCACTGACTCCGGGTCTGGAGCTACAGGCGTCAACTTTCCAGTGTGCTACAGGGTGCTCACTGCTCAACCCTTGGCTCTGACACAGGCCCTACCTCCACTCCACCCCTTTCCGCCCCCTCCCCTGAGCCTGCCATGCCCTCACTCCTCTCCCTCTCTCCCGAGAGCCTCCTGCACGCCACAAAACAGCTGATCGGGAGGGAGGGGGAGGCACTGATCAGCGGGGCTGCCGGTGGGCGGGAGGTGCTGGAAACGGGGTGTGGGGGAGCTGATGTGGGGGCTGTTGGCGTATTACTGTGGCTCTTTGGCAATGTACATTGGTAAATTCTGTCTCCTTCTCAGGCTCAGGTTGGCCACCCCCAGTTTAGATATTAGACTCACAGCAAATTTTCTTACCATATGCTTCCAACAGCATTACTGACCAAACTTTCAGGTCAGGATTCCTCCCCCAGAGTCCAATGCCTGCTTCTTTTGTCTTCTCAGGTGCAAAGAGTGAGACGGACAGGGAGAGAGAGGAGAGGAGCTTTGGAGTATTTGCCCCTCCTCTTTATAGTTTCAGTCCCTCTTTGAAAAGCATTTCCAGTTGAGAACTGAGAGACTGGGGTCTGATGGACCAGGGAGACCTCATGCTGTTTCTTTTCTAAGATGCAGGTTTCTTTGTCCTTGCCCCCCTTTCTTGCCAAAGAGTGATCACTGGATAGGGGATGGCCCATCAGCTTTGTTGACACCTGGCTGGGGCGTCTGCGTGCCCTTTGTCTTTGAAAAACTGGTTTAGCTACTCCCCAGATTTATCTGGGAAACACACTTCAGTCATGATTTCATCTTATGTTCATAACTTTACACATGATTTTCCTAGATGCATTTTACAATGATATTACTGATCAGCAAGTTAGGAGTTTTCAAATGATACCTCACAAGGCATGCCTTGTACAAAGATTATTACAATAGCGTATAGGGTGTGAATACAGGGGTGCATTCCATCACAATATGTCAAACATAGAAGGGTTTTGGTGAAGCAACTTCATGGGCTACATGTAGTGTTGTCAGTGATGCAGATTTTTTTATTGCAAAAAAGAGAACCTTGAAAGCTTTTGATTTTACAAGAAAATTCGCAAGTAATTACCAATTAGTTTAAACAAATCTGTTTGGCCATGATTTTGCTATTCTCTTGCTACATTCTGTGCTTCCTGTTTAATGGAAATCTTTATTTCAAGGAGTTTATAGTAAAACTGGAGAAATATTTTGATGTCTTCTTTTTCTCTGCCTCTTTTGTGCATCTACTGTACTTTGAAAATCTTATAGAAATGTCATTGTTAATTACAAAGTTGCTTTGAAAAATAATAACGTATTATTTTTTCTTCCAATTAGATGAAGAGCTCCCTGATTATATTATGGTCATGGTGGCCAACAAGAAGAGTCAGGAGCAGATGACAGAGGACCTTTCCCTTTTCCTAGGAAACAACACTGTCAGGTTTACTGTATGGTATGTTTGTGATCTACATTTTCCATGAACCTTACTTCTAATAATTATTTTGTAACTGCATTCTTTATATGCGACTTGAGAATATAAGAAATTACACATTTTGTCATTATGCAAGTAAAGTTTGATCAGTTAATTTTTTCTTGTGCATGAAGTGATGCAATATAGTAACTGATAATTTTTAAAATTATTACTTGTAGCTTGCCAGTATTCAGGCAGTGGTAACACTAACATTAACACACACACATACACACACACACACACACACACACACACCAGTTAGAGACTGAGGTATTGATATTCTCCTTTTGTCCATTTTTCCAGCTGAACTGTTCTGAAATGTTCAAAATAAATTAGGAGTCTATTTAGACATGGGTTAGCAAAACTGAGTTTCAAACATCTGAATGCCATCAAGGGAGTTGCCCTCAGAAAATTATTACTGCAAAATTATATAAGAACTAGAGAACATTACACAGTGCAGTCATATCTGGTTATGGTAGATGTATTTGGTAAACTTCCCTTTTATTCAGATTAACACAGTTTCAGTTAGAGATATTGATATTGTGTAGGCATTATAGGTATGCAGTGTGGTAGCCGTGTTGGTCACAGGATATTAGAGAGACAAGGTGAGTGAGGTAATATCTTGTATTGGACCAACTTCTGTTGGTGAGAGACACACAACCGACTTCTTCCACAAACTCTGCAACATTAAGAACCTCCCTCAGAACATCATTCTTGCCACCATGGATGTCACTTCCCTATATGCCAATATCCCTCACTGTGATGGCATAGCTGCCTGCCTTGAAATATTTTCAAGACAATGGACAACCCTCAGATATCTACCCCAAACACATCACCAAATTCATCCATTTATCTTCACCCATGACAATTTTCCATTCAACAACACCATGCATTGTCCAAACCATGGGAACATCCATGGGTGCCAAGATGGCTTTCCAATATGTCACCCACTTTGTGTTCCTCCTTAAAGAAGAATTTCTGAGCAAATGCACCATGATACAAGTGATATACCTCAGATACATCAATGATAGATTTCCACCACAACATTAAAAATCAGCACCTGTCCACTAAACTCTTTCTGGAACGGTCCCACACTAGCATTAACTTCCTGGACACCATAATCAGCTTCAGCAGTGGAACCCTACAGACAACCATATACAAGAAACCCATGAATCACCACATCTATCTTCATAGCGCAAGTAACCACACCAAGAAATCTGTTATCTAGAGCCAGGCACTCAGATACCACAGAATATGCTCCAAGGCAAAAGTCCAGGATATACACCTTAACACATTTCAAACTGTCTTCACCAAACAAGGGCACTCCACCAGAGAAGTAGATCTGGTCAATCATGGAATGGGCCACCCAGATACCCTGAGAGACTGCACACCCCTAGTTATCACCTACCAACCCACACTGGAACCCATATGAGTATAGCGAAACCGCTAAAACCCATACTCAATGAGGACCTCACCCTGAAAGAAATCTTTCCAGAACCCCCTCTTCTGACCTTCAAACAACCTCCCAGCCTCTCCAAGCTCCTCATCAAAAGCAAACTCCCCATAGACCAAAATGCACCAGCTCAAAGTGGCACCAGACCCTGCCAGAGCAACAGATGCAAAACCTGCAGACATATCTCCACTGTTGCCATGATCAGCACCCCCCACAACACACCTTTCAAGATCCATGGGTCCTACACATGTCTATTATAACACGTGGTGTACCTCATCCAATGCACTCAATGCCCCAATAACAACTATGTGGGTGAAACCAAACAATCACTATGCTCTCGAATGAACTCTCATAGAAAAATGATAAAAGACCAAAAAAAACCTGTTCTCTGTGTGTGAATACTTTTCACAAAGCGGTCACTCTATATCAGACCTATCAGTCTTCATGTTCAAAGGAAACTTGCACAATGCTTTCAAAAGACAAGCCTGGGAGCTTAAATTCATGAGTGTGCTAAACACTAAAAATCATGGACTGAACAGAGACACTGGATTTATGGCTTATTACAACAATCTATAACCAGCAACCCTCCCCCAGCTGCCGCTCCCTTCCTCTTCCCCTTATGACTGGAGTGGTGTTAACAGGTCACTTCAGCTTGAATGGTCCCTTGAAATATGTGTTAACTACTTGTGCTAAACAATCTGTTCCAGACCTGAAGAAGAGCTCTGTGTAGGGCTATGTCTGCATTATAGCCTATGTCGGCATAACTTATGTTGCTCAGGGATGTGAAAGAACCACCCTCCTGAGTGACATAAGTTACACTGACACAAGCGCCAGAGTGGACAGCGCTATATCGGCGGGAGACCTTCTCCCACCGACATAGCTACTGCCGCGCATGGAGGTTGTTTTATTATGCTGACGGGAGTGCTCGCTCCTGTGGGCATAGAGCGTCTTCGCCAGACGCGCTGCAGCTATATAAGTACAGCTGTGCCACTGCAGTCCTGTACATATAGGCATGGCCTAAGTTCATAAGCCTGTCTCTCTCACCAACAGAAGTTGATCCACTGAAAGGTATTACTTCACCCACCTTGTCTCTCACGACATTATAGGAACATAGGAATTGCCAAATCAGGGCAGATGATTGGTCCATCTACTTCTGTATTCTTTCCTTGGCAACAGCTGTAGATGCTTCAAAGAAAGGTGCAAACTGCCTCCCCTAATGACTCCAAAACCTCATGATGAACAATTATGAAAAAACCTGCCCATCAGGGAAATATCTTCCAAAGTCCTAGGAGCTATGGATACTTTATACCCTGAAACATGACAGTATGAATCCCTCATAACTTTTGTCCTGTCTAATGTAACACTAGGGAGGCTTACTGTCTTCACCTTTCATTAAATTTAGGTTTGAATGGTTTTAAAATTTGATAACATTTAAAGGGGTGTTGGGTTAATTTAGGAGCTTTCCAACTTTGAAAGTTTCAATTTTTTCCACAGGTAAACTGACTTCTGAATTTTTTTTACCTACTATAGTTTAAAGTAACACTTAATATTTTAATTGAAATAAAATAAAATATTACAGTTCTGGGTTTTTTTTTTTTTTTTGAATTTGCTTTTTGCCTTTGGCAGCAGTTTGTTTATTGTCACTTTCACTGTTTCTCCTGTAAATTAGTCAGTTTCCCCTTTTGTTGCTATAGGCCATTCATACAGCAACAGGACAGGAGAAAAACATTTTAAAAGATGGGGAAAATGTGATTGTAAAAACACAACAATTTACACGAGGAACTGAAAGGCAGGTGTAGTACCTGGAACTAATTTATAATTTTTAATTGACTAGATATCAACACGACAATGTCCCTTTACAGGACGTTGCTGGCATGTATTGCTTTTCATTTATTTTAGGCAGGTGTAGAGGTGAGATGGGGGGGGGGGTGTCACATGTCCCACCCAGATTTTTGTGAGCACCGTGGTGCCTTTGTGTGGCTTTACTCGGCCTGCTGCGGGAAGGGAAGCTCTCTCCTTCTCATGCTGCACCGTCTTCCCTCCTCCCCTTCCTTCCCCCTCCCCTCGTCCGGCACATTTCCAGTTCGCTTGGCCCTTCTCCCCAACAGCGGGCCCAGGTGGTGAGTGGAGGGGGTGGGACGGGTGCTACCTCTCCTGCTGGGTGAGGGTGGCTGCTCTGGGTCGCTGTCTCTGGAGCTGGTGGGGTTGTCTGCCCTGGCCCAGGGAGATGGGGCTGGAAGGTTCCTGTACTAAGAGGCAACACATGGGTCAGTCACATACCTGTTGAGGGCACAATTTAAAGATTGTGGGTATGTGTCGCCTCTGCGTGCTTGTCAGAAACAGAAGAAAAGAGCATACAATTTATTGTTTTTTGAAAAGTATACACACTTGTACATGCTCATTTATTCCCTATTGTGGCATGCCTGAACAGTTTGTGGGTTTGGGTGTTTTTGTCATTTTATCAGTCACACATCTGTGTGTCTTGCATCCAGTGGCTACATGAATCAATTAGAAAACAAAATAGATACTGTCAAATGTGGAGGTTAGTTCCATTACTGGAACTTGTTCTTCATAGCATCTTTTAGCTAGATTATATCCCAGAATGTATTATTAAATATGACAGAACATTTTAATACTTTGAAGGTGAATAAATTAAATTAAATCATTTACTCATAAGACCAGTAATGAGGTGAGGAGAGAAATTATTCTTCAGTGTAGGACAATATATCAAGATACATAAATTTTTAGATGTACTGCCTGTTTTGACAATGTCCTCTAAATTATTAAAGGAATGAGAGTACTGTAACTTAATCAGGTAACTCAGGTTTCTGGATCTGTTTGTGAATATAAATTTACTTCACAGCAAATATTTTGTCAAATATTGAAATACATTGTGGTTAAAAATAACTGAAAAGATGAAGATTAAATGAAATGTATCCAATGACAATCCAGAAATATGATGGGAAAAATTAAAATGGTAAATCCAGGAAACCTACAATTTTAAACATTGTTCTTATGCTTCCAGTCTTTGTTCTCACCAAAATGGATTTCTCTTAGATTTCAATACCAATCCTTTGTAGGGCATTCCCAAGTATAATGTATACCTCTAGTGTATAATTCTGATTCTGCTATAAAAAGTTTCACAGCACTGCCGTGACAGAGCTGTGGCTCAGTTTAAAGGTTTGTCAGCTCTTTTCTGACCAGGGCGGAGGCCTGGTCTACACTAGAAAATGAGTTCGGTTTAACTGCATCAGTCAGGGTCGTGAAAAATCAACCCCTCAGAGTGGCATAATTAAACCAACCTAAATCTCAGAATAGACAGTGCTAGGTCAAGGGAAGAATTCTTCCCTTGACATATCTACTGCTTCTCTGGGAGGTGGATTACCTACACCAACAGGAGAATCCGTCCCGTCAGCATAGGTAGTGGCTGCACTGAAGCACTACAATGGCGCAATTGTGCTGTTGTAACGTTTTAAGTGTAGTCAAGGCCTGAGTGTCAGGTCTCACCTTTCCTTGTGTCCTGAGTGTGAAAGTTGATCCATGATGATCACATCAGCAGGACTCAGCTGACTCTGCTTTGGGAGTGTTCTAGTGAGAATGCATGCAAGAGGGATCACAAAGGCTTCCTTACTGCAAAAGTGTTACTCAATCTTTTTTTCTCCTAAATTTCAATGGAACTCTCTTAGGCTCCGAAATTATGAAGATGTCTAGTTGCAACTGAGTAGGTAGGGTTGAATTCTAAAATGAGCTAAAAATGGGGCATGCATTTCTGTTTTTCTCTCAAGGTAGGGCTTCAGTCTGTATGAAATTTTACACAGGATTGTTTTATTCCCTTGTAATTTTCTTTGTTGGTTTTACTTCATACATTTTTAATAGGAAGCCTTTGAATTTGGGCTCTAGCTGAAATTTTTCCTTGGCCGTGTTTCTTGACTTCTCTCTTTAAAAAACATTGTTTTACATATGCAACATTTGCTAGGGAAGTGGATCTTGCATCCATCAGGTGCACAAAGCACAGTATTTGATCTGTGTATACAAAACTGATTGATTGAGTCTGGGAGTGTACAGAGATTGATTGATTGATTTTGGGGTTGGATGTACATAGAGATGATTGTGTAAGTGGAAAGCAGGCTCACTCAAATGAGAGGCCTGTTGACATGAAAAATAAAACTTATAAACCTTGGCTGATTTTTGAATGGCTACTGTTCTGAAAGAGTTTAAATTACTCATCTCCTCATCTCTCTCTTTTTTTCAGGCTACATGGTGTGTTAGATAAACTTCGGTCTGTAACTACTGGTAAGTAAAGTTTTTCCAAGAAAGCAATAGCTTAGCTTTGGAAGCAGATATCAGTACTGTATTTTCTTATACTCATATATATATTTTGCCAGTTTTTAAAAAGTTCTTAATTGGCTGTATCATTAATATTTAATGTTTATGATGTCTGTGGCTCCTGGCTATGAAGAAAATTGTCATGTATGTTGCTTTTGGAATGAAGTAAATATGATCTTTTTAAGCAGGTCTTGCTGCTTTTTCAGTCCAGTGGTTTGCTTCTGAGGATTTCTGTAGAGGCCAGTTGTTCATTATCTTGTGGCTTTACAGTTGCACTTGCTGTATAATTGATTTACATAAGCTAAGTCACTGAACTTTGATGTAAGGGAGAGGTGCACCTGTCTTCACAGAACCTACTAGCCTAAAGTCTTCAGACTCTAACATCTTTGAGAGCAACTTGCCTTCCAGCAAAAGCAGTTCATGTGGGAGTGATGAGAGACGGCGTGAGGAAATCCTACCACCTCTTGCAGTCTCCAGCACTCGGGCTGAAAGAAATGACTCCAGAGTTTCAACCAGCTCACAAGAGCAGAGAGCTGCTGCTGCCCGGTAAGGCTTCTACCTGCTTATTGGCAAGAGCTCAGATTTCAGAGGATATACATCACTGGAATTGTTGTTTGGAAGAGAAGTAGGAAATAACTAGCTGATGAGACCAGAACAGGAGAATGGAGGCTTTTCCAGTCTCAAGCAGAAAAGGATTGCTACTGTGTGTTGCATAAAATAAATATTATACCTGAAAAGTTTACATCATGCTTCTTTATGCCATAAATGTTCTTATCTTAACTAAAACTAAAAGTAGATGTAAAGTCTGCCAGATTTTTTAAAAGAGCAAAATCTTGTTTTTTTATTTCTGCTTATATTTAAAGCGTTCTAAATTTTGTTTTTCAGGGATTCTTATCTGGCAGTTAGTTGAGACTTTGTAACCTCTTCTTTCACCAGGCAGTCTTATGAAGATGGATCTGCATCCCGCTTAATGTCAACAGTCAAGCCTTTAAGAGAGTTGGCGCCTTCTGAAGCTGTGATTGACATTAAACCTGAACCAGATGATCTCATTGATGAAGACTTAAATTTTGTGCAGGAGAATCCATTGTTGCCTCGGAAGAAAGCTGTTATAACTGTAACTTATGGATCTTCCCGTCCTACTGCTGAAATCTACAGACCACCAGCTAGCAGAAGCACGGACAGCCATATACACTTACAAAGATTGCCGCAGCAAGGCAGCCTACAGGGTGGTAGGCAGTTAGACATGGAAAGCTGCAGGTCTTTGGAAACAATCCCGCTATGTGATCCAGAAGCATTTGGCAGCTTAGCAGAAAGTTACAGGCCCACCTCCAAACTGAGCGCTGATAAAATAAGCAGTGAGGTTAGTATGCAGATCTAAACTATGTCTGTATTTGACACACACTCAACAAAGCCAAGTCACCTTGGATGACACCTAGGAGGGCATCTTGGCCGCAGTGAAGTCAATGGGAGTTTTGATGTAAGTTGCGCCAGGATTTCATCACTTTGGTCCACTGGCCAAAAACCAGTGTGCTTAACAAAAAAAACCCCCTCACAAATGGCTGACTAACTTGGTGATGTGGCATCTGTTTGGTGCTTTACTGACATGGAGTAATGAATTAGAACATTGTTGGCAGTGAACATATGGTAGGTAAGAATAATCATTTTAATCTCTAGGTTTTGGAATAGCTGTGTTCATGCATGAGTTCTTTGTAGATCTCCAGTTTGCCAGGTGTGGAATAAAGACCAACACTGAAGATCAAAGAAGAAAATATATCCATCTACCTATTTGTGTATGTATCTCTCTGTATTTTTAGTGTGCCAAACAACTTTGTATTTAGGGTGCATGAATCTTAGTCTCAAAAGCCATTGCTATTACATCACTTGCTGTGGATGCCAAAATGATCCTGTCAGCAGCAAGATAATTCTAGGACTGTCATATTAATGTATTTAGGAACATTGTGTGTAAAAGAAAAGGGATAAATGGATAGTTGGCTTTCAAATTGTTAGGACTGCTAACTTCTTAATAAAGTAAAAAAATTATTTGCCTTATATTCTAAGTGAAACTGTTTCTTGTTTTGTATTGTTTTTTGACTATAATATTTTTTTGTGCTTATATAATGCTTTTAATCCAAAATGCTTTATAAATGCAGGTAAACTTCATCCTCTCATTTTATAGACAGGGTATCTGGATCTTGAGAAGTGATGTGACTTGCCAAAGTCTCACATGAGTTAGCAGCAGACCAGTCACCTCCCTTCCTGGGGTATATTAGACGCGCCCCTTTGAGCTGTTACTCCCCCTCCCCTTTTTAAAATTAATATTATAATCCTGTATTTAAAAAAAATAGAGATATTTTTATGGAGAGAGCCCTAGAATTTGGAGTAGCAGCCGTGTTAGTCTGTATCTGCAAAAAGAAAAGGAGTACTTATTTGTTAAGTCTCTAAGGTGCCACAAGTACTCCTTTTCTTTTCTCTAGAATTTGGAGTTTCATCATCTTCAGCCTTGTCTTAGACAAGTTTTTGTGGCTTGAAAGGTTTTTCTCTTTTCACTAAGATGTTGATTTCTCATGGTATGTGTCCTCTGCATGGTCACTAAAATCCTTTGGTGCATCAGTCTGGCTAGTGAACACTCTCTGTATTTATCCAAAGATAGTGCTGCTGCATAGGGGAAATAGGAAAGTATAAGCAGTATAAATGGTACTCTGGGCAGCAGAGTTCTATCTAGGTGTTCCTTGGGGGGGATTGTGAGTCACATCCCAAACCTCATTCTTTCTATAACACTTTTTTTTTCTGCACACAGTGCAATACATCCAGGATTTTAAGTGTGTCTCTGTGTCCTAGATTATTGTTTAAGTGGAAGCTCTCCATCATCTGTCTATTGGTGGAATAACAGGGTCTTGTTTGTTTGCATATTAATGTGGATCTGATTAATGAATTGTTGGTTGCAGGAAGAAAGTTCCAGGAAGAGAAAATTGCCAGTTATAAGCTCAGTGGTCAAAGTGAAAAAGTTCAATAATGATGGGGAGGAGGAGGAGGAGGAGGAGGAAGACTATGGGTTACGAATAGGAAGTATCTCCAGCAGTGTGTCTGTACCAGCAAAGCCTGAAAGAAGGTAGTTGAAGATTTCTATGATCCACTACTGGTTTTTAATATGAATCTAATAAAGGGCAGCATGGAAAAGGAATGAGGTGATGGATAAATCAAGGTTAACTAAAGGTTTAGTATAGTATGTGAGCTAACTGGTTTAAAACATTAGAGTTGAAGAATACCTTATAAAAAGATTTAGTTCGTTAAAGTGTATTTTCAGATTGTGTATTCTAGCGACACTGTACTTAATTATGCAGTGTTTTAACATTTTGTTGAAAATGAAACATCACAGTACTGGATTTACTGTGGCTATTGGGATTCATATATCTGCAGGAAAAATTAATTTCTCTCTCTCTCTCTCTCTCTCTCTCTCTCTCTCAGACCTTCACTACCACCATCCAAACAGGCCAATAAGAATTTAATATTGAAAGCTATATCTGAAGCTCAGGAATCGGTTACAAAGACAACCAACTATTCCACAGGTAATTCATGCCATTTTTATGCTTGGCAAAGCTATGTTATTTCTAAGTCCTTTTCAGGGAGTTGCTTACATGGGTGCTGATAGGTAGATTTGAAGGTTGATCTGGAGCATTGAAGAGTGCTCTGAGATCAAGGGGAATGAGAAGAGACAAAGGTTCCTCACATGGCACAGATTCCATGCTATTGCCAGACAAAAAAAAATCCAAATTAAAATCTGCAAGAGCTGAGAAAAGTGTTTTTGAAAAGGGTATGGACAATGCCAGATGTTAATACTGAGCACTAACACAAGTTATTTTAATATAGTGCTTTACATTTTCAGAAGACGTCCCAAATATTAATTTTACAGAGCTGGGGAACTGGCAAAAGGAGCGATTGGCAGTGGCACTGTAGAGATAAGGGTGAGGAATGGGGTCAGATGATAGGATGGTCATTGAGATAGATGCTTCCTTAAGAAACTGTATGTCCTAGGGACGTACAGAGGAAGAGGAGAAGAAGGAGAAATCATCAAGGGGGCAACTGTTGGAAGCGCATGAGATATTGTGATTCACAATCACCCTAAATTGGAAGAGGAAAACTATTCTGTGCACTGGAGTGAGTTTGGATATAGCGTGAGCTGGTGTGAGAATATGGAAGAAGGGGCAAGGATTGCCAGCCTCTTTACAAATGAGGCAGTAATGGAAAATTAACTTGGAATTGTTTTGGAGAAGAATTTGGTAAATCACTTGGCTATTTTTAAAACATCTTCCATACAAAAAATAAAGTGTTAAGAGAATGTTATTGAGGTTGTGAAGTGAAGTATCTGCAAGTTAGGAAATACCTGAATTAAAGTAGCCTGTGCAGCATTAATTATGACCCTTTGGGCATATGCATTATAATTAGATGATCGCATACTAACTTTACCACAAGACCCCTGCTTCATTGAGTGCCCAATTAATAAAGCTCTTTAATATATTTTTTTTAATCCTCATTGTTCAGTGTCATTCACTGCATAGCATCCAAACCCTTCAATGAATAAAGAATATTTTAGTTCTTTATGGAGTTTTCTTCTGCATTCATACCATGGTGTCTGAGTGCCTCCCAGACATCAGTGAACTCGTTATAAAGTCCTTGCAAATTAGGGAGGTGGTATTATGTCCATTTTACTGCTAGGGAACAGAATTATTAAGACAAGTTAGTGGAAGAGATGGTACTACTAGAACTCTTGGTCCCTGGCTCCGACCCAGAGCTTTACTATGTCAAGGGGTATCTTGGTAGAAAAAGACACAGCAGCAGGAACTGGAGCTCCCTGAAATGCTGCAGGAGGCTCAGTGGGCCTGGGGGGACGCCCAGTGTAACATGGTAGAAGATGGAACATTGCCAGAAACTTTAAAAAGTTGTGTAAACTGTCCTGTGCTTGCAACGGTAGTCATTTTCTGTGGCTTGTAACTTAGCCAAAGTAGGGACAGCAGAAAGCACCTCTCTGAATTCTGGGCTTATCTTCAGGCCATATTTCAGCTTCCTATTCCAAATCCCTAAGGTACAGGAGCCATTAATTTTTTTTGCAGTTTTTTTAAACATTACAAGTGTTAGCTGGTGCTGTTGCTTCAGGTACAGTACAATTTGCAAATGCTTCATATCTTATTTAAACATTTTAAACAGAAAATGAAAATAGCATAAGTTCACGTACAATAAAAAGGATGAAAGAAGATAAGAAACTGAATGATAAACCCAGTACCCTGCAGTGCCTCATGCTATACAAGCCAGAGAATGGTCAGGACTTTCAATGTGGTATTCATCCAGAGTGCAGCAGTCACATCCTCCCACAGTTCTTTACATCCAGCTCACGGTCAAAACCAAACCAAAGCAAGGAAGTCAAACTGCCATCCTGATGTCATCAAATTCCACATGCTGCTGCTGTCACATTCTACACTATTTCCAAGGGCCTTGCGTAGGATTCTTCAGCATCCTGGCTATCACAGGTTGATTCAAACATATCCAGAGCGTAGTCATACTGACAGAAGGCAGGAAGAGAAATGGCTTTGAAAGTCACTAGAAAGTCCAATTTGCATTTGCCCTCCATTTAACTACAAAAATAACAGGAGTACTTGTGGCACCTTAGAGACTAACAAATTTATATGAGCATAAGCTTTCGTGGGCTACAGCCCACTTCATCGGATGCATACTGTGGAAAATACAGTAGGACGATTTTATATACACAGAGAACATAAAACAACGGGCACTGTTTCATGTTCTCTGTGTATATAAAACCGTCCTACTGTATTTTCCACTGCATGCATCCGATGAAGTGGGCTGTAGCCCACGAAAGCTCATGCTCAAATAAATTTGTTAGCCTCTAAGGTGCCACAAGTACTCCTGTTCTTTTTGCGGATACAGACTAACACGGCTGCTACTCTGAAACCTGCCATTTAACTACAACACTTTTCTGGCCTGAAAGCTGGGTGAGTGAATGCTGTTGTTAATGTCAATCTTACTTCTACTGTAGGCCAACTGTGGCTCTGCACTGGCTGTTTGTGTGAGGGATCAGAAGTTGATCTTACAAAGCAGGCGTCGTAAGATTGCAGCACATGGAACTGCCACTAGGCCAGTCTCTGGACTGCTTTTAAAGTTATACACTTAGCTTGTTGCAAATGAAATTATTTTGGGATTAAATGCAAACGTAGTACCACTGTATGTTTTTTTTTTTTTTTTTTTTTTTTTAAACATGCTCAACTGTTTGACTTATGTAAAGTTCCACAGAAGCAGACCGTTCCAGTTGCACCCAGAACAAGAATTGCTCAGGATGAACCTCTGTTAGAAGTGATCCATGTACAGAGCCGACCTTCCATAGTGAGTGCCCAGATTGAGGCAGAAGAACCCAAGGAACAGACGACAGAAAGAATTCAAGGTAATTCTGATAATACTTTTCAAAAACCGATACGTGGGAAAGTTACTTTACTTAAATATGGAATCCTTTTACAGGCTGATTATCAAGTTGTTTGGTCACATGTGCATTATGGTAGCATATAAAACTGAAATTTCACCGAAAGTGCACCAGAGAAAAACAAAGTATGCACCGGAGAAGCAGATTTGAGCACCTTCTAGTGGTGCCGCAGCTTGTTAGTTGCTTCTGTAGCTGTTGGACTCTCTTAGAAGCCAAGAATCAAAACCATAAAGGGCTTTATAGATCAAAACCAACCCCTTGTGTTATACCTGGAAATGAGCTGAAAGCCATTGAGGTTTCTAGAGCAAAAGTGTAATATGTAATAATCACCTCAGATGAGCCAAGCAGGAAGCAAAGTTTTGTATATCCTTCCAGTTTATAGTGAATAATTTCACATAATGGAGCTGCCGCCAATCAGGATACACTTATTTGCATATGTATTATGTTTGGTTACTATTTCCCCATCCTTAGTATTTTTGACTGTACTCTTCACAGGAGGGAAGGCTTAATCAGTATCTTACAAAAGAGAGAGAGTTACAGTACTGGAGATTTAGAGTCAAGGTACAGTATGCTGTGAGATATTACAAAATATTTTCAGCGCTACTGTTATCAGATGAGTTGTCTTCAAAAGTTTTTACCACTTTCTTTGTATAGGTTTTAAAACGTACTGTAGTCAAGGGTTGCGGGAAGACTGTTAAGACAGTGGTTACTTAAGCATCAAGCTCTGTCTTCACCTTTGTTTTAAAACTGCTAAAAGAAAACTGACTTAACATTAAAGGCAATAAAGAGTATAACTCTGAAAATGTCAGCAAAGTATTTAGCTTTTCCTACATCAGAGGGCAGTGCCAAGAACAACAGGTTAAACACCTCACCTGGGCTAACTGAAAGAGAAGCTGCTGTGTGACACTCTGATGCACCCGAGGATTCAGTTACTGTTTTAAGCATGTTGGAAAAAATATCCAAAGATCTTGGCTAAAATTAAGGGAATAAAAGAAATTATTCTAACAGCTCACGCAGATATTTCTGCCCTGAATGCCTGGGTTGCAAAGAATGAAGCTGAAATCTCTGCTTTAGAGATTAAAAGAAATGAATATGCAGCCTTAGCAAGTGAGTGTGACAGGCAGTTTGGAATGTTCCTACCAAAACTAATGGATTTTGAAAGCCATGAGACAGGAAATAATAAAGTAATTGTTGCCTTTGGAAACACTGACAAAGGTAATCCCATTTTTTAAAAAAAGTTTTGGCAGTAAAACCTCCTGGCACTATTGAGCTCTTCTGCTTACCTTCCAGTTAGTTGTGGGAAGGGCTCATAGATCGTTCAGTCCCCATCCAGCTTGGATCAAAAACCTAAACCTGTTATAATTATATTTTTTGAGATTCGATGCTAGAATTGTGAGATCCCAAAGGAAGCACAAAAAAATCATTTTTATATCATGTATATACCCAAACTATATAATTTATCTTTCTAGACTTACAGTTGGCCAAAAAAATAGTCTTCCCTTGGAAGACACTTTTCCAGTCTAAATTAGCAATAATGACCAATGTGGGCATTTCATGACTATTATTGAACCCTGGCAAGAGTTGAGGGCCTGAGGTAAGTCTTTATTGGTGTATCCCTTCAGAATTTTGGGTGTCTTCATCCCTAAGTTTTCCAAGTTCTTTGATACAACCTTTAACAGTGTGATGTTGTATTTCCATTTACTGAAAGAGGATCACTTAGAATTAGCCTGTAGTTGCTCATTCTGTAGCGCTTTTATCTACTCTTCATGTAACTGCACTCATAGATGATGAGAGAGATTTTTTGTGCGGCTAAGAAATCCTGGCAAAATCTTAGATAACATACAACATAAATAAGTGATTGGAGTAATAAAAGACCTAATCCTCCATTGGGCTCCACATGAGCCAAGGTCTTGAACAACATGTGGTCTTATGTCTTTGAACCAAATGAGCTGAATATAAATTATATCTACTAGTAAATGTCTTTCTTCCCCCTTCTTTTTCTAAAATCTGTATTTCATAATATTAGCATCTATTCAAAATTAAGGAGAAATTGAGATGAAAATAGTTTTAAAAAATCCAATAAATGTCAATTGTGTTAAAGGAACACCATCAATTTAATAATCACACTGAAACTTTGTTTCCTCTAATCTCTATCAAATGTAATAATCTTAGGTGTTTTTCTAGCAACAGCAAGTAACAAATTGTTTTTCTCTCTTTGTCAATGTTTACTTTGTGCATTTGAGAGCTTTTTTTCTTATACTTAGTTTCATTGTTTCCCCTGTATATATAGTAAGTCTGTTGTGCCTACTGTTTGTGTGTCTTTCACATCGCAACTGAGGAGAGAAAAACATTTAAAGAGAAAAGTTGTCCTGGAGACTTGGGTGTAGGACATTCAGTTGTTTTCATTTTGTGAAACTGACCAGATTTCAAGTTGACAGGGGGTCTCTGTCTCCTGGGGATTCTAAATATGGTATTCTGCTTTTGGGTAGATATGCATCTTCACCAGTGACCCAATGGAATTGTATGTACACTCCAAACTTAAAGGGATTTTCCCAATATTATACCAACCAAAGAGGAGTTCACTGAACATTTATTATCGCTTAATGTTAATACTTTTAGCTCAGTTAATCACTAATCCTGCAAACAAACATGTGCTTAACTTTGCTATTGTGAGTGGTCCCTCTGAGTGTTTGCAGGATTGGGGTCTTAACCACTTGCTACTGCAACAGAAACTTCTTTGAGGAACCCTCATTGCCTACTATTTTCTGTGCATCTTTGCTATAAACAGACCTGGTCATGTGTGTGCCACTGGAGAGATGGAGTGTGTCCCAGTGTGAAAGGTTCAAGGAGGAATTCTTGGCTTTAAAAAAAAAAAAAAAATTAAGGTAATGTAGAAACAGCATCAATAAAAGCACAGCAAATATCTAGATTAAATTAAAGGGTAAAATGGATTTGAGTTGGACTGTTGTCAGGTTGGCTCAACTTCATTGTCTGAGGGGTGACAATTTCCTGTTAAAATTAATCACTGTTTTTTCAATCCCTTGTTTTTATTTTTATATCTAGCCACATTAGTCTATAGCATTATGCTGGCAGATTACTTCAGAATCGGAGTGAGTTTGAATAATTTGTTCATAATGTAAGGGAAAACTTTTCCAGTATCTGTATATGAGATGGTTTAATGTTTATAAACTATGTAAACTAAATGTTGGGGGTTTTAAATGGAAATGACTGCTTAGGAACACTATCAACATACAGTAAGGGCTGGTTTACACTCGGTACTTACATCAGTATAGCTGCATCTCTCAGGTGTGTGACAAATCCATACTCTTGAGAGATGTAGCTATATCAACCTATCCCCCTGTGTATACAGCACTAGATTGTCAGAAGAATTTTTCCATTGATTTAGCTACCACCTCTTGGGGATGTGGATTAACTAATCTGACAGGAGAAACCCTCCCGTCAGCATACGCAGTGTCTCCACTGAAGCGCTATAGCAGCGCAGCTGCACAGATGTAGCATTTTAAGTGTAGACATACGCTAAATAGAACTAATTTTTCCAAACTTTAACAATAAATCTAATGCAGAAGAATGTGCTAACCTCATTTGTCTAGCAACTTTAAAGCATAAAGTAGCCTCTGTTTTAGTTAGTTCCTTGCATTTGAGTGTCCCTGAGAGGAGGCAGCTGGAAATGGGGATACCTGCTGTGCTACTCAAAATATAGACAATCCCTGTAAAAATGAGGGACAAAGGTGCAAGCAGAACTGATCTTCAGAGTACTGTTTCTCCCAGAAGACCAGGTATCCACAAACATAATCCACGCACAGTCACAAAAATGGGAAAAACTGGGCTCTCCAAACAGCTGGATTTTGGTGTGATCCTGTCCTGCTGGAGGAAATGTTTTATTGCTGTATGTTTTGGAACATTCGAGATGGAGAAATAAAAACACAGAAATGAAAATTTCTTCCTCTGTTAGATTTGATTTTTTTTTTTTTTTAAGATCAGAAAGAAAGAGTTAGCAGCTGGTCCTCTTTTAATTTTGACATGCAGTAAAATGTGCTTCTAATCTATATTTTCTTTAGGAACTCAACAAACGCAGCTCTTTTCCCGACTCCAGATTGAACCGTTAATTGAAGAAACTTTGCAAATGACTCAAGGTTAAGGATGGCTTTTCTTTTTTTCTTTTTGAAAATGTGATAGTTTGACCAAAGAGGTCATTGTGTTTTAGGTTTAAAGTAGCACTTCCCTTTAAATTAGTTATATTTGTAATGTCTTCTAGTTTTTACATGTTAAGTAAAATCTTTCCATCAGTAGGTGTCAAAAATGAGATACTGGCGTATGGATCCAGCTGCTTCTGCAGAGCCAACCCAGTAACAAACTCCTAGTGATCAGGCCGTATGCTGCTACACTTTAAGCTGATATAAGCAGAGTTGGTGCATAAAGAAGGAAGTACACTCATTTTCTGTTTAAAAACCAGGGTGGATTTGATTTAAATCAAATTGATTTAAATCATGATTTAAATCACTAGTCAGGAAGACTTGATTTAATCATGGATTTCTACATCAAAGTGCATTTTTGTTGGTTGTTATAACCTTAATACATATTCTTCACAGCTCAGAGATAGATGTAGGTTTCATTTTTAGAAGGTACACACTATACATTTTTGAAGTGATTTATTTTGAAAACTTTTCAGATTAGTTTTAATTATATCAGAAAATGAATGATTGTTTGGTTATTTCATTTACCAAAGGTAATTGAAGCAGATAGTTCACCTCCCAATGACTTCATAAATATCTCCAATTCAACAGGCTAATCATTAATATTTAGAGGATTTTCTTGCCATGCTGTATTAGGAGGAGAATACCACCAGACAGACATTTAAATTGTTTTATTTAACTATTTCTCACCTCTGTATATTATTTATTTATTTAAAAACATTTTTGCCGTTAACAAGCATGTTATCTCTGGAGACACAAATCCACAGTTTGAGAACTGCAAAACCAAGCATCTCTGACGGTATCTTCTAGACTGAGCACTGAGTCCCATTGGGGAGATAGAAAGATTAACCTAAATAATCTATACAGAAGCCCCTGGAGCCCCATAAGATTGGGTGCCTAATCCATGAACTATTGAAACTCATTTACAAAACTTTTCTTAAACATTACATGAGTATATTAGATATATATGAGATACCTTTGAGCTATAATGTATCTAAATTAAAACTATCTTTAGATAGGTTTTTTTCCTCAAAAAAAAAAATCCAATTCAAATTAAAAAAATCAATTTTTTTGATTTTTTTCTTTTTAAAAAATAATTGATTTTTATCTACCCTGTTAAAAACTAGTACAAAGAATTGAAAACAAAATGCTAGTTGGTTGGTCTCTTCTAAATTATTATTCAAAAACATGACTGCATACTAAAGTGCAATACGTGGTGGTTCTTTTATTCCAACTTTGATCCAATTTTTCTATGACTCAGATTATTTTGACGTGGAGTCTGTGGTCCACACTGATACTAGATCATTTATTCTGAAAAAGCCAAAGCTATCTGAGGAAATAGTAATGCCACAGAACCAGGAATTGGGAAAGAAGGCTGTGGAGGCAATGCGGGCACTTTCAGGACGTCTTATACAGACAAGGTAAAAAGTCAGTCCTTTACTTCATTTAAAGAAGTAACAGGACCAAATGTAAGACAAGTCTTGTTACTGTAATGTATCTTGTAATTGGTTAGAATGTTTATTTAAATGTAAGAGGTTCCATAGTTGGAAGAACAAATTCAATACATTTCTTGGTTTCTATGCTCCAGAAGCTCAATCAAGACTGATGAAAAATGGACAAAAGAGCCTACAGCCCAGCCAGAACTCAGAAATCCTGACATTCATTTCTTTTAAATTGAAAATGTGTCCAAGGCTTGGTTGTGGTTAGAGCAGTTTTTTCATTTACTAGGAAAATGGAAAAAAGAACTGGATGGCTTGCAGGTATCAGAGGGTGGCCCACTTGTATTGTAATATTTATTACAGCTGTTACATCTTGCTGAAATCTAAGCAAATAGTTTGCATGGGCTCTTGTTAAAGAGTTTTAATTTTGTTTAACTTTTTTACTTGTTATATTTACTCTTAGCCCATCAGTCAGACTAAGATTTTGTCATGGTTATTTTTAGTAAAAGTCACGGACATGTTACAGGCAATAAACAAAAATTCACGGAAGCTGTGACCTGTATGTGACTTTTGCTGCTGCAGCTCCATAGTTTCCCCCGCCACCATCATGGCTAGGAGCTGTGAGGTTCCGCCTCTGCACGCAGCAGCTGGAAGCGGCAGGTGACCATATTTCCCAAAGAGAAAACTGGACATCCCCAGCTGCTCGCCCAAGGCGTCCCCCTGCACTCCCCCTCCCTGTGAGGCTGTCGCCCGTTGCTACAATCCTGAGGAAAGCCCTCTCAGGAGTCTGTCACCTGTTGCTGGAACCTTGCAGGGGACCCCCGCTGGCTGCCAGCTTGAGAGTCCCACAGCCCCTGGGGCTGAAGCAGAGAATGTCACAGAGATCTCTGGAAGTCATGGATTCCGTGATTTCCATGACCTCCGTGACATAAACGTAGCCTTACCCATCAGACTAAATGCTAAAAATTTTAAAACGGTCTCTTGGTTGTAGTCATCCTCTAGCCACCTATCATTTTGAACCATAGGTGTGTAGAGAACGGAGGCAAACAGCGAGGTTAATGTTAATTTTAGATGGTAGGAGCTATTTAAGGAGGACAATGAGTGAATGTATTCCTGATTGGGTTTGCCTGGGAGTGTAGGTGTAAAACTGAGCTGACCTAACTGGAGCCTCCATACCCAGAAGCCAGCAAACAGCTATTAAGTAGGTAAATGGTGTGTGGGAGCCCTGCTTTATGGGAGTTTTCCTATAAGGCATTTGGCCAAGGGAAGCGCGGGACTCGTAGCTGTTGAGAATGGTCTATGTTGAGTTCACTGGGTTTGCAGAAATCAGTGCCCAGTGGACAGCACTCCTTTTAGTTCATCCTAGTACTAGGTAGCTTCTGATAGGGAGCAGCTCTGGTTTTGGGGTATGTGTATGTTTTACCTATTTATATACAAACTGCAGGAATGGATGTGATGCCATGTGATAAATGGCGTTTAGCATGTACGTTTCTTTACCTCACTGGCCCCTAGCCTCCTAGTTCCTCTCTTCCAGGGATCTGCTAACATTCCAAATCCCTGAGCAGTTTCTGTTTAAAAAAAGGCAACCTTCCAGAGATGTGTTTCCTTTTTTGCTCTCCAAAAGTGAAATTTTGTCACAAATCACAGTTACTTAAGGCCATGGATGGTCATGTACTAGACATGTTTAGCATCCAATATCTCATGATGCTGCAGGGCTGGAAACTGGAGCTTTATACCCTTGGAAAGAGGTGAGTCCTCCCATCCAATGGGACTGTGCTCTGACATCTAGCCCTAAAAGCTCCTGATATATTGAGCCTTCCATTTGTAATGTTTTTAATATATTAAAAAAACATTTTAGGCCCTTTATAGACGTGTTTTCAATTTCAGTTGCTTTTTTCCCCCTTCTAACTATGTAGCATATAAAGAATACATGATGGTGTGGTGAGAGAGAAAGGCTTTGTTTGCACTTGTTTGGGATGGCTGCATAATTCACTTTTGCCTTTGCCACTTGTAAGTAATGCAGCCATCCTAAACTCAAGCTCACCTACTCTTTTCAGACCTCAACATGATGTATCTTTCACTGTCTGTCTGAGGGGGTATATGCATGTATATCGTATATGAAATAGCTTCTTCCAAGAATTCTGAATGGCATTTAGCTCACTTTTATGCCTCAAAATTGATTTATTTTAAACAGCTTAACTGTGCTCCTTTAGTAACTTTGCACCTATCAATGGGTCTCTGAATTTGTCCTTTTGAGCCAGCGTGCACAGGCTGTGAAATCTACCTGTTGAAATTTACTACTCTCTGTAGGTGTAGATTCCTGTTCTTTTTGGTGTGTCAGTGATGCAATAAGGAATGTTGATATTTGAAGAGGGTGATTATTGGCAAAAAAAAAAAAAAAAAAAAAAAAAATCGATCCTGGATAGTGAGATGCTCCTTGTACTTTGCCCTTTGGACTCATTCTTACAGCTCTGTTGGTATCAGTACAACTGACTTCACTCCAATTTCTTAGAGTTAAATTCCCTGTGATTTTTACCGTGTGTTTTCTTCTGTTTTTTAGAGAGCAGCTTGCACAATCAGAAAAGCCTGCTAGCCCCAAGTTCATTGTGACACTGGATGGTGTCCCCAGCCCACCAGGGTACATATCTGATCAAGAAGAGGAGGAGATCTGTATAACTGAAGGAGTGAAGCCAGTTACCCAAAATGTAGCTGCAAACAAAGGATTAAAAAGCTTTCAAGCACAGCAGATGCAGGTTATAAGCAGGCAGCTGGAGAGCCCTTATGGTAAATTATCCTAGCCAACAGGGCCTTCATATTGGAGTTAGATTACTTTTTAATGTGGGGCTTTCATACTTGGGAGAACTCTCAAGCCTACCAGCATTAAACATCACTCCTTGCACTTGTCTGTATATTATTTGTTCAGGGTGCAACGAGACCACCTTTTGAAAAGTGAAATTTCATCATTTTAAGGGGATAGGGCCTTTTAACTTGCTGACCAAGAGCAGTAGCTGAAATTGTTCTCCACACAGCTTTATGTGTCAGTAAAATTAGATAAATGGTTTCTTTTAAACTTCAGGGAACTTTCACTTACTTGCTGCATGATTGGCCCCAGGCAGGACTGCGTGTTCTGAGATGTACCTTATTAATTTGTATTGAGCCATTGAAAATGTGCCAGGTTGTGGTGGTAATCATGATCTTTCTGGCCAGATTTGTTCATTTCAAAAGCTGTTTTTAATTATAAAGAGTGTCTTTCAAATTGGTAGAATCTTTCAAAATAGAAGAAACTTTACTTATGATCACTGTATGTTTTTCTTAATATCTCATACATTCAGAATGCCGGCCCAGGAATTTAGAACATTGGCCACTTTAAAGTTGTTTAGAACTCTGCTTTTGAAATGTTGATTTCTGAATGCAAAGTAACACTCACTTTAAAATGTGGATTTTCCTTTCTCTTGGGCTTCTTAAACACTCACTGGTTTGAGGTCATGTTTACATTCCATTTTCCATTTGTAGTATGAGAATGTCAGACCCTCATATAGTAACAGTGCATCAAAATTTCTTGTATTTGTATATAAGAAACTCAGGGCTAGGTACTATGCTGAGTGCCCTCAATTCCATTCACTGGATCAGGCCCTAAATCAGTGAAATATGTAGAGGTCTTTTTAAAGGACAGTTTCAGAAAGTATTAAGGAGAGATTTAGGCATTGATCCTACAAATACTTGCTTGCATGCTTAGCTTTATGTGCTGCTTAGTTTGCTTCAGTGGGACTGCTCACAGCACATAAAGCTAAGCAAGGGAGTAAGTTGTAGAATTGGAGCCAGGATGTGAAGCAACTTGGAGAAGATAGAGTTTCAGATGGGGCAATACCACTCAATTTTGAAAGGATGTGAATAGGGTATATAAATGAGGCCAATAATGGAATGAGGGTGCAGAAAGATTGCTACGAGTGAGGATGGCGAGGGATATTGGTGTGAATTTTGAATTGCAAGTGGATAGTTAAGAAACCCGTGAAGATGCCAGAGAATGAGGGATAGGGTCCTGTTTTCTAGGGCAATCCTACTCTGGTTTCTGAATCCTCTGAACTGGACAGGGAGAGATTTAAGAACAAGGGAAGAAGGGAATTGCAGGAGGGAAACCAAGAAGTGATTAAAGTGCAGTAATTGACAACAAAGTGATTGTATGAAAGTTGCACCTTTTTACTCAGCTTGCCCTGTTAATAAGGAGTCCTATCTGCTGATTGTAGTATCAGAAGTAACTTCTTAATGCTGCTTTTTCATGATGGTCTCCCAAAGCCAAAACTGTCCATGAGAAAGGGTGATTTTATTCTGACACATACATCAACAGAACAGTTAGTGAAGTTTCAGTTGCAGAATCTTTTCCTTAGTCCAGTCAGAGTAAGGAAGGATCCAATTTGTGTTTGTATATCTGGCAAAAAACAATTTTTTTTACGAGGAAACTGAGCTCATTTGATGATCTTTAAGTCCTTGGAAGACAATAAATATCCAACCCTAGGATGATATTTTTAGCCATTTTAAGAAGAAAGTAAGGATTTAGCAGAGACAGTCTTGTGTAGGTTTCACTGGGCTGGAGTATACACTGGGGAACTATTGAGTGCACACTTGGTTTGATCACTTAGTAATTGAGAAATTAACCCACTAAATAAAGTACTGCAGCTTTCACCAGCTAACACTCTCCACTCTAGTTAGAGGTTGACTAAACTCTGTGTATGTTCAGGCGATCTGAAGTCTTGAGAGATTTCGATTTTTGTATGAATGCTTTCTCACCAACATATGACAAGCTCTCTGTGCAGGGAACATACTGAATTTAAAGGGTGGTCTGCTTCATAAACCAAACTGCACATGTAATAAAAAAAGGTCCCTGTGTCATTTCTCCCCCACAGTGGAGATGGAGGAATTGACTGTGCCGCAGAAACAAGAGAAAGTGCTTGAGCGTTGCAAGTACTGGCCTGCCTGTAAAAATGGAGATGAATGTGCGTACCACCACCCCACATTACCATGCAAGTAAGTGCTACAGAACTCGACGACATCTGATCTGCTTTGTCCTTCTGGGCTCTAAATGCTGTGTTAAGTTATTTCACATCTGTTACTCAATTAACATGGTTCATGGTGGGAGATGGGAGTTGAACTTTGCTTTGTAAATGTAACTTCCTCCCCCCTTCTACTTTCCTCTCTTTCACCATGTGGCAGAATTTAGTGGTATTTACCATCAGCGGAGTCACATCTGAGCTCCTGTAGGAGAGAGCTTTTCCCACCACACAGGGTGCTGTTTTTTCTGGGCTCTTTATAGGAGAGCTGGGAGTGTAATATCTACACTACAGCGCTTACAGCGGCACAGCGACAGTGCTGCTAAGTGCAGACGCTCTCCCGTTGACTTAATTACTGCAGCCACGAGGAGCAGCGGTAGCTCTCTCTGTACCAGAGCTTAGGTCAGTATCATTGCATTGCTCAGGGGTGTGGATTTACCACACTCCTGAGCGATGTAGTTATACTGACATAAGGCTGTAGTGTAGTAGAGCAAGCCCAAGATACCTCAGCTTGGTGTCCCCAGAGTTTTGAGCGCAATTGCCCCCATGTATATGGTGGTACAATGCTTTTTGGCTTAAAAGCAAAGATTTAGAGGAGTTGTCCTGAAGATTTTACTGTGCTGTTGACTCTTCTTCAACTGGCAGTGGCTGTCCAGAACAGCTCCTTTGCTGTTGTCCTCCTGGATTTTTGCGAGTCAGGCAGGCACTCAGCTTTACTAGCTGCTGTCAGAAGAAGGGAAACTGAACCACAGCACAGTGGAACAGGCATGGTCCACCTAAGAGAATGTACACTGTTGTGGAGTTCATTCGGTAAGATGGAATCTTTCTGATATAGGGTTAGCTGACAGGTCATCAAGCCCTTGCTTTCCCCACCCTCTATCCCACAGTGAGGGAGTGGAGAATAAAATTCACACCTTGATGCGGATTGATTCGGTGCATCTCTGACGAGATGATCACAACGGTCCCTTCTGGCCTTGGAATCTATGAATCTTTGACTGGGAAAGCAGATTCTCAGTCTGAAATTAGTCAAAGGGGACCATAGTACTGTAAAAGAGAATATTCCTTGTATTTTTGCTTAGTACAGTAGATACAGTAATTCAAGGTTGTATAGTAAGTGCACTTGCTTTATGAATGGCAGTATTCTTTGTGGTTTGCACTACTTTGTCTCACAAATAAATAAGATAATATTTTGGAAGGTGTTTATGGGAGCTTCTCATTTCTCCAAAAGGCAATGATATATTGTAATTTATGCCACCCTATACCTCTGAATTTCTGGTAGACAAATACAAGTGGTTTCATTCCACAATAATTCTGAAAAGAAAATTCACATGAGATCAGAATACTAGTTCTTTTATCGCCCTAAAAAACTGAGATTGAAAAGGGGACATTGTTGGGTTCAAGTATTTAGTACCCAGTGAAAATTATTCTCCTTGGGCGTGTATAGCTTGTGGTGTTCCTGCAGTGGGAGTTCAGAAGCTGAATTTTGGACACGTTTTGTCTGGTTTGCTTAGCCTTTCAGCTGGGGTTTTAAATCTAACTGCCTTAGCTCTGCTGTTTGGGGATATACTGGTGCTATTTTTAGATAGCAGGTATTATCAGACTTGGGGTCCATCAGCCTTGATGTTGTCTTGTTGAAAGAGCTCATTTTGAATTATGGCCTTACATCATCTAATCCTTATTTGGAAATATCACCTTCTGCAGAATGAACTCACTCTCTTTCTAGGTACTGTGGCTCAGACCGTATCTGATCTGTGGGAACTGTAGTTTGCCCTGGAGCAGGTGTGCACTAGCTACTGCATGGAACATGGTTCAAATAACTGGTTTGGTTTTTATTCCTCAGAGTCTTTCCCAGTTGCAAATTTGCTGATAAATGCCTGTTTATCCACCCAAACTGTAAATACGATGCAAAGTGTACTAAGCCAGACTGCCCTTACACTCATGCCAGCCGACGAATCCCATTGCCACCTCCCAAACCAGGTGAGCAGTCTTGACTATTGCTAGTTTACTGTGAATTTGTGAGGAAGGGAATAGTGCATGTGAGGAATTGGAGCTAACCCACAGAATCTGGTTTGGTGATATCTAAGAGGAAAAAGTTTTCTGCATGATACTTGACATTCCCCTCACTTCTCTCATCCCCTGGGCATTAAGACTTGAGTTAATATAACTGCAAAATCTGTTATGAATGTCAAATCCCTGAGCTCCTCTGTGTAAGTGCTGCTTACCAGCAACTCTCATTCACTGCAAAGGGAGTAGCATGGGGCCGAGGTGGTGGCACACAGAAATAGCCTATCACTTCTGAATGGATCAGGTAATTAGTCAGTTCTGTAAGAACAAATGCACCTAAACTGTCCCCAGATTTAATCTGTATTATAACAAGAACGATCTTTTGATGTGAAAACACAAATTGAAGGTTTACGTTTCTGGAAGTCTGCTTTCTGTCTTGTAATTTTACATGATTGTGATAATTTTTATCTTTCACTCATTAAAACAGAGACACTATCCTTGGGTAAAGAAATGACTTGATGGAAATTAGGTTTACAACTAAATGCAGTTATTTGAGTTGGAATTTGCCCAAAACTTAGGGGTTAAATTCCTACCCCCATAAAAAACACTATGGTAAGGGAGCCACATCTGCAGTGGCTTAGTGCTTCCTGACATCACAGTGAGGTGTGGTTTCATTACTGTGTCAGGCTAGAGTCCTACATACTGATTATTGATGCCACTTCCTGCACTCCTATATGTTCCTGGGAAGAGCCCCCCCGAGGTGTTATGTCCCAGTCCTGTTTAATTTGAAAACTAACAGGCTTGCTGCAGCCTGAATGCAAGATTTGAACCTCTTTGTCTCCCTAAATTCCCCTGAATTTTGTTGGAAGCGATATTCTGCATTTTCTGTCCTGAACTGTTGAAGTGCTTCTGTGGGTGGCTAAATAGTGGCCACGTTCCGTCTCAGCATCAGTAGCTTTTCAGTGCTGGGTGGCATAATCCCGATACATCTTATGTATTTCACAGGGCTATTACAAGGTTTAATTGTTTGCGGAGTGATTTGAGATCCTCAGATTAAATGAACTCTGGAAATACAAAGTAGAAATTGCTGAGAAAATGGAATTGTTTTGATCCATACAATACTCTTGTTCTTTTTCTAACAGCACCACTACAGGCACCACCGGCAACCTCCAGCAGTCAGCTCTGCAGATTTTTCCCGGCTTGTAAGAAAATGGAATGTCCATTTTATCATCCAAAAGTAAGAAGTGTCTGTTAACACTTCTATAGAAGGAAATCTGAAATATGTTACGTTGCGTTACTGTCTTTTATAACGCAGTCCTCAGAAATGCTTCTATAATTTGTATCTGAAAGGTAATCAATTTATAGCTTGAAAACGAGAGACAGAAAAGCATTGATTTATAGTTGTACATTTCTGAATGATCTTTCCTAAACTCTGTTTGGTGGTCTAGTAAAACTGTAGAAAATGCTAAATATCAGACTTGTTCAGTTACATCAGACTGGCCACAATGAGTCAGTTGGCACTGTGGTATGTGTTCAGTGTCAGGTCATCGCTAACCACTTATCCAAACTCTTCACCTTATGAGGAATGATTTGAACACAGGAGAAGAAGATTCACTTCTGCAACATATTGCGGGGAGAGCACACAATAAATGCTGACTTGGGATTTCATTTTTCCTGCCGCTGGGGTCATATAGTTAGCTTAGAGTATGCACAGCTAAATGATTATCCCATTGAGGATATAGTATCCGGAAGTGGCCACACTTAAAGTTTATATTGAGGGTATCTCCAGAGAAAGATGTGATTGGATTGGTAAAGACAGCCATCAAAGGAAGAGAAGAAAGGAAAGGCTGCCTTTAATTGTGAATTATGTTTCTTTACGTTAGAGATTTGTCTTGCGGCTCTTCATGTTCGCTGTAAGAGGAAGCTGTAGCCTTTGTGCTATGAATTTTGACTGAAGGTGGAAAGGGAATCTTCTCTTTTGTTATGAGAATCACCTTTGATACATGTGGAGATTTCGTGAGCAGTCTGTCTTTTAGGGAATGTCTACACAGCAGTGTAAGCCCAGGCTTGACCTGTGCTCAAGCCTAACCCCCCCTCACGTCCACAAACCAATTGTGTTAACCTAGGGCTCGAACCTAGGATCTCAGGATCCTGCAGGGCTGGAGGGTCTGAGCCCATGTTAAGTTGGGACGTAGGGTCCAACCCCTATTGCTTTCCTGTGTGCATGTGGCCCAGGCTTGACTCGGGTCCTGGATGTCTTCTGGATATATCCCAGACTTCCTTGGGGCAACTTCCTTAGTCCTCTCTATGCCCACTGACAATTAGTGTTGCAGTCTATTGCACTCTATTGCAAACAGAAACAGCTCAGATCAGCGTTAACCCATTGTCTGCTGAACACTGGTCTCCAAGCACACTATCAGGGAGCCTGCAGGGTTTTCAGTGGAGACCAATAAGAAGAAGCTTTTTGCAGAGAGCTGCTTTTGGGTCACAAGAGCACAGCCAGATTTTGCTGCACTCAGCCAAGCAGGGGTGGGGGCGGGAACAGGCCAGTGAGCAGAGCTAGGACTAAGTGGCTGCCTTGCAGAGAAGGGGAGCAGCAGAGCTCCCAGCTCAGCATGTCCAGGGGAGGATGACCCCCAACACCCCATCTGCTTCCCCTCCCTGCAGGGCAGCTGCTTGTTCTCTGCTCTCTGGCCCCCTCTATGGGTGTATGTGCAGGGTGCCTGGGCAGCATGCACTGTCAGGGCAGCGAGTGGGAGACAGTCCCTAAACCTTCCTGCACCCTCCTGCAGCTCCAGCTCCTCCTTGCTGTTGCACAGACTTGCCCGGAGCAGGGAGCAAAGCTGACAGGTGGGAGGCAGCTTCCAACTGCCGGGCTGTTGGGGTCATCCATCCCCTGGCTGTGCTGAGCTGGGAGCTCTGTCATTCCCTATCCCTGCAGGGCAGCGGCTTCGTCCCACTCAGCTCTCTGTTGCTTGCTCTCAGGCCTTCCGGCCCTCCCTGCATCTGCAGAGGCACCTGGGCTGTGTGCACTGTGAGTGGGAGCCAGCCCCAAAACTTTCCCAGAGCCCCCTAGGGTTCGCATCCCTGCCTCCCAGAGTATGAATGGGGCAGGGATAAGGGAGCCCTGGGAGGTGCTGGAGCAGACTGCATCCCAAGCCCTGGGGATGCACTTCACTGCTCTGCAGTGGGCAACAGCCAGGCTTGGACACGTATTTGTTTTTCCTCTGAAACCTCCATTTTATGTCCAACTTCCAACCAAACAAAACACCTTCAGTGAACATCCCATTTTAAAAATGTGGACTTGCCAAGTTTCATTTTAATAGGTTGACAGCCCTAGAAACTGATGCCCTAATTATCCTCAGAGCAGGCGCACAAAGGCATTTTCCTACCACAGTGGCTCAGCCTGGAGCTGGAGAGCCCAAATCTCAGGTTAGATGGTAGTTCAGTATAAAGCCTTCTCAAACTGCACTCATTCTACTGAGCAGCCACCAAAGGAGGTAATGATGCAACTCATGTGCTCCTTATGGGCACCTGAGTCCCATCAACAGCACTGTCACAGTTAGGAAACTGGGTGGGCAGTAGTGTTTCCTCACAGAGCAACACATTCGTAGGGCTAGACTGTTGAGACCGACGTAGGGGGGGCACTAAGAACCTGGGATAGGGTTACTTTGATTCAGGTCTCTGCAGAGCAGTGTGGACGCCAGAGCCCTAGGGTAAAACAAGTCAGAAAATCCTTAACCTAGGGTTAAAATGCAGTATAGACGCACAAGCCCAGGGTTCCCTGACACAAGTCAGCTGACTCAAGTCCCACTAACCCTAAGCTTACATTGCTGTGTAGACATATCCTTAGAGGCCTTAGTGTACTTTCTAGGATCTGATTAAGAAATACAGACAATACATTGCCTAAACTCTTATTTTCCGTCTAGACAAAATGTAGTCACTATGTCAACAATGAGATAGTTCCTGAGATCTTTTTCAGAAGTCAGTTTCGAACATCATGAAAGAAAGGAAATACCCTCATTTAAATTGAATAATAAATCCACTTTTGGTCCGTAATTGCTGCTTTATCATTATGAAAGAAGAGAGTGAGATTTAGAAGGCAGTGATGTGATTGAATCTCTTCTAGCAAAACTGATAGTCCCAAGAAATACTATTTTCCAGAACAGTAATGTAATTTTACAAGTCACTAGAGAGATGAAAAGTGGAAGGTAAAATCTTCTAACAATGTATTTTTTGTCACTGCAGATTAATTCTTGCTGCTCTTCTGTATATGGTAGCATAGGTCTGGTAGCTAACTGTAATTCCACTGATGAATTGCTTTAGTGACTTTGTAACAGGGACTTGTGATTCTTGGAATACTCCAAACTAACCCCTTATCTAAACTCTTCCTGTGAGGAGGAATGACTGAAAGGCTGCAGAAGAAAATTCACTGCTGCAGTGCACCATGGGGAGGAGAAATCCCAGTATCTGTAATAAATCTTTAGAAGCCACACCTTTACAATACTAACATAGTGAGGGTTACACTAGAGACAAAAACCTAGTGAGTTTGGCTTTTACTGTACACATCTTCAACTTTAGAGACCTTGAAACAGGATGCAACATGGGACCCTGAGACAAAGGGATTGGATGAGAATGAGGATTAATGGATTCTTAAATGTATTAATCACAAGTCTGCAACACTCAGTGCACTGCTAAGAGAATCTTGATGCCTTCAGGGCATTCAGGATCAGTAGTATGACAAAATCATAAAATTGGTTCCTTTTGTTTACGACATTGAGAACACATTTGTCATTTTAGCAGATGATTCTTTTCCACCTCTAAAACAATGAATCTCCCAAGTGTCAATCAACTTAGCAGTCTTCAGTTTATTTGTTTTAGTACATTTTATTTGCATTTTTATAATTTCATGGTCAGTTATTAAATATCCTGTTGATAGAACATTTCCTTTTAGAAAACAGAACCTCTGCCATTAGTGGGTTCAATTGACACTGCTGTTAATTTGCAAAATTATTGACCCATTATTGCCCATCAGGTATTTTGGACTATACAATAATAAGTACTCGTGTATAAAATTTGCCAAGATAACTTGCTTGTGGCTTTAGGAGCGCTATCTTTAATTAGTGTTCTCTGAATTAATTTTAGCACTGTAGATTTAACACCCAGTGTACAAGACCAGACTGTCCATTCTACCATCCCACTATTGCTGTACCTCCACGTCATGCCTTGAAATGGACTCGAACTCAAACCAGGTAATCTAAGCAATCTTTCACTGTGGTTATCTTTTAAGGCCCTGATCATCTGAATATATATATATACATGTGTAACTTTACTTACGTGAGTAGCCCTGTTGCATGTATGCATAAGTGTTCATTGGGTTAGGGCCTAAAATTGATAATTATTTCAGTCTTATTGTGTAGCAATGGTCAAAGGCTAATCTGTCTTTGAACCAGAACTCTGTATTTGTTGTTTTGAACAATGACTTAAACAGTTACTAACTCAACCCTTAGAAATGTGAAAAATCAAAGCTCTGCAGTGAGGGCCTGGAATAGAGCAAACAAGGTTCCAGGCCTGTGCCCAAAGACTAAGTAGAATGCACTGGTCTCCCTTGAGTCAGACAGTAAACTGCACATCAGTTCTTCCTTGTCCCTGGTCTCATGTCATGGTACATGACACCCCAGATGGCTCAGGTAGCTCCTTTTAGTATTCCTCATGTCATAGCAAAAACAGCCTTCTTCCTAACACTGCCAGTGACTCCACAAACCCTAGCAAACTGGTTAGTCTATGAAATGCTGTGGGAATTAGCCAGCATGCTAAGTATCAATGTTTTTTTTAATGCTCTGAATCAAGAAAATGGTACAGTTTACTCTGAAAATATCCATGTGAGGGGAATTTATTTACCTGTAAAATTTTTGGCTTAGAGGGAAAGATTAAGAAATGTAATGTAAAATAGCCAGTGTTTAAAGTTGTAATAGCTTGTGTTGAGAGTAAATACTTGAGTGTTTCTTGTTTTACTCTGAAAGTTTAAGATTGCTGGTGATAAAATTATTAGCAGAACTTGCAATGACCCTATAGAAAGAAATATATAGGTCATAGGTTGAAGGTGAATAGTACCTGTAATTTGTTCCTTCTCCTCATACTTAATTGGTAACTTACATCTGCTGTCCCAAGAGTTAAGTAAAGTATGTTGTAAAACTCATTAAGAAAAATCTATACCATTAATCTACATCTCTTTATATGCCAGTACTTTTAGGATTAAATCCTGCTGTGTCAGCAAGAGCTGCAGGTTTTGGAAATTGAAGTCAGTGGAAGTTGCAACCACTCAAAATTGCTGAAAATCAGGCTCTTTATTAAGGTGCCTAAACAGATTTAGGAACTTAACTTTAGGCACCAAGTCTGAAAATGTTCACCTTTCTTTTAAATGCTCAGCTCTCTTGAGCATTTCTCACCATTTAATATCCCCTGAAATGGAAGTCTTGATACTTGAATCATTAAGAGGCTAGGACAACACTTGTCAAATCATCTATAATGGATAATAGGCTTGTTTAATTATGTGGTTTTTTCCCCCCCTAGTGAATAATTATCATACAATTTGTGGATGAAAGTTGCTGCCTTTGGATACTGATGGAGAAGAAATCCTGATACTACAAAACCTTTCATCACACCTTTGGAAGTTTGAATATATATAGTTTTCATAAAATGAAATTGATTGCATACTTGAAATGTCTCTAATTTTCCAAATTTGTAAGTTTAATAGCTGATTTTACTTTTTTTTTTTAAACTCTGTGAAGAGAACATCTGTGGAGGGAAAGAATTTTACTTTAAATTCCATTAAAAATTTTAAGACCTGGTTTGTATTTTACTGTTCAGTTTAGCCTGTTCTTTATTTGCTTAAAGATTATTCAGTAGAGCCACTCAAAGATTTTTAGTACCTGATGGATACAACAATAACTATTCTCTTGTGGGGATGGAAAGTTTTTTTTCCTTTTATTCAAGGAATAGTACATAGGCCTCTGATAATCTGACAGTAGAAGAAAAAGGTAAGAGGGAAAGTAGTCATTAGTAAGCAAGTGTTTTTAAAAGTAGCAAAGTGAGGTGTTCCACTGTTTTTGAATTACTGAGCAGTTAAACTGGAAATCCAATTTTAAGGATAAGTGTAGGAAGAAGGCACCATCTTGAATCTATCCTCAAAAGACTTTATTGTTCTTCAAGCACTCAACACTGCTGCAAATACTCTGTTGTAATCATCTCCCTCCAGGGAGCACCTGTAATGTATATAGCAAAGATAAACCCATATGAATAGTAACTGTGAAGAAATAGTTTAAAATCTGTAATTCTTCTGTTCAAATGATGTAAATTGTTAAACAGTAACATGAATGCACTTTTTTTATTAAATCTTTTGTATCTTTTGGGGAGCCACATTTTCACAAAAATATACAAAAGATATATTTTTTTACAAATATTTACATTAGATATCAGAAAACAATGTCACCTACATATTTTAAACTCAGATGTGACAAATATATTCTTGAATTCTGAAATTGAACACTTCAGGAAATTAATTTAAAATATTGGTGCAGATAAAGTAATCAAAGTTTAGTTCATATTCAAATTTAAAAAATCTGAATTTATGCAAAAATCTGAAGATTTAATTTAAATATTTTAAAATAACATAAAAACTACAGTATTGTATGATTACAGGGATTAAATGGTCATGGCCAAAACCAAAATGGGAGCACACTTAAAACCATGATCCTTATTACAGTAATACATGAACATACACCTTTGGACTAGTTTAGAGTACATTTTTTGGTTAAAGCAAGAGGGATAGTCTGACAAACACCATAAACAATCTAAAAAGACAACTGGATCAATGATTTTAAGCTTAAAGAACTTCAGTAAGAAATTTTCCTAGACAGTTGCACGGAGGAGCATAGGATGAGGAACAGTACTGAAACAGCGATTTCCAGTCCTTCTCTCCCCCTCCCCAAAATGAAAAGTAAAACTGCAAATGAAATTTTTTAATAGAATCTTCAAATACATCCATTAGCTAGCTGCACCTTTCGGAAGCATGCTTTCCCTTTTGGATATGAGACAAAAGTGAATCATAATCATTATAGGGCAGCAAAACAGATTAATACCTACACTGGTTAATTTCAACAGCTTTGATGTCTATCACCTATTGCACAAAGTTTAGCATAAGGCAATCTGCTGATGTGCTCCTCTAATAAAAACAGTAGGTGACGAACCAACGAAGTAAAAAAAAAATTAATTTCAGTGTAAGGGGAATGTTATCTAATGAGTGCCATTTAGATTGAATTTACATTATTTTAAATAACTACTGTGGTCTTGATCTTATTCTTATGTAAAACTTTACATCAAATGTACATTTTACCTTTCTTCACAAATTAATAATGCAGCTTTTCCATTACTTAGTGTATGCTGTACACTCAGAAATGAACTAAAAACAGTTAAACAAAGCTCACAAGTACCAACTGTTTGTTCTTGTTAAAATTGAAGTAGCTATTCCAAGTCCAAAAAACACAACACTATGACAAGTAGTAGCAGTAAAGGAAATATGGAAAGCATTATCTGACAGCACCAAGAATTTCACACAGGAGTAGTAAACCAGCTTTATCATGCAGTTTGTGTCAGTGCTGACACTTGGAGTTTCTTTATAAAATGCATTTACTACATTTCCAGATATTTCAATAATCAAGCATAATACATGTTGGAAACAACTGTGGAACTGTAGAAGTGCCAGTCACCATTCCATAGTTATGGCTGAGCATTAAGTTTTGTGTTTTAAGTCTTGCAGTGAAAGTAGGAATGCAGCCACTTTGTTACATAGGAAGATACAATGTATCCTCCCCAAATTACAGCATTTTCCCCTTTGGGCACAGAATGATTTTTTTTGAGAATTTATAAATAAATGTGTTAGTTTGACTCTTTCAAAATAGCTGCCTTGGCTTCTTTTGTCCTCATGGGGGAGAGCATGAAAGTGCTCTTTGCTAGCAAATATGCCCTCTTTCAAAATGGCCACCAATGGGAGGCTGTGGCCATTTTAAAAGAGGGCGTCTTTGCTCAAGTTCAGCTACGGTCTCAGACCCAGTGAGAATAGATGGCTGCCATTTTGAAAGCAGGCAATTCTTATATTCATCCGCCCCTGCTGAAGGTGAAACTTTTAATTAAGAAAAATGGCAGAAAATGAACACTAACCCTGAAACTTCTTTTAAAGACCTACCTGTTACACCAGATTGACTCAACAGGTACGGGAAATTCTGGAGAGGTGTGCATGGGAAGTTGGAGGGGAAGGGATAGGGGACATTTCTGTATGGGTGCATTCTGGGGAATGTGGAGTTTATGTGCTAGGGGAAATTGAGTAGTACGCTCTAGTTGCTTTGCACTGCTCCTGTGTGGGATTAACAGCAAGAATATCTGGTGAATCTGGTCCTAGAAGATTTAAGGGTGATACTACCCATCTTCAAATCATTAAAAATATTAAATGGCAACATTCTCTTTGGGTTTCTTGTTTCTATGACATTTTAAATAATAATAAACTTCCAGGAAAGAATCTCTATTAAAGATAAGATTGACAGTATATATCAGTAATTTAGAGGTAAAACCATTACTGGAATCTTGTAACAACTTAAATCTGAATTTCCTGGGTTTGTAATGCTTGTTTTGGGAATCAAGTACAAGAGAAATCCAAATGTGTTAAGGTATGGATAAGACACACAAAATGTTAACTCTGTCTTCTAGTACCACCATTTGGGGCGGGAGAGGGGAGTCTTTAACATCAGTTTAATCAAATTTAGGACTACAAACATTTATGCATTCATCATAAGTGTATGGTTATTGCATAGTGTCACTATAGGGCAGAGTTGAGGTTATTTGGGTGACTCTAAATTTCCATACCTTCACACATTTGAGTATTTATTTTAACTTATGCCTTAACTCTCTCCTGAGTTTAATTATTTGTTTCTTGATCACAAAAGCCCTGTAATTTTTTTTTAATCCTTAAATTTCTGATTTGTACTCAATTGTAACTCCCATCTCAATATAATTTGTGAGTAATTTAAACAAGAACTAATGAGTACAGGCTCATTAGCAAGATTTGTGCATCCCCCTCCTTCTAAGCGACTGTAATTTGTGCAGGCAGATTGTGGGTACCATTTTCAAAATGTAACATCTTATGGAATTTCACAATTCTTTGGTTTATTTTCTCCTAAAGAAAAGTTTAAATACCCCTGTTAGTCAGCAATATGAAACCTGGACACTATCAGGTTAGGCCAGTTAAAATAACCCCAGTTTTGGGGTGTGGGTAAAACATAATGTATTTGTTTATTCCTTTTAGTCACATAGGCTGGAGGGTAGTAAAGCAGGCTCTCCCAAGCCTCAAGTTACCCCTTGGGAGCAGCTGGGACTTCCCCAGGAACAAAGGGGTGGGGCAATGCCCAGTAACTTTCCACTCTAACTAGCAGAGGGGTTCTTTCCTAGCAGCTGCCACTTCACCAGCTGCCAGTTCTTTCAGTGTGAAATCTGGGTATTTTTCATCTGCTGGTTGGTGGTTTGACTCATTGACCACTTGCCCCTTCCGCTTATCACTTCATTGGCAACCTCACTCTCCAGCTTTCCTTCCTTCCTATTTCCTTTTCTGCCCACCCCATTGTTCTTATTTACTCTTTCCCTCCTGCTGTTTCCTTCAGCACATCCTCCATAATTAAAGAAGTGGAATTAACTTTTGCTTGTCATTACCATGTTCATATATAGTATGCCATTACTCCTCCCTCCTCCCCTGCAATCTTCCTTGTTTTTATAGTTGGGGGTTGGACTCTGTCTTCCTAGTTCTTTTTACATTGACTATAACAATGGGAGCCCAATCCTGATTAGAGGCTTTACTATAGATAACTCAAGTAACTGCTGAGATTGTATTCAGTTATTTGTGAATGATTTAGTAAGCAGATCTGTTGCAGCCACTCTCCGTATTATGAAGCCAGTTTTCTTTCTTCTAAATAATCAGGCATTCAAGACCAGTTTGGTTTAAGTTTAGAAGCTGAAGAGGACCAAAATCAAGAAGAGGATTTGGTCTGACAATACCACAGTGATTGGTACAAAGAGTGCATAGTAGGTTTTGGCATGTGCACATATTTATCCAGATAAGTAAAAACAAACAGTACTGTAAACATTAGGGGGAAAAAAACAGATGACAAGAGGCAGGAAAGTCTGTAGGTATGAAAGAGCATATACATGAAACACAGCTAGGGCTGCTCAATCAAATTAGTTACTATGACTAATACGGCAGTTTAAATTGTGACCTGCAGTAGTTTTTTCTTCCCTTCGTTTAGGCATGGTACATTCAGGAAGAAGGCCACAGAGTGATTCACTCACTATCCAAAACATAGTTAGCAACAAGACATTTGTCTGTTGTACACACACTAACCCAAAACCACTTGCTTTTGACAAAAATTAAGGCTTGCCGCATCTACTATGCTGATAAACAGGAAACCATGTCACTTTGCCGCTGTACGAAGAGTATATATTAAAACCAAATAGCTCAGCCTTCCATACTGTTAGGGCTTGCTAGCCACTTACAGCATATAGATAATTATTTGGGTGCTGTGTGCTGTTTTTTAGGTGGTGCAGGTATCAGCCAGCATTAACCAGATTTCTGTAATTAGGGTAACTCCAGCTAGCAACTTCTGATTATGCTCATTGTTAAGATTTTTGTTCTAGCTAAATACTGACTTTATTGGTGCATACATTCAGTTCCTGAAAAGGAGTGCTAAACCAAGTTGCTCTTCCCGCAACCCCTTCCTGGATCCAAAAAATGGTGTCCAGTGATCATGTGTTGAAGAAGGAAAAAGTGAGACATTTAAAGTTAAAATGATTCAATACATTTGGCTCATTAGTTCTCCCCAACCTTTTCCACACATCTTGGCTCTGTTGACTACAGTAGGGTCATGTGTATGATTTTTTTAGAATTCCAATCTGTGCATAGGATGTCAGGTTTTCTCTTTGTTAATTTAAATACTTTTCAATAACAGATGGATTCATGGGTATCTAGACTAGCATGTGTTAATCTTTCACTTGTATAATGGGTTTACTAGTTTAGTAATATAAAAAGAAATTACCTTATGCCCCTTAAATGTATCATACAGCTGGATTCATTGCAAACTAGAAAATGAACCTGCATGATTGAGTGGCAGGCTACAAAAAAAGAGAGTTGGGGGCTTATTGCCCCCCTGTTGGTGCTGCATAGCAAAGGGAAAGGCTCCTTCCCCAACCCCATTATACCCTCCAAACCACCATACTTCCAGAACAAGTCTACACTCAGCCCTTCACATTCTTCCTTCCAGGTTTAGATGATCATAGCACACTAGGCATTTTTCTGCACCAGTGGGCAGTTATAATGTCCCATAGGCTATTGGCACTTGTTTCACTTAGCAACATGGCACCCAACTGATTGAAATTACACCACTAATATTAGTGAGTGTAAACACTAATTGAGGCACAATTGACTTGTGTGCCAGTGTAGACACATCCCATTAGCACATTGGTGAGCTGTCAGTTCCCACTGCTGTCAAAGATAAAAACTCTTCAGCAATGAACCGCCTTAGTTTGCTTGTGGAACATGCACTGTACCCCCATAGATCTGCAGCTAAGACACTATTCTCCCCAGCTCCAGGAGTTTGGGGGTAGAGGGAGTGTAGATAGCAGCTGTGCACCTCCTGCTGCAGCCCCAGTGGTGATTTGTGGGTGCATTGTGTGCTGGTATTTGTGCTCTGATGTACCTCTGTGGTTCGTCAGTGCAAAAGTATCCGCTGGCAAATTAGCAGTGGAGTAGCACAGCCGTAGCATGGGCACTGCTGAAGGTGGTGATCAGGGAATGGTTAGTGTGAGAAGAGGACGCTCTGGGGAAGTACAGGGTGGGTGCAATTCACAGGCTGAAGACTTACTGGGGGATAGTGGGCATCGGATTTGTAGTAGATGGTGAGACACAGAAAGAAGGCTTTCAGCTGGCAATTTAAAGAGGTTCACTAGCTAAAGGAGCTTTTGACAGCCACCCCATCTGAACTGGTGTAAGGCAGCCTTAGCATGGATGCAAGGACAAATTACACCATGTTCAGATGTGCCGTATAGCTGCACTGAATCAGTGGCGGAACAAAGGGTGTAAAACAACAGATTACTACACTAACACTTGATTTCTCTAGCATAGATAAATGCTAACGATTAATGTTTATATTATAATAATGGGCAGTGAGAGTAATGCTGCACTGATCTCACAGCTGTGTCAGTCAGGTACAATTCCACCGAGTCAGTGGTGTACCCTAGCATAGACCCTAGTCCTAGCACCTTATACTTTAGAACAGCAGCTGTGTGGTTAGTGAAGCTATCCTACTCTAGTGGTAATGGCAACAGCTCATCTGTTCCAAATCCTGCCTGAGACACTTGATATTAGATCCGTACATTTTCTATTGTAAAAGAAGCTCTAGTTAGATATAGGAAACAGTGTATAAGATTATTTGTTGGGTCACTAGTGTTGACTATTACTAGGGCCCTACCAGATTCCTGGTCCATTCTGGTCAATTTCACAACCTGAGGGTTTTAAAATTGGTCAATTTCACGATTTCAGATGTTTACATCTGAAATTTCAGGATGTTGTAACTGTGAGGGTCCACACCCAAAATGGAATTGGGGGGAGGGAAGAAAGGGTTGCAAAGTTGTTGTAGGGGGTCCCAAGATTAGCACCCTCCCAGCTTCCTGCGGTTAGAGGAGGTTCCCAGTGGTGAAGGTGGGTAGGATCCCCCCCGCCCATGCTGCTGGGAACACCCCAGCTGGAGGCACCTAGCTGCTAGTTCATGCCAGGGACAGATTAAAGCAGAGCCCCCTGGCCAATTTGGGGTCCCCCAGGAAAAATGGGTGCTCAAGCCCCAGGGCAGAAGCCCCTACCGGGTTACCCCGAGCCCCAGAAGAATCCGTGGGGCAAAAAGCACCAAGCCCGCATGCCCTGAGCTGCAGCTGCAGGGCTGGAGTCTGGGCAGCCCCAAGTCTGGACTTCTGAGCCCCAGCTGGCGTGGCAGAAGCCCTGAGCCTGGACTGCCCCGATCTCATCTGGAGCTGGTGGGTGGGGCAGAAGCCCTAAGCCCAGGCTGCCCCAGCTGCAGCTGACAGGAGCACAAGCCCCCAGCCCGGGAGGAGCTGGCCGGGGAGGAAACCCCGAGCTCGGGGTCTGGAGTGGTGGTGGAACCCCAGAGCCTGCGCTGCCCTGACTGGAGCAGCAGAGGAAGCCCCTGGCACAGGCTGCCCCGAGTCCTGGCTGCAGCTGTGGAGTGGAAGCCCCCAAGCACCCATAGCCATCCGTCGGGGGGGTAGGGAGGGGCAGAAGCCCAGAGCCCAGGCTACCCCAGCTGCAGCCACCAGGAGCAAAAGCCCCCAGCCCAGCAAGCTCCGCTGTGGGAAGAAGCCCCGAGCTCACTGCCCGGTGCTATTGCAGGAGCCCTGGGAGGAGATGGGACGGAAACCCAGAGCCCAGCTCCTGAGCTGCTGCAGCGCAGAAGTGAGGATGTACCACCCTCATTTCTGCACTGCCTCAGGAGGTGAGTCTGATCTCACCAAGGGTGGCAGTGCAGGGGAAGGACAACTCCTGTCCCTTCCCAGTGTGGGCAGAATAGCAATTAGGAGCCCTGGGTTCCCCGCAGCAGGGGAGAACAGATTTCCCGGGAGAGGGCTGATTTCACAGTCGGTGACATGTTGTTCAAGACGGTGAAATTGGTAGGTCCTATATTACATAACAGCAAGCATTGTTGGACATGGAAGAGTACAAAGGTCTGGCTGAGTCTCTTCTTAGTTTCTCATCTACTCTATGCAATCTGTCTTTTTCTCCCCACCACACACACAAGATATTTACAGTGGGTGCTGAGGTTTATTTGTTTCATTTTTACATTTACTTGGAGTAAAATGATAAAAGAGGTGAATAACAACAGCTATGCTATCTCAGCTCTGGAATCAAATGCCATCCTTAACAAACGCTGACTTAAGTAGACAATATCAACTGTAACCATAGCAACACTACTCACATTTAACAGCACTTTGTTAATGCAACCTGTGAGCTAGTTACTTTTGCTCCCTTTCATGTTGCATGAAAAATAACTGCACTGCTTAAAAAACAGATATAGCCCACAGCACACCTCCACTGATCGATCATTTCAAACGAACAATTGAAGCAGTCTTCCCTAGTTTCACCAAAAATGCAACTTTCTCCTGGAGTTTATCATCACTAAAATGTTTAAGTCTGTGTTAATTTGCCATTTAGAATATGTTCTTATTCTAAGGGTTACAAGCAAGCCCATATCCTTAACATTCATGCTTACTTAAAGAAGAGTTATGACTGGATGTTACATTACAATCAGAAGAGAGAGCTGAATAAAGATCTCTTCCAACTAGTTTTATTCCAGTTAAAAAATCTGAATGTACAAAATACCAGTGTTTGGAAAGATTATGTTCTCTCTGCATCCTCCAAGTGATACTGAGAAAATAAAATCAACAATTCCTATTGCTGTGAAATTCTGTTTTTGCAACTGGTGACCCCAGTCTTTACAGAGACTAAAATTATCTTATTTCATATTTCCAGCAAAGAGGCTAGCAGCTCAGTCAAGTTTAATCTCCCTTCCACTGAGAACACTTTTATCGCAAGGCAAAAACTGGAGTTAGACTTTTAGGTTGTGGGCAAGGCACTCGCAAAGTGAGCAAATCTGTTTCTGCTCATGGAACTAATTTAATGTTTAAGTGCGATAAAATCACTAAATTAGCCTTAAAGAATGGGTTCATGCATGCCTAACAGCATTCATCAGACAGGATTATGACCCAGGCCTCTAAGCACATGAATACTGCAGGTCTAAGGAGCAAACTTTACTATTACTGCTTCACCAGACAATGCTTCATTTTTTGACTATTCATAGAAATGTCATATCCCATTTTATTACTTTAATCTTTTATTAAAATACTGTGTAGTTTTATTTAAGAACTGCTAGATGGTTTTCCTTTCAGTAATTAAAAAAAAAGGAGTAATCTGTTTCAATGATATTCAATCCCCAGAATTTAAAGGAAACACATTCGTGCTGATAATAAATGCATCACATACAGCATTAGGTCAGAAATAACATCTCTTGATTAAAACCCCACTGTCTCATTGGGAAACTATACACTGATCCACAACTCACTTCTTCCTTTTATCCATGTGTTTCTTTTTCAACATCTGGCAGTGAGTGCAATTACTGTTGCAAATCTAGGGGGCGCAGCATATTTGTTATAGTCTATCCTTCTGATAGACTCTAGACACTTGTCTTTCAGAGACAGATTGTTGTCTGTCTTAGATCAGCACCATTTCTTAAGCTGCAGGGCACTGTAGAATGTCTCATTGCACTCATGGGTCTTTCATGCCTGTAATTTTCCGCAGTGTCCTCTTTGCAAAGGCTCCATGTCACTCTTAATGAGGCATATGCACGCATTTCCAGATAAATAAGCTGCATTTTCAAAAAGTTAAGAAAGATTAAAAATTATTATATGTTTAATATAAAAGTTTAAATTAAAAAAATATTTCAAACTATATTGGCCATTACAGTCTATTTTTTATTTTAGTGAATCTCTGTACTTCATACCACTCTTAAATAAAAAGAATCGGGTGTTGTAAATATTTGACTGCTTCTTTACAAACAAGAAGGAACAAACACATAACTGGTTAAATGTCTCAAATTCTGAACTTGAACATTATCTCTGCACTATTAAGAATTGTCCACACAGAGTAAACATATTAGATTTCTAATTACTTTTTGGGAAGAATGGAAAGATATACCTACCTGCAGTCATCCCCTCCAGCACTGACAACGTATTTATCCCCACTTGTAAATCGAATATTAGTCAAATGGGCCGAGTGACCTAAAAATCGCTTGTGTTTTGCCTAAAAAATAACAACATGAAAGATCATGAGTCATCCTCATTGGACTGTTTTAGAAAGAAAGAGTAAAAGAGTGTGTGTATAATATTTAGTATCATGTATCTAGAAGGTTCTAAAATGCTCCATAGGTTCCTAGGCTACAGGGGTCATTTCATGAAATGCATCCACCATGGGGTGTAAAGCAGAAGCTATTCAATTGTCTCTAAATTATGGGGTGTGGGAGTGTCTCTAAACTATGGGGTGTGTGTGTACATCGCCCTCCTCCCCATAGTTTAGAGACAATTTAATGCATTTATCCAGTGGGGTATAAAGCAATTTTTAAACACAAACAGGCGCGCCCAGTGGTTAGGGCAGTCAGCTGGCAGATGGAAGACCCAGGTTCTAGTTACGTTGCTCCAACAAATACTTATTTATATCACAGTGGATCTGCTTTAACAGGAGGGATTGAGACACAGACCAGCCCCAAAATACCCCGTAGCTCAGTGATTAGAGCATTTTCCTGGGAGGTAGGAGACCTAAGTTCAAGTGCAGCAATGCTAAGCGTTGCAATGCCTAAGTCCTCCTTGGGTAGCCCACCACTACTCTTTTTGAATGTGCCTGCTTTCCACAGATGGGTGTCTTTGAGGTAGGCAGTATTTGTATGTGCAGATACTTGCATGTAAGGGAGACCTTTTTGTGGCAGGAGAGGGAGGAGAGATCGGGAATGGGGGCTGCAATTAAAAACCAAATTTCTTCACTTTCCTTTGGGGAGGGAGGATTTCTCTTTTTTCTTTTGACTCCTCATGCTCTGCTCCCTCCTCTAACTCTCTTCCATGCTGGCCATCACATTCCAGCTTGTGAACAGAATATTTCTGACATCATTCCATGCAGAAATTACAGATTCCTGTCTTAAAGCCTTGTCTTAAAAAAAGGTGTGTAACAAGTTCAAATCCTTGTGTAGACAATGCAATTGTTTTCATGTGAGTTACTCAGTGGCTCAAGTTAAAGTCTAGGCTCCCCATCAGAACACACCTTTTTTTTTGTAGTGAAGACATGGTTTAAGAGAAACCATGTCTGTTGTTCACAGTTCAGAAAGTTGTCTCCTTGCTACAGGAGCCAGTGATGAACTCTAAATTTCCACTACATTTTCATTATGTTCTTTCTGACTAAAGGGATTTAACAGCCAAACAATAACTTTGTGACCATGAAATCAGCTACAGATAGGGACACGAATGCAACCATTTTGCTATTAATTTACACTGTGCGGTCACAGTTTGTTTCCATAACAAGTCCTTAACCTCGGTGCCCCAGTTTTCTTATCTGTAAAATGGAGATAGTGTTACTTATCCACATTTATAGAGTGCTTTGAGACCTTCATAATGAAGGCACTTTATTAATGCAAGATGGCAACAAGTACTATTGCTAGTTTTTAGATGATTTGAAATCATGGATTGTGGCTACAGTTATTGTATAAGGGTTTAGGAAATCCTGGATAGCAAGCAAGCTTGTGAGACTATGGAGCTACAACTAAATGCATACATTAAAAAGCTATAAACTTAGGGGGGAAAAGAACTACCACCACCCTCCCTCTGATAGGGTGCCACAAAATCAAAAGCACTTTGTGTTACAATCACACAAACAAAAGGTTCTTACAAATTTTTCAGGACATGGAAAGTCAAACAGCTTGACCATGCCAAAGTCATCGCCTGTTACAAGGCTGATTCCAGAGTGAGAGACACAGGCACAGTTCACATCAGCTTTCTCAGCATGCCTGGACCAGATTCCAACTACTTCATCCCCTAGAATACTGAAATAGAAGGGTGAGAGGGCCCCCTTGGCAACTAATGCATTGTAGGAAAAGCAATAGGTTTAGAAATAATAAACCAATTTTATAGTATTCTGTGATTATGAGAATCTGAAATTAAAGTAAACAATTTACCAAAAAAAAAGATATAACATGGCTAACAAAGCTAAAAAGCATATGATGAAATTGATATGGTTAAAATTGACCAATGAGGCAATTATCAAATATAGAAAAATAAATGATGTGAAGTACAACATACAGAAGTTGAACAGAGATGTTACAATTAGAGCTAGTCAGAACATTTTTTGTGAAATATGTTTTAATGGGAAAATGCTGTTTCACTGAAATCAAAACGTTTTGTTGAGATGTATGAATTTTGATGGCATTTTTGACTGAAAGGTTCCCGAGGTCCAGGGTAGACCCTGGTCCATTCCAGAAAGAAAGAGACCCAAATCAAAAGCTAACCCTTTACTCTGAAAACTGACATTTCAATAACTTTCCATTTTTCAAAAACTTTTGAAAGATTTGGTTTTCATCCTACACTGGATCTAAAATACATTTCAAACCTTGAAAATCCTCATGAAATGGAATTGTTGGTCTCTGGCTAGCTTTAATTATAATGTACATGTATACTCCACAACCTGAAGAGAAACCCAGCACTGGATTATATGATGGATTATAATTTATATGCTGAATATTTGGGATGCTAGAATTTTTCTGGATCAGGCTTGAGTATAATATATATATATTAAAATAAAGTTATAATACAGTTAGGGCTAGGTCAACTGACAGTGTTTCTTTCAAACACAATTAAACAAGGAATATAATAATCAACTCACTATTAAATCATAAAATGGATAGGTGCAAAAATGGCTCGGGACCTGATGACCTGAAAATTCTCCCCCGTCTGATACTATCCTGATTATGATCAGGAACCTTTTTGTTTTGAAAAGGAATGGGCTGCTGGCAGGACATTCTCTCTCTTTAAAGGCCCAGGGACTTTGGAATTCACTCCCCACAATGGTATGAAGTAGCTCAAGTCTGCCAATTTCAGGGCATGCTACAGATCCCAGCTCTTGTTCAGGGTTTTGAGAAAGTGGGAGATGTATGGGGCTGGTGATTTTTTGTTTTTAAAAAGACTGATTTTTTCAATTAACCTTTAGTGCATGAATGAAGGTATATTGCAGGATTTGTTATTTTGTATTGATTGTGATTTTACAGATTTGTCAAATGAGCCTAGAGCATGACATAAGTGATTTTTATTTCTATAAAAATTAAAATAAAGTAATTTAATATACAATGTAAAATAAAAACAACGTAGTTTTCAAAAAAACAAAAAAATGCCAAACTTAATAAAATATCATTTTAAATATAATATCTGTTTATACGATTTATTTTGTATATTTTTGAATACACCAATAATAATAATATTTTTCCCATACGTTAAACAGATAGAAGTACTGTGTATAATCTAGCACTGTCTACTACACATGCTCTAATAGGCTCTGTAAAACTTAAATGATCACAGGCTTGTATTATACAGATTTTTATTTGAAACCAATTTTATATTTTTTCCTGACTTACCCTCAAATTGCTATTTCATAGCTACTGCTGCAACACATTCCATTAACTGGGAGAATGAAATGTATGATCTCTCAGGTTGCCTTAGATTGGGGGAGGGATAGCTCAGTGGTTTGAGCATTGGCCTGCTAAATCCAGGGTTGTGAGTTAAATCCTTGAGGGGGCCATTTAGGGATCTGGGGCAAAAATTGGGGATTGGTCCTGCTTTGAGCAGGGGGTTGGACTAAATGACCTCTTGAGGTCACTTCCAACCCTGATAGTCTATGATTGCACCACAACCCTCTTCTGACAACAAAAATTACTATACAACCCCAGAAGGGGGGACCGAAGTCTGAGCCTGCCATAGCCCTGCCGCCCTGGGTGATGGGGGCCAAAACCAAAGCCCAAGGGCTTTAACACCAGGCAGGGAGCCTGTAACCTGAGTGCCACTGCCCAGGGCTGAAGCCCTTGGGCTTTGGCTTCGACCCCGGACCGCAGCAAGTCTAAGTCAGCCCTGGTGACCCCATTAAAACGGGGTTGTGACCCAATTTGGGGTCCCAACCCACAATTTGAGAACTGCTGCCTTAGATGCTGGATCAAAAGCTGTAAAGGGTACTTAAAGAGAGTGAAAACTCATAACCTCCAGAGACCATATGCATTTAATACCCTGATGGGCTAATTGCCAATGGTCTCAAGTGGAGCCTATACATTCTTCTCATGTGACTGTATAATGTACTCCTACTCTGTTGCCAGATCAATCAGGCATGTTTTTAAGAAAAATATAGATCAAATGCTATAGCGTTGCAGTATCCTTCATGATAATATGGTCATTTCCAGACCTATGGTTTTCTTTCCAGGTGGGAGACATCTGAACTTTTACTCCAGTAGCAAAAGCGAATCTGTGAATTAGTTACCTGGTCCAACTGGCCCATGTTATTCTGTCAATCACTGCCTGGTCCATAAGCTGTTTTCCCGAAGGCACTTCATAGACCTGCCTTTTGTAAGACCCTGTAGAGACCTTTGAGGATGAACATTCAGAAATAAGAGATCGTTTGAGTTAAAAATGTTTGAAGATATTTGAAGTGCTAAGGATATAATTATACACTCAATGTTATTATCAATGGCTCTGAAATAGGGTGTTATTGATAGAGCCTTTTACCCTACAGTAGAATCAGAGGAAGTATTCTGTGGAAAGATCTTATGCTTCCCAAAAATGTATACAAGTAGAGAACAATGAGAAATGGTGATCAATTTTCAATTTAAAAAAGTCTTACCAATAAAATGTGAGTGAAATATATGTACATTCCTTACTACACAGCACCCAATTAAAAGAGTAACTGTTGTAAATAATGCAGGTATAAACTGGACTTTTAGAAGTTGCTTAATTGGCCTGGGGAGGCTCACCCCAGTCTGTGTATGATCCTTTGGTGGTGAAGAGGCCACATAAGAGCTCGTATGCTATTCCTTCTCCCTGATGTTGGTGCAGCAGGGAAAATGGAGTGCTGCTAGGACATCCCTACTCCATGCTGATCCCAATATTTATTTTTGGCCTGTTGGAGCCATTTAAGGCCAGTGTAAATTACAGCAGCCTGAAGCTTGCGCTTGTGACCTCATAGAAAGGGGTCAAAATGTGTAGATACATTGTGAAAGCCATGGCAACATGGGTAGAGTGCTCATCAGAGGAGGCTTGTACTGATAAGATGTGCACAGGGGCACTTTATTATTATGGTCAGGAATCTGAAGGGTTTGCCATAGTTTCCTGATGATTCCTGGGAAGAAAGATCATTTCCAAAAGGTCACAAACCCAGCTTCAACAAGGTGATGAGGCAGATGAACAGTCAGTGTCACTTTTTAGTAACTCAGAAGTACGCCTATCACAAAACAACCTCACCATTTAACACAGCTATCAGTTTCTAACCATGATAGGCCCAGAACTGAAATACTGGGGGAGCTGCTGGTCAGGACTGAGATGTGATTACTGGAGCCTCATAAGGAATCTTGCATGGTGTCTGTCACTAGTATCTTTGGCATGAACAAGTGATAATAGACCTTCATGAGCAATAAATTTACTTACAAACTTAAAAAATATATACAATGATCTCAAATGACTGATACCTGGAGAAAATGACTATCTGCAGAGAAGTCCATCTGGATAACAAAGCTTGGGATATCTTTGCAGTAGCTAACTCGATTTAGCGTTGGACCCAATGTCAAGTCATAAAAATCCACTGCATTCTCACTAGTACCCACTGCTAAGTAACGAGAATCTGGACTGAACCTGAATAGATAAATAGTTTAAGAAGAGAGGTTGAAATTCACAAAAAGAAAAATTGAAGATCTTAGAATTTCTTTTTCTATTTTCTTTTCAACCCTCTGATATCAAGTATCATGGGGTTTTTTTTTTTTTGCAACATAGTGTTACAAAATGGATCCAGCTCTTATTCTAAGGGATGAAAGACAAGAGAAAACATACAATTTGTCTGGTCCTACTTTCTCTTTCAGCATGATTGATTATTAGTAATATATTGACGAAAACACACTGTTTACATCTTCTATCTCCCCTCCTTGTGACTCTCCTCAATCAGGAGTCACTCTTTCTCTTGTGCTACCCTATCTCTGCTGAAATTTTCTCTCCCTCTAAGAGGCTGAGTTGATTTCTTCTCTTTTGAATCTAGAGTTCTGAACTGGGCTCACCTATGACAGAACCCTTCCATTTCCCCTTCATTGTAAGTAATGTCTGACAATACTTACTGACATCTCTACTGCTTAGGTTCCAGCTTTCTGTTCTACTCCATCTTCATATGTCTTTTTTCTCTTTATGCCTTGTATTGAAGTCATTATACTCAGCTCTGTAAAGCATTCACTCTATTCTATCTCTCTGCAAAGCATTTTGTAATACTCTGTACAATGGATACTATACAAAAGTAAATTATATTGTATTATAAAATTATTCTCAAAGCACACACTTTGAAAATTACACTGGATTGGGAGGGGATTAATATGGTGTTTTAGGTATACGAACTCCAGGTAAATAGCAACTTTTGCATATGGGACTTCCTTATAAAATAAATCACCTTATGTGGGCAGAGTTTTTGTTTTTAAATTATTGCTTGCTTACTTTATCAGCTCATTATTATCACATTTCAAGGGTAGATAAATGCCATGACTTTTCTGACCTTATGTCTTGGATAGCAGATCTTCTGTCCCTTTTTTTCCCCCATATTTTTAGAGAGGTCACCAGCAAGATAATAAATTCTCCATTTTTCATGCCAATAGCCACCATGTCCCCCTCGGGGCTGTAAGAAACAGTACGAGCTGCATGTCCCAAACTGACTTTGTTCAGCATCTTCTGTGAGAAAATAAAAACCAGGAAAAGAGGAGTAAATGTTTCTATTTATGCATGTTCCAAAATAATCCATAACCAACAGTTTCTCATAGTATCCACTGAATGTTATTTTTATTATGCAAAAGGTAGTGTCACAATCACTATACTAGCTTAGTTTCTCAGACTATGGTATTTTAAATCCTCACTATTGAATAAATCTCTGATTCTTTTTTGCTAAAATTATAGCTGCTTAGTACTATTAACTTTACATCTACCTTTTCAGCAATGTCCCAGAGTCTCACTGTCCCATCTTCTGCAGCAGAAAGGAAAAAATCTCTTGAAGGATGTGTAGCCAGTCCCCAGATAGGTCCATCCATATGACCATTAATTAGAATGTTACATGCTGCATTTTTCTCTCCAACTTCAATTATTTCAGCATTCCTTGTCCCAACAAGAATTTTTCCCTGGGACAATGGTGAAAGAATTATTACTGTAATAATATATTAGCTAATACTTATAAATAGTAACAAATGAGCAATGGTTATAATTCCATCAAGAAGGGCTGCTGAAATCAAATAAGGATTAAATTTTGTTAATGAAGAGATCAGCATGTGAATCTTCTGATTGTCTGAATTTCTGTTCACAAATCGGACAGAAGATATAAAACGGAATCATTCTCTGCCTCCAAATTTAACAGAATGTATTCAATTCAAGAGTTGTTATAATGGTCTGGGTGCTAAACACAGAAAGCGATCCTTTGTCATTTTTTAATCAAGTTGTATACACAATGTCATCCTAACTGGCACTAGTATTTCCTTAAGTGTATTTATGTGTGGACTGGAAAGTATGCTTTATGACAGATAATCTACAGCCATGGAAAGCCTTTAATTTAAGAACATTTAAAATTATAAATTAAAGTTAGATTCTTCAGTAACTCTTTAAATTGACATCAACTTGTATTAATTATTCAAACTAATAACCATGAGAAAAAGGTTCTGCAATAACCCAAGGATTGACAGCAATATATTAAAAAGAACATGCCTTACTTTGCCTCTACACACAGAACGAACACAGTCAGTCATCTGTCCTGTTTCCAATCTGAAGGCACGACATCGCTTCAGCTCCTGATCCCATAGTTTAACAGCCCCTCCTTCCTTTGATCTAAAAAGATAGTAGCCAAAGACACTAAGTATGAAAGCTAGCTCGTATTTTAGTCAATTAAAATATTTTATTACTTAATGTAGTTTAACCTCCCCATTTTTTCCATTTAGCTTATTCCCTCCTAAGAAAACCCACCCCGAAAAAGCATGGAACTAAAATGACATTGTCTGCCATCACACTCTTCACTGTTTGTGTGTTATATCCATTTCTCCCACCCTGTCTCTGTCTTGTCTATTTGAATTGTGAGCTCTTCAGGGCAGGGACCCTCTACAACTCTTATAGTGCCAAGCACAATGGGGCACCATTCTTCATTGGCCCTTAGGCACTAATGTAATAAACAGGGTAAAGGCATTATAAGTTTATTCCTTAAAGATTCCATTAACATTTGTATAGGAAAAAATATTAATATGCAATATATACCAGTCTAAAAAAATAAAATTCAGGTTATATATCAATAAAGTTTATTTATTAAAACTTAACAGTTTTTAAACCAAGGTAGATTTGCTTTTCGACTGTTTTAATCTCATCTTTCAAAAACACATACATTCTTTGATTTGAATTAATTATGTGTATTAATCTATAAAGATGATCAATTTTGCTGAAATCTCTAAATTACTGTCCAGAGGAAAAATAAATCAAAGGCATAGTTAGATTACAGATTCTGTAATTCATATGGTGCTCCTCAATTTCCTTCACTGTAATGCTTCTTCCCTGCTGTAGTGAAATGGCATTTAGAAAACTCTTCTGTCTAGCAACTAAAGTCATATGATGTGAAGAAAGGAGTGGATTTCCCAAACCACTGGTTTAGTACTATATGTTAAACGCTATCTGTGAGCCATAACAGTATAATTCTAAAACAAGGAGAAAGTGAAGGAAGAGAAGAAAAATACAAGAAAAGAAACTGAAAAGGAAAACTGAAAGAGAAGCAATGGGGAAGGTATTGATGGGGAAATAGAAAACAGAATAAGATTTGTAGCATGTATTTTTAATTATTATTATTGTTTATTTTTTATTCAGTGCCTTTAATGTTCTAGATGCTTCACAGAACAAGTAAAAGACATGGTCCCTGTTCTGTAGAGTTCATAATCCACAAATGGAAAAGGCATGAGATGACAGATAATGGGGATGAGGAGACAGCAGGAAAAAGGCCAGATTCTCCATTACTCCCTTCTTGTACTGGTTACAGAAAACAAGGTCAGTGGGGACTTTAAATTATTTTTGTGTCTCCCTAATTTTGGTCCAGAATAGGGGCCGTCCAAGTTCTAAACACAACTCTGAGCAGCCCAATACAGCCTCATAGAGCAGAACTGAGACACAAGGGTAGAGCAATAACACTGTGTGGTTATTTTGATAGGCTGTGCATGCTCCGTGGAGGTTAATTTTAATGATGTATTTTAGCTATAAGTGTTACTAGACCAAAGCATTGCATTACATTTCTGCTAAATGATTCAACTACTTATCATGAGCAACTGCTGTTTTTCAATAGATAGTTATAAATATTGATGTGTAAGTACGCAGGCTTCCATTGCTCTTAAAAGTGGTCTCATAGCATATCTTCAGAAATCTGTGTGGTCAAAGCATCAGCCAAGTATGCAAATATGTTGTATACATCAAGTTCCCAGAGGCAGTCATCCATACATATTTGATTAGTAAGACAGGTGGAGAGTTTGAGAATGCAATTCAGGGAACAAGAGGAGGATATCTGGCTTTTAGTACTTTTGATCTACATTAAATGCCAAAACATACACACACAATTACAAAATACTTTTGTCACCATTTTTTCAGGAAAACTGATATTTCCTAGTGATTTCCATGAACAAACATACTACAAAATTATATGTCTCTGTGTTTTTAGATAGTCTGTATAGTTTACATTAAAAAGTGTGCAGTGTGTTTTGAGATTATTCAGAATAGAAGACAATATACAGCAGTTATGAGTTGATTTTATTCTTACCTTTTTCAATATATTCATTAATTCTTTTGAACCTATGTGATAAGAATACCCTTTTGGCTTTGAGACACTCAATATTACATTAGAATGTGGAGAAATAAGTAGCAAATAAAAAGAACATATTAAAAGCAAAACATCTTTAAAAATGCAAGACTATTATTTTAGGGAAATAATCATAAATTTGATGGAGTTTTGTATTTGGATGGGGTGTACGTTAACAGCTATCTCCAAGGGAAAGGAAAAGGATCTCACCAAAATGGAAGGAAATATGTAGTGTTCTGCAATACTGAATCTTGCTGAGCTTTCAGTCTCATTAAATCTGCTGTGTGCCATTGGCATCTGCAAATGAGGCTAGAGGAGCAGAAGACAGCTACCTCTCATGATGCTGCTTTCCTCTCTACTGCATCCCTTCTAATGCCAGGTCTGAAAGTGTAAAAAGGGACTGGAAGAAAACTGGCACTGGTAATGAAAATAAAGGATCTTCTTTTTGAAATCTGATTAAGAGAGACCCAAGGGCCATTCTATTGAATAGGTGCCCTTTAACCTCTCAAGCGTCTCATGAGTTTTCCTGACAAAGATATCTGTGTAAGAAAGGGGTGGTCAATTTATATTTCATGGCAAGGGAAAATTGATAAATTCATTGTTGCAGTTCAGGGCAACAACACCTGTATTTCCCCTCAGTGGTCCAGCAAGGGCCCTGTTCTCAGGCTTCCACTGTATGTAATGCTCCCATTGTAAAACTGTTTATTTCTGTACTGTTTAAAATTATTTTTTTCCTAGTCAGTCTTAATCTTAATAATGAAAAATCATCACGAAATGTTTGAAATAGCTTGCATAGGTGCTTAAATAAAGTGACTGATGGTAACTACTGGAATTTCATGTTCTGAAGCACATTTGTACAGCACATAATATCTTAGTAAAACATATTTGAATGATAAAAAAAAAAAAGACTCACGGTCTTTCTTTGCCTCCTGTTACGATTAGACCATCTCTTAGTGTAGTGTACATTGTGAACACAGGCCCATTGTGAGCTTTGGCCACAATGCGTACCAACACATGATCTTTCCAAACACAAACATCTCCACTGATGGTACCTGTAAATGTCAAGTTATTCTGAAAAGGGGGGAAAATATACTTATCATTTGATTCTGAATAAGTCAAGAAGAAATACATTTAACTTTTGAAATGAATAAATAATAAACAAATTCTACATTTTGGGCTAGATTGTGGCTTTATTAGTCATTGCTGTAAAAGTGGTGTTTGTAGAGGGATACAGACCAATGGCAGATCCCTGAGGCACTCTGTCTGCAGAGGAAAAAGGCAGGCAGATTGCCTCCAAGTTAGAGGGTGAGCACACAAAAGAGAATCAGTTGTTATTCACTTTTAAAGGCACATGCTCTTCTCCGGTCAATGTGGAAGAAGGATAGAGCAAAGGTCATGCCTAGGCTGACATGTCCAGCACCGCAGGGAGCATGAACACTCCCTTCCTGCACTGAGAAAGTGCAAGGTATGGGATTTAGGGACAGGGCTCTCGGAGTCCGTTCCGCATCATCCCTTTGCACAACCATGGAACAGCAGACAGGAAATCAGGAGCAGCTAAGATACTAGTTAGTATCATATTTCACACAAAAACAGTAAAAACTATTACTAGTTAGTATCATGTTTCATACAAAAACTATTACTACTATACTTCAAGCACAATGTTTGATGGAAATCATCTTGTGTCCAGCTATTAGGTACAGCACTTCCCTCAATGGAGTACAGAGATGGTCAATTTAAAAAAGGAAAGTAGTAAGAATCTAACTCATTGAAACATAACTTGGTTTTCTTTAACTGTGCCTCCTATTTTTGAGGGGTAGTAAAGTTAAGCTTAACTACTTTAGGTATTCAAAAGCAATGATATTGAAAAATATTTAAAACCAGTAACAACTAAATGCTTATTGCTGGGAAGTTCAAAATGTTTTTGTTAAGTGCAGAATTCTTTATGTTTCAAATTATTGGTGACATGTAACACGTAAGATAATATATCAATGTGAAGAAAATACATTCCCTTGATTGACTCTGCTGATTTTATCTGGCACTGGTTTCCCTTGAAGTCACATCTCTATCTAAGGCACTAATATAGCCTCCATTATCATAGTATCTGAGCTCCTCACAATCTTTAGGATGATGATGATGTTATATGCATTGAAAACATTTAATTTCCAGGGATCCCAATTCACTTTCCAAGCTATTTACCGTATTTACATGACTCATTGCCACCCAACACTGAAATGCAGCTGATTCTGTGCAGGGAATGACACAGCTGTTTATCTGTGTACAGCAATATCACATAACATTAAATGACTAGAAGTGAAGAAAAATATATCCCATCAGGCAGGAAGTATACATGGGAATGTGGCCAGGAAACTGCCACTAAACACCATCCCCATGCTTGTGAAAAGCTGCCCATACTTTTAAAAAAAAATTACTTATTTATCTAGATTTGTATGCAAAAGTAAAGAAAGGCACTTATCCACCCTCCCTAAGCACCCTTGCAATAAATTACTAAAACAGAAATAAAACTGAAGTGCCAGCAAAAGACAACACTCCCCAATAGTTTCACCCCTCTCAAACTTCACCCTTAGATGCAGCTTGGACCAACAACTACCTCTTGCACTGTGATACAAAGGTCAACTGACTCAGATTATACCAGACCAGAAGAGGGAAGCCTGTTCCAGAGCTAAGGGCACCTCAAGGAGAACGCTCTACACCCAGCCCCCTCTTTTAAATCAAGGGGAATCCAGCTCAAACACATCTGCCAATTGCAACTGTGACAGAGAGGCAGTCTGTCAAGTAGGGAAGTCCCAAGCCATTTAGGGCTTTAGAGGTCACAAACAACAATTTAAAGTCAGTCTGGAAACCAATAGGCAGCCAGTGTAGATCATACAGCACAAGTGTCATGTTCTGCCATTCAGAAGCACCAGTTAATAAGCAGGTTGCCACGTTGTGCACCAGCTGAGTTTTTTAAATTTATTTAAGATATAGCACCATGTACAGCACATTGCAGTAATCCAGTCTTCAAGTGACAAAGGTGTGGGTCCTGGTTTAGAATCTCAAAGAAATGGTCACAATCTCTTAGCATGGTGCAGATCATTTTAATAGATTCCAAGGGCAGAAGAAACACTGTGATCATCTAGTCTGAATTCCTATATACCAAAGGCCATAGGACTCCTCCAAACTAATTCCTTTTGAATTAGAGCATATCTTTTAAAAGAATCCACCATATTCCTTGGTACATTGTTGCCATGGATAATTATCCTCAAAGAGCATTTCTGGACACTTTTGCTGAATGATCATCCCACAGCAGCTGGGGATGCAACAATACACCCAGTCTGTGAACAAGAACCACCCCATGGTGGGCCCAAAACCTTAAGTGGAAAAGTTATTCTCTTAATTTCTTCTGGTTGCCTTTCCCAATTTAACATCACCACCTCAGTCTTATCTGGAATGAACTTCAGCCAGCAAGTTCCCTGCAGAATTCCACATAAAAGTGCCTTAAGGGAAGAGGTACTACCTCCCTGTACCACCTTCTGGGAATCTTTAGGCAGGAGAGAACAGAGCCATTCTAGAGCATCTCTGCAGTCCACAGACAAGTCTTCATGTTTAATGAACACAAGAGATGAGAATCTCAGGTTTTAGGACTCAGCTGAAAGAGGGCATATTACAATGACCTAATTATGATGGGCTACTGAATATTGACTTGAAGGGAAAAGTGGTACCTACCGAAACACCAAACAACTTCCCACAGATGCTAGATTTCTCTTGGGGATCTCCCATCCAAGTATAGATCAGCCCTGATCCTAGTAAGATATAATGACCTCACCACCTGGGGTGGTATAGCTGTTTTTTTATACCTTTTTATAAACTTTCTACATTAAATGCATACCACATATTGTGACTTAATCCCCCCAAATTTGGATCTTGCTTAGTTAAATTTTGTCTTGGAATAAGCATGGCTGGAAGATGGACATTTGTTACCCATAGGTCAAATTTGTTACCCATAGGTCAAATCTTCCTATCATTTTTTGTAAAGTAATAAAACAGAATGGGACTAGACAGGAATATTTTTAGTGATCAAATATCAATACATATGAAGTTTATACAACACTGGGAGTATCTGAATTCATAACCTTTTTCTAAACAGAATTGATTTCATTTTAATTAAGAATAAGCTCTAGAAATAATAACTTTTTGTAAACTATACAGTTTATATACTAATCAGCAGGTTATAGCAGTCTATTATGCAAATAGGCATTTATGGCAGAAAAGTTCAGGATAACTCATTTTACTACATATACAGACATGGAAGAATAAGATGTAAAAATAATGTTTTGTATCTATGCATTTTAAAAGAATTTGTTAAGGTACATACAGCTCCAAAAGCTACAGATAGCATGGTCTGCATCCGGGCATCTTCTATTGAACTCAGTAGCCCTTTTTTACTGAGAAGAGCTCTTCCAGCAAGGGTCCAAAACCTCACATGTTTTACTCCCACTGAAACAAACTGGGTATCTGAATCCGGTCTGAATTCTGCTACAAATATACGTTGGTTATGACCAGCTCTGCTGGCAATTTTGGCACCTGGCAAAAAGAAAATGGAGAATTTGAATTTACCACAAAAATATGTCTTCTCCCAACAGAAGAATCCTTTACTCTGGAGCCTGATGAGTTATTCATCCCCACAATAGTAAAAAAAGTAGCTGAAACCCCAAACTGTTCCTCCTATATAAATCCTCGAATGGATTATCTCCAATGCTTTAAACGCTAGAAAACTATACACATATACAAACTACGTACCCAGCGTAGGCAAAATTCCAGAATAGAGAAAGGTGGTGTGGGGGAGAAGAATGAAATGAGGAGACAGATCAAGAAGAATGTAAGACTGAAAGACCTGATGTCCAAGACAGCATCTGGTGAAGATGCTGTGTCTACTTATAGGCTGTAATTTTCAAAGGGGCCTAATGATCAGGGCCCTACTCCTATTGTATTTCAATGGGAATTGGGAGTCTAACTACCTTAGGTCCTCTGAAAATCACAGGTCTAGCATCCGGTCAAAATATGCAGAGATTGCCAGGGGGCTGCTTGGCAGATTTTCTCCAAAGCTGCTCTATTTCTCTCTGTCCAAGATCAGTAGAGTACATTCAACAAAATCAGTCTAAGACTCAAAGATGGTGCCTTTCCAGCCTGTACATAGTTTTCAAAATTAGATGTTCTGACCCGTTTGAAGATGGTCGTCTTAGATGCTTTGTTCTTCCCTGCAGAGCAGATGAACAAAGTATCTGACTACCTAAAGTACTTTGTCCTATCCAGGAAGCATTTGATGGCTCTGTGGCTATCCAGATGGAGCCATATGAACTTTTGAGGATGAGCAAGTTTAGGACAGTGGCATCTTGACTGAAATGGTAAGGAGAAACTTACTAGACAGGCCCTTACTAAATATACTACACAGGCTCTATCTTTGCCCATGTCCATGCTCAACACTGCACAGTTTCTGTAGGGACCTGACTGGACACTAACCACATATGATGACAGACACATATAGTGGGGGGTCATTTTCATTACATGCACTCATCACTCCTGATGGATTTCTCCTTGGTCAGCAGAGACCACCAGACGGGAAGGTGGCCAGTCAGTGCATAATGTATCATGTCGGCACCCAGGGTTCAGGGCTCTGGTAGGGTTGCCAGATGTCCGGTTTTAGACCGGAACGCCCAGTCAAAAAGGAACCCTGGCAGCTCCAGTCAGCACTGCTGAACGGGCCACTAAAAGTCTGGTTGGCAGTGCAGTGAGTCTAAGGCAGGCTCCCCACCCTGGTTCCGAGCAGCTCCCAGAAGTAGCGGCATGTCTGTCTCTAAGGCACATGTCTGTCTCCTGCCCCCGCCCCAAGTGCTGGCTCCGCTGCTTCCATTGACTGGGAACCGTGGCCAATGGGAGCTGCAGGGGTGGGCACCTGCGGGCATGGGCAGCACACAGAACCCCCTGGCCCCTCCACCGAGGAGCCAGACATGCCGCCTGCTTCCTGGGAGGCACATGGAGCCAGGGCAGGCAGGAAGCCTGCCTTAGCCCTGTTGTGCCATGGACTGGGAGCCACCTGAGGTAAGCACTGCCAGGCTGGAGCCTGCACCCCAATCCATTGCCCCAGCTCAGAACCCCCTCTTGCACCCTAACTCTCTCCCAGAGCCCACACCCTGCACACACTCCCACACCTCAACCCCTGCCCCAGCCCTTAGTCCCCTCCTGTACCCCAAATCCCCCATCCCTGACCCCAACTCAGAGCCCACAGCCCCAGACGGAGCCTGCACACCCTCCTGCACCCCAACCCCCTGCCCCAGCCCTGAGCCCCCTCCTGCATCCTGAACCTATCATTTCTGGCCCCACCCCAGAGCCTATACCCCCAGCTGGAGCCCTCACCCACTCCGGCACTCCAACCCCCGGCCCCAGCCCGGTGAAACTGAGTGAGGGTGGGGGAGAGTGAGTGACAGAGGGAAAGGGGATGGAGTGAGCAGGAGGTGGGCCCTCAGAGAAGGGTTGGGGGTCTCAGGAAGTGGCATGGCAGGGGTGGGGCAAGGGTGTTCGGTTTTGTGCGATTAGAAATTTGGCAACCCTAGGCTCTGGGTGCACCAGAAACTTTGTAGTCATGATCTGGGTAAGGACTTGCCAGTTGGGAAGGGGAGAGAGAGAAGGAGCATGACAGTGCAGAAGAGAGGAGGGACAACAAAACCCAAGGTCATGTGGCCTAAAACCTTGAACTCAGAGCAGAGATGCTATGAATGACTGTTTAGTTGGGCATGTGATGTAATTCCAGAGATTATACAGAGGGAGCAGTTTAGGCATCACTTTTCTGAGAGTTTCAGCTTCTTCTGTGGTCTTTGTGCGTGAGTCAGTCAAATCTCTAGAGGACTCCTTCTGGGTGTGAAAAGATTTATATTTAGCAGAAAGGAATAGATTCAATACAAAGCTGAATGAAACGTAAGATTTACTTTTATTATTATAAATGGAGGTCAAAGGATTTTCTTATCCAGTGTTTACAAGGATGATGCACTGGAAATACATTTGGCAATTATCTCAATAGTTAAGCACATTTATCTTATTTTTAACTTGTATAGTATATGCTATGAAACATTTATTACAATCATTTTTATCAGTTGATAACAAAAAATTTTATGTTGCAATTTTGGTGTGTGCTCTTGATTGACTTAGGGGAAATATAAATGTATTGTTCAAACACAAATGCTTTCCTACCTTCCTGCCACTTCCAAATGGTAATGGTGTGTTCAGGATCCAGCCCTACAGAGAGGAGAAGTTTGCCAGTGGCACTGAAACTGACTGAACAAACTCCCTTTGAATGGTAGCAACGCAGTACAGATAGTGTCTGTTTGTTCATTGCATCCCACACGTGGATAGAAGGAGCTGTAGCTAAATGAATATAAAATCATCGATTATTTGTTATATGCTTACAAACAAAGGCAACATTTTTGTTACTGAAAGCAAATGAGGTTTTTAACACTAGAAAAATAAAATTGTTTCAGTTAAAAAAAAAGGGAGATTTTGGTCTCACCTTATAAACTAACTTTTTGAAACAAGACTACCAGTCTGGACTCTGGGCTTGTTGTTCCAAATTATATTGGTGCAAGTAGTTTCACCCTCTAGTTGGTTGCTGAGCTTCTGAAACCCAACAGAGACCCTCATACCAGCAGTCCTCTCTTGTTTTCAACCCGAGTTAAATTGTCCTTAGCTTGAAACATTAACTCAAAATCTGAGAACTTTGAAACATACCTTATCTAGTAGTATGTAACTTGTTACAGGTTTAATACTTGGGTGAGGCTTTCAGACTGGTGGTTTCTGCAGAAAGTCAGTTTACAAGAAAAGAACAAAATTTCCTTTTCTACAAGGTGCCCACCAGTTTGGAATGCGGGCTATACCTAGCAGTATGCCAGCTGAACCACTGGTAAGCTTACTGAGGTAGAAGAACTAGAGGTGTTTATCTTGGTATGAGTTACTTAGATTGTAAACTCTCTGGGGTAGGGATTGTCTTTCTACAATATGCATGTACATTATTAATTATGGTGATGATGATTATTGTAGCGCCTAGAAGTCTCATTGTGCTAGGCATCACAGAGACAGTCCCTTCCAAAAGGGCACACAGTCTAACCATGGCTTGCAATCTGTGTATAGAGCCTGGTACAATGAGGCCCCAATCCTGAGTAGGGGTTGGACTTTCAGAGGTGTGTAAGTGACTCAGCAGCACAAACCTACTTGAAAAATCAGTAACAACCTTCGCAGAAGGAAGACAGAAGGACTCTCCTTCAACTCATGAAGAGGCCTGAAAGAGTGGGTCCAGAAGGCTCTTTTCTGCTATGAAGATTTCCTTCATGCTGTTACATAGCCACTTTGGTTTAACCAAATAGAAACCCTCCCTCTGCTCCTTTTTTTAAACTTTACATAGCACAAAACAGGGAATCAAATTTGTGAAAATCCTGGGAAGATTCATTTGGTGTATAGGCATCCAACTTCCTGAGCTAAGAAAATTACCTTGTCAAACCTCTCCTAGAACAGGTAGACAAGACCTTGGAACATGTTGAAGACTGTTTTCAAGTGGACCAATTTCTGAGAGCACACTAATTCACTCTTCTTAAGGCTAATAATAAACCCCATATGAGTAAGCAGCTGTACTGACTCACAAACTACTTTTGGAGCCTCTAGAGCTGACTGAGCTTTCAGAAGCCTGTTGTTGAGATACAGCAGAATGTGCTGGTGGGGGTGGGAGCAATGCAAGGATAAAGCGTCAATTAAAAGTGCTCTTGACCCAGAGCAAAGCAAATATTTTTGATGTGATGGTGTGATGTATGTGCAGGTGTGTTTTTTTGAAAGTGAGGATGCCTGCAGGTTCAATCCCTGCTATAACTATCTGGGTTGTCTCTATTTTGAATTTCCTGTGTGGCACAAGGGGTTTGGACCCCATTGGGAGTTGGGCATCTGAGTGTTAAAGACAACTTCTGTAAGTTGCTTTCAGTTAAGTCTACAGCTGATAGGGGATGTGGTTCAGACCTGGGTCTGGGTTTGCAGCAGGCTAGCGGGTCTGGCTCAAACCAGACAGAGCACTGAAGTCCTAAGCTTCCAGGGCAGGAAAGCAGGGGCAGAAGTAGTCTTGGCACATCAGTTGGCAGTTCCCAAGGGGGTTTCTGTGATCCAACCCATCACCCCCCGAACTGCAACCCTCTGCCCCTGCCCTCAGCCCCCCCAAACCTGGAGCACCCTCATCCCTGGCCCCACCCCAGAGCCCTCACCCCCTCCCATACCCCAACCCCCTGCCTCAACCTGCAGCCCTCTCCTGCATTCCAAATTCCTCGGCCCCACCCCCCAGACTGGAGTCCCCTCTGAGCACCAAAGCCCTCATCCCTGGCCCCACCCCAGAGCTTGCCCCACAGCCCAGAGCTCTCACACCCCCACACCCCAACCCCTTCCCCAGCCCTGAGCCCCCCCAAACCCAGAGCCCCCTCCTTCACCCCAAACCCCTCATCCCTGGTTCCACCCCAGAGCCTGCACCCCCAGCCCAGAGTCCTCACCCCCCCGTACCGCAATCCTCTACTGCAGCCCAGAGCCCCCTCCCACAAGTCTGAATCCCTCGGCCCCACCCCCCAGCCTGGAGCCCCCTCCTGCACCCCAAACCCCTTATCCTCGGCCCCATCCCAGAGCCAGCACCCCCAGCCCAGAACCCTCACCCCCTCCCACACCCCAACTCCCTGCCTCAACCTGAAGCCCCCTCCCCATCCCCCAGTCTGGAGCCCCCTCCTGCACCCCAATCCCCTCATCCCCAGCCCCCCCAAGCCTGCACCCCCAGCCGGAGCCCTCACCCCCTCCTGCACCACAAGCCTCTACCCCAGCCTAGTGAAAGTGAGTGACAGTGGGGGAGAGCGAGCCACTGAGGCACGGGGAATGTAGTGAGTGGGGGTGGGGCCTCAGGGAAGGGGGCGGGGCCTCAGGAAGTGGAGGGGTTAGGGTGTTCAGTTTTGTGCAATTAGAAAGTTGGCAACCCTATCTTCATCTAGACTCCACAAATGTGAATTTGAGTAAGTCTACAATAGGGTTAGCTGGAAGAAAAATGTGGTTCCCTCTGTTTGTGCTCTTCTCAAAATCTCTGCCTTGATCTTGCTCCTCCCTCATGAAGGTCATGGTCTGCCTGCTGAGTATCTGTCCTAGCATTTTGTGGGGTCTCCTCTCTCTCTTTAGTCAGGGTAAAGGTTCCATGGGCAAGCAGGGCAGAAGAGATCTGCATTAGAATGAACTAGACCTGTTCTGCAGTCAATACAGCATTTCAAGTGCCATTCTGATCCTGATGCCAGCAAACAATTTGACATGGAGATACTTAAAACATCATAATGAAGAGCAGCAGCAGCTCAGATTCTAGTCTAGTAGCTCCACAAAGAAGAGAGAATATAGTGCAGGACCCAGGCAATGCCATCAGGAATTATATAGGTTTATTAAGACATAGAAGGTCAAACTAAAGCTGTGCTAGGAGGGTGAATGAGGCAGCAGAAGTGCCTAAGTGGGAGTTAGTGGAGACATTATGCAGTACTAGAGGGGTTCCTCCTGAACTCATGGAAACAGCCATATTATGGTTACCTCTTACATAGGAGTATTGGTTGGAAAAAGGCTCCCTTGTATGATCTCTCCCATCCTTAATGCAACCTTCATTTGGCATATTCAAAAAAAATCAACACACTTCAAAATTTCACTGACCATGTGCTCATCACATGCATAATTTTTATCATATTCTCTATATACACACAAACCCACTTTTATGCATCTCTGTGTCTGATGTGTGACGAACAACTACAATGATTGCTCAACAATGAACTCACTCACACATGATGGTGATGGATCCTTAAGATTACAGTTAAGATACAATTTATTACTAAAAACAGCTCAATTGCAATTGTCAAAAGACCCAAAATGATTCATCACAAAATTAAACTGACATAACAACAATCATTTTGGATCACTGGTAGTAATTGCACGACAATCATACAATAGATATGAAAGGTGGTTATTTTATTCACTCAGTCACCTAGGCCTCCTCAGTGGAATATTACTTTAAATGTGTACATTACAAAATTATGTTCAATTGAATTGTCTAAAACTGTTAGTTGTCAGCCCCAATAGCTTCTAAAAACTGCATGTTTGTACAGATATGCTACAGTAGCAGCATATGTTAGAAATAGTTTATCACCGGGCAGCAAGGAGGGAATATGTTTCAACAAAAAACAGTTTTAAGATGTGTTCTTTTGAATGTTTTGATCTTTGGTAAAGGAGATACTCTATTTTTACAATTTACTGAGCTATTGTGGTTTATGTTCAGTGCTGAGGCAGTAAATGATTGATATGTGGTTTATAAACTTGAAATATATTCTCAGAATTTATTGATCTACGAAGTTGTAGACAGTGACTACTCAATAGTCTAACTATACCTGAAGAGGTTAAAATTTTATTTCCCTTACCTGACATATCTGCTGAGTCTCCTGTAATGGAAAAGCAGCAGAAAAATAATTAGATCAGAAATAAGATAAGGGTTCAAGAAAATATATGCTACAAAAAGTGTAATTTCTTACCACACACCCTGAGGTCATCTTCTTGCACTACAGCAGTACCAATACTGCTATTATAGTTAAAGTTGAACAAATATTGATGTCTGAAGTCTAAGTGGTTTCAGTCACATTTGGAATACAAATGGCTAGCATGAATGTATTTTGTCTTCAACTGTGTGAGTTATAAAATGTACAAATGTCACTTGAGTCTACACTTGAGTCCTTCTCTGCCTAGCTCTAAATTAATAGCATTTTTTACATGTTTCAGGCATGCTAACCAATTAAGTAAATAAATGCCCAGAGGGAAATAATGTTTGAGATGGTATATTAATAAAGGACCTGATCCTGACATGTACTGAACCCCCTCTATTCCCATTTACTTCAGTAGAAGGGATAGGTGATCAGCATTACACAGGAACACGCCCAAATTAGAGAAGCAATTAAGCATTCTGCATAACATAACGGATTTAGCATCATCATAAAACATTGCAATGAGATATTCTGATGTCAAAACTATTTCAATGCAAGTCTAGAGAGACTCCGCTACCCTGCCATTACAATTTGAAAACACATTAAAGTAATATTTCTGTAAATCTTTGGAGACTGCATTATGTCAAAACTATGCTGATGCAAGTTATAACACTGTTAAAAATAACAAAAGCAAATAAGTATAGTAAAATAACCTTAATGCCAGTGTAAAGCTTTAAAAATTGTTTTGCTTAGAAAAAATGTTTATTTTATCTTTTTTTTTAAAAAAATTCTCCCCCCCCCGCCATTTATTTACTGGGATTATTTGCATGGAAACAATTTTATTTATGTGGAGTCATCTGTTCCTGCTCTTTATTCCTCAATCCAGGTTATAAAACAAGGTTGAAGTTGTTCTATTATTCGCTGCTTTACAGAATGCTTATGGGACAAATAAGCATTAAAAGTGTCTTATGTTTCCTCCTGGGTGAAGAAGCACAGAGGGAAACAAAATAAGCAAAGAACCATAGCTTTTGGAGTGTCATTGCATTCCTCCCACCCCATTCTGCATTCTTTGAGTAAACCTTTTAAAAAATGTTCAAAATCTAATCGCAATATTTCAGTTTTTTCAAAAGATGTTTTATTCAACCTGAAACACGTTTTATTTTTTTTTCTTTTCAATTTGCCAGAAATTTTGAAAAATTTTTGTTTTCAGTCCAACATGAAATGTTTTCCCAACTTTTCAAAATTCCCAGTGAACAGAAAACAGCTGTTATTTTCCATTATTTTCCCAGCTCTTCTTAGCAGTAACTTCAGTACAAACTTTTGTAGAGAAATAAAAATATATTCCTGTTAAGTCAATCTGGTTCCTACATTTTCTAAACTCTCAGACATTCAATATGTGCTATTATTTGCTGAGAAACATTAAAAGATATGCAACATATGTTTGGGTTGTGGAATTGACAGAGGACTGCATTGTGCTGCAACGTCTAGACACAATAGTGTTGATATAAGAGTACTGTTGTAAGGATTTCTTTTTTTGTGTGTGATCTCACATATCAACTTTAATGTCATTTTAATATATATTTGTTTATACTAAAATCTAGATTATCTAGAGCAGGGGTTCCTAAACTTGGCTCGTGGCTTGTTCAGGGTAAGCAGTAGCCTGGCCTGCAGCACTTCCCGCAGCTCCCACTGGCCAGGAATGGCGAACTGCAGCCACTGGGAGCTGCGAGTGGCCGTACCTGTGGATGCTCAGGTACACAAAGTGTCTCGTGGCCCGCCAGGGGTTTACCCTGAACAAGCCACGAACTGAGCTTGGGAACCCCTGATCTGGAGGGAAACACTCATTACTGCTTTGGCTCTGTTTGGAAGGTTAAAACCATTTACTATGAGCACTGTAGTTGTAGATACTGTAAACCTGTATCATGAGATAATATTACATAAATTCACAACTATTTTTCCATTTAAGATAAAAATGCAGGCCACTGTTTAATTAAATGTTTTTCATTTGTCTCCCTTTCATCAACAGACTACTGTTGAGTTGGTTGGAAAGACTGTTTATGATGATGTCCTAGAACAAATCAGGAGATTAAATGAAAGTACAGACGAATTTAAATGGGGCTCAAAATTTCCAAAATTACTTTCTGATAACTCTCCAAGCAAAATATAGGCTTTGGCTTCCTAAGCCTCTCAATAATTTTTGTTTAATTTTATTAAATTACACACTAGAAAAAAATAAAGAGGACAGGTAACTGAGTAACACTCATACAAACGGAGATAGCATAATCAAATAATCTTTATGTTTTATTCATGAACTCAAATGACCCTAATGTCATGCTTATATGTTAATTTCATTTTAAAAAAATACAAACATACCTACTTGGCCAGTTGCCACAAGGTTGGTAAACTTGGGGTGCTGATTTACAGTGAGGCACAGAATATCATCATTATGTTCCTGGTAAAAAGACTGAGAGCCTAAAATAAAAATACAAAAAATTAATATGTTTGTTAAAACATTTATGCATATATGGCAATGATTAAATTTGAAAAAATGTTCTAATATTTAATAGAGAATGGCCTTATGATGACATAATATTCTACATTCAGAGCTTGGAGCTACGAATCACTAAATTCTAAATCTGGATTTGATATATACTTCTCAATGATATTGGACAAGTCCCTTAACCTCTCTCTCTCAGCTTTCTCATTAGGAGTATTGTGATAATGGATCAAATTTGTCCCTCGTGTAACAGCACAGACTTCATTGTTGTTACATCCACTATTGATATGGACCATTAATACTTATTTCCCTACCCCACAGGGTTGCTGTTTGATCATTAGTTCGTATTTATAATGTATTTTGAAGATGAAAAGCAGTAAATAATTGTAGTATGTCTCACTTTAATAAATACTTTTGAAAACATTCCATGCTTTAGATTAAAATTCTTACCATAAACATAACAAAGCTTTTAAAAATATACACCTGAGTAAATAATACATTTTTTGAAAACAAACCATCAGTGCACCAAAAGATAAATTGCTATGGAAAATTTACTTTATAAAATTAATACACATGCTAATATATTTTCTGTGTCCTTTGTCAAAATATATTCTTTTAAAAACAGTTGAGTCATCTTAAATGAGCTCCTGTTCAAGGAACTGTGCTCCGCAAATGCTGATATGACAGAAAGTCTCCTGTTCTGACCACAAGCCCTAAATTGTCAATGCCCCCAGATGTGCTCCCCAACTTATTGAAGAGGCATCAGTGATTATGGTCATGGTTGGTGGAGGATGAGCAAAGGGAAAACCCTGGTGTACATTGCTCTGAACTGCCCAGCACTGTAAGAAGTCCAAGGCTATCCAGCGATTGACAACTTGGGCAATAGACCAATTTCACCTACGCTGGAAGAGGATGAAAGCACAATCTTGCATGCTGAACTCCAAAAGTGCACGCAGACATATGGCCTAGTAACTTCAGGCATACACAGACCATAACTGAAGGTGGAGATTGGAATGCCAGCCACAGGTGACAAATTGCTTGAAATCATTCGTTCGGCAGAAAGATTCTTGAACTTACAGAGTTTAGTGGGGCCCCAGTTTTCCGAGGTCGATTTTTTGAGTTGGTTTTACTGTTGATTTTCCTTTGATCAAAATCAGACCCAGATGACTGAAGAGATGTAGAGTGAATAGGACATGAAAGAGGACTTATCCTCTGTCACTCCCTAACCGATTGTCCAGGTATGGGAACACATGAATTCCTCTTTTCTCTGAGATATACTACTACTACTACTATCATCATGTATTTGGTAAATACCCATGGAGTGGAGGACAGGCAAAAGGGAAGCACAGCATACTGATAATGCTGACCTTCCACTACAAATCTTAGAAACTGTCTGTAACTTGGGAAAATTACCACATGGAAGTTAAGAGTCCTGAAGAATGAGGGTGGCAAACCAGTCATTGTGATTCAAGGCAAGGGAGAACAGTCACTAGGGTAACCATGCGGAATTTCATGTATTTGTTGAGGCTGTGGAGGCTGAGGATAGGTCTCATATCTCTCTTGGACTTGGAGATCAGGAAATACCATGAGTAGAATTCCCTTGCCCAGTTCTGAAGAGGAACCTCTTTCATCACACCCAAAACCCAGACAGTCTGCATCTGCTGAAGGAGCAGACAGTCATGAGAGGGGTCTATGGAAAGGAATGGAGTAGGAGGGTGAGAAGAGGAATGGACAGGAACTGAAGGCATAACCCAATCCCACAGTGCTCAGGACCCACTTGTCCATAGTTACTGACTCCCAAGACCTGTAGAAGTAGGATAGCTTATCCCCAAATGTAGGAGAATGGCTTGAAGCCTGCCGACTGTAATGCTGGCTTCGGAGAGCGAGTCAAATTAGCTGCATACCCAAAACTGATGAAAAACAGGCTGACTGGTTAAAATTGGGACTAGAAGATCTCTTATAAGACTTGAGCCCCTTCCTGGAAAAGTCTTGCTGCCTAGCAAGACAATTCAACCTAAAGAACCACTGAAGACAATAATGCTGCTTAAGTTGTTGCCCTGGAAAGTGATGCCTCTTTAATGCTGGTGTTAAAATCTCCAGCAAATGCATCATAGCTCATTTTTCAAGGAATGTAACATTTTGTCATTTCCAAAAGCTGACCATAGTGATATTTTTGCCTCTAGTCACCTTTTACAATGAACTCTTAAACTCTTCTCTGGAGGATTCTGGCAACTTATCTATAAATTTTGCCATTGTTTCCCACTTTGGAAAGTCATACTTTGATAAAAGTGCCTGGTGACTGGCAATGAGCATTTGTAAGGATGCGGCAGAATAAATTTTCCCAAACAAGTCCAATCTTTTAGAGTCCCTGTCCTTTGGTGTCAACTTATCTCTCCCCCATCTTAACCTCTCATTAGCTGCTCTTACAACAAGAGACTTAGGCGCTGTATGTGAGTAGAAGCACCCAAAAAACTATTCACAAGCATGTGGTATCTTTTATTTGCATGCTTCATTGTGGGTGTAAGGAAGCTGGGTGTTAGGATCTTTGCCGTTTCCAAGATTGCTTCATTTATGGAGAAAGTCACTCTCCCTGGAGCTGAGGATTGGAGAATATCCATCAATTTATGGGTGTTCTCCTGAGAAAACTTGGCCTGAATACCCAAGGCTGAACGATTTAAAATCCTCAGGTACAGGGGAGGAAAAATCATAGAATCATAGAATATCAGGGTTGGAAGGGACCTCAGGAGGTCATCTAGTCCAACCCCCCTGCTCAAAGCAGGACCAATCCCCAACTAAATCATCCCAGCCAGGGCTTTGTCAAGCCTGACCTTAAAAACCTCTAAGGAAGGAGATTCTACCACCTCTCTAGGTAACGCATTCTAGTGTTTCACCACCCTCCTAGTGAAAAAGTTTTTCCTAATATCCAACCTAAACCTCCCCCACTGCAACTTGAGACCATTACTCTTCGTTCTGTCATCTGCTACCACTGAGAACAGTCTAAATCCATCCTCTTTGGAACCCCCTTTCAGGTAGTTGAAAGCAGCTATCAAATCCCCCCCTCATTCTTCTCTTCCGCAGACTAAACAATCCCAGTTCCCTCTGCCTCTCCTCGTAAGTCATGTGTTCCAGTCCCCTAATCATTTTTGTTGCCCTCTGCTGGACGTTTTCCAATTTTTCCACATCCTTCTTGTAGTGTGGGGCCCAAAACTGGACACAGTACTCCCGATGAGGCCTCACCAATGTCGAATAGAGGGGAACGATCATGTCCCTCGATCTGCTGGCAATGCCCCTACTTATACATCCCAAAATGCCATTGGCCTTCTTGGCAACAAGGGCACACTGTTGACTCATATCCAGCTTCTCGTCCACTGTCACCCCTTAGGTCCTTTTCTGCAGAACTGCTGCCTAGCCATTCGGTCCCTAGTCTGTAGCGGTGCATGGGATTCTTCCGTCCTAAGTGCAGGACTCTGCACTTGTCCTTGTTGAACCTCATCAGATTTCTTTTGGCCCAATACTCTGATTTGTCTAGGGCCCTCTGTATCCTATCCCTACCCTCCAGCATATCTACCTCTCCTCCCAGTTTAGTGTCATCTGAAAACTTGCTGAGGGTGCAATCCACACCATCCTCCAGATCATTTATAAAGATATTGAACAAAACCGGCCCCCGGACCGACCCTTGGGGCACTCCACTTGATACTGGTTTCCAACTAGACATCGAGCCATTGATCACTACCTGTTGAGCCTGACAATCTAGCCAGCTTTCTATCCACCTTATTGTCCATTCATCCAGCCCATACTTCTTTAACTTACTGGCAAGAATACTGTGGGAGACCGTGTCAAAAGCTTTGCTAAAGTCAAGGAACAACACATCCACTGCTTTCCCCTCATCCACAGAGCCCGTTATCTCGTCATAGAAGGCAATTAGATTAGTTAGGCATGACTTGCCCTGGGTGAATCCATGCTGACTGTTCCTGATCACTTTCCTCTCCTCTAAGTGCTTCAGAATTGATTCCTTGAGGACCTGCTCCATGATTTTTCCAGGGATTGAGGTGAGGCTGACTGGCCTGTAGTTCCCAGGATCCTCCTTCTTCCCTTTTTTAAAGATGGGCACTACATTAGCCTTTTTCCAGTCATCCAGGACCTCCCCCGATCGCCATGAGTTTTCAAAGATAATGCAATCACATCCGCCAACTCCTTTAGCACTCTTGGATGCAGTGCATCCGGCCCTATGGACTTGTGCTTGTCCAGCTTTTCTAAATAGTCCCGAACCACTTCTTTCTTCACAGAGGGCTGGTCACCTCCTCCCCATGCTGTGCTGTCCAGTGCAGCAGTCTGGGAGCTGACCTTGTTCGTGAAGACAGAGGCAAAAAAAGCATTGAGTACATTAGCTTTTTCCACATCCTCTGTCATTAGGTTGCCGCCCTCATTCTGTAAGGGGCCCACACTTTCCTTGACTTTCTTCTTGTTGCTAACATACCTGAAGAAACCCTTCTTGTTACTCTTAACATCTCTTGTTAGCTGCACCTCCAGGTGTGATCTGGCCTTCCTGATTTCACTCCTGCATGCCCGAGCAATATTTTTATACTCTTCCCTGGTCATTTGTCCAATCTTCCACTTCTTGTAAGCTTCTTTTTTGTGTTTAAGATCAGCAAGGATTTCACTGTTAAGCCAAGCTGGTCGCCTGCCATATTTACTATTCTTTCTACACATCGGGATGGTTTGTCCCTGTAACCTCAATAAGGATTGTTTAAAATACAGCCAGCTGTCCTGGACTCCTTTCCCCCTCCTGTTATTCTCCCAGGGAATCCTGCCCATCAGTTCCCTGAGGTTGTCAAAATCTGCTTTTCTGAAGTCCAGGGTCCGTATTCTGCTGCTCTCCTTTCTTCCTTGTGTCAGGATCCTGAACTCGACCATCTCATGGTCACTGCCTCCCAGGTTCCCACCCACTTTTGTTTCCCCTACTAATTCTTCTCAGTTTGTGAGCAGCAGGTCAAGAAGAGCTCTGCCCCTAGTTGGTTCCTCCAGCACTTGCACCAGGAAATTGTCCCCTACACTTTCCAAAAACTTCCTGGATTGTCTGTGCACCGCTGTATTGCTCTCCCAGCAGATATCAGGGTGATTGAAGTCTCCCATGAGAACCAGGGCCTGCGATCTAGTAACCTCCGTTAGTTGCCAGAAGAAAGTCTCATCCACCTCATCCCCCTGGTCCGGTGGTCTACAGCAGACTCCCACCATGACATCACCATTGTTGCTCACGCTTCTAAACTTAATCCAGAGACTCTCAGGTTTTTCTGCAGTTTCATACTGGAGCTCTGAGCAGTCATACTGCTCTCTTACACACAATGCAACTCCCCCACCTTTTCTGCCCTGCCTGTCCTTCATAAAAAGTTTATATCCATCCATGACAGTACTCCAGTCATGTGAGTTATCCCACCCAGTCTCTGTTATTCCAATCACATCATAATTCCTTGACTGTGCCAGGACTTCCAGTCCTCCCTGGTACCATAAAGTTGTCTGGCAACGAAGAAGGAGGAGGAAGCAGAGCCCATGGAATCTCCTGTGGCACCTGTAACAATGGTTCAGGCTGAACCAGCAATTCTGGAGCAACTACTGTCTGTGGCTATAGTGATGGAGGTTCAGGAAGAGAGGCTACTGGAGGAATAGGTGACCTCATTCTGGACTGAGGAATATCACAAGGAGGCCACTGTGGGTAGGGTTACAGCACTGGTGGCCAGTAAGATCTGGGTCACAGACTTCTATCTCTATTAAGGGATGACCCTGGAGATGGCAGATATACTGACCATGCATTTGCAGAGAAGAAGTGGAGCTTTTCTTATACTAAGCAAAAGATATGATAAGATGCATGTTTTTCTAGGATATTGTAATGCTTCTGGTACACTATTGACCTAAGAATAGTGCTTCCCAAATTCAAACCACCAGGCAAATTGCCTGTATTGTCAAAACACAGATCATGATAGGGAATAATAAGCCCTTTGAAAGTCTAAGTCTATCGTTTAACAGTAATACTTGGGGTAGTTGGTGAACTAACATACATAGTATGGGAGGACTGAGATGTGAAATGCTAGTTTAACAAATGAAGACATAAAAATAGTCCCAATAATGTTTTTAAAACCTCTTTCAAACATTTCTAAAACAGTTTTTCCGTAACATATACCGAAAACATGAAACTGTTATGCGGGTCAAAGGTTTTATTGGCACGTGTTTTGGATGATCTGTGTAACTAAGTAACGTGGCCACTCAAAAGCATTCACTTGCTCATGTCATATTTAACAAAAGCCAACGAAAATCATAGCAAATGCATTTCTATACTGTCTTTACTTTATTCATTTTTTTAATTTTGAGGGGCAGAGAGATGAATTCAAAGGTCCCACAGAAGTTTTCACTGTACATTTTATTATATATCCACGTGTGTTTAAGGCACTTTCTGTACACATTCCAACTGGCTGTCATTTTGGATTACTTTAGAGAAAATTGCTTGCAGCAATGCTGAAATTTTAAATGTATTAAATTCAAACTAAAATGAAACATTTTAGGTCTCATGAGCAATTATCAAAACTTGGTCCGTGCTAGTTCCTGCAGCTGGAACAGAAAAATTGAGACTTTAATTTTAGTTTTGAAATTCCTCTTTGACTACAGACCTAACCCAAAATAGTGTATTAAAAGTAAAGCTTAGGAAAATTTGAACAGTAGCAGCACACATCATCCCTTTTGATAGGAGAGAACCTAAGATGGCAACCATAACCTGGAAGGTTCAACAGGACACTGTGATATGTCTCACAGCATCACAGTGACAAAATTGCAACGCCTCCTAAATTACAGATTCTTTGGCAGTATATTGCTGTCAGCTGAGAATGTGAAGACAATTACTTTTTGAACACACATGATGCTGGTACATGGAGAGGGAGTACGACTGAGTTACGAAAATTGGTATTGAAATAACTGGATTCTTATACCTCCCTCCAAATATTATCCTCACAGGGATTTATTCAGATCTTTTTTTTTACTACATAGCATGAATAATACAGATCACACACTCTCTGATAGCATTTTAGCTAGATTTTCTTCCGTAAATCATTATTTTGCAATTTTTCCAGACAGCACTAAGATTTTAAGTATACTGGTTATCACATGGGTGTTGCCTGTACACATGAGCAGAGAAATTTTCCGAAGTAGTTTTTCCTACCTGTTGCCACGTTATACAGAATCCCAACAGATGCAGTATGATAAATTATATCAGCCCCATCATTCAGATAGTGAACATTGTTCCTGCAGTCCTTGCCTCGGTATCCAAATACCAGCTCCAACACTAGATCCTAAGAAAACAGATTTAAGTCTATTAAATACTTTAAAACTTCTTATGAATAAAGATTTCCTAGTGCTTTATTTTTTAAACATGTGTACTTGCCTATATTCACAGGAAAAATGAATTTTTAATGATGGCCAAAAACATCTGAGACTAATCTGCTGCCTACTACACCAGTATATCATATTTTCCCCGTATCTCATGCTATACCTTTTGATGGATGTTAATGGAAACAAATTTTTCACAAAAGATAGTATACACAGCCTCATCAGGCAAAAATAATGTAACTCTTGATATACAAGATGCTAGGACACAAGTATGAATAGTATTCTTCACCAGCTTCATATTCCCATAGTCTACCTGATGTTGAGCTTGGAGGACTAGGGGAATTGGAATGCTGAAATTCATGCCTAAAAATTCCCAAAGAGTCATGGCAAAATACTACATAGTATGCCAAATATTTTCTTTAATATTAATTAATAATCTATATTTCTAATATGGTGAGAAAATTATTTAATATTTATATTACAATAGCATTCAGATGCCTAATGATGATCAGGGTCCTACTGTGCTTGACAATGACACAGATGAAGACACACTCCCAAATTTAAAGCACTTACAATTTAAGCAAACAAGTCACATCTGAAAAGGTGAAGGGATGGGGTACAGTCAAACACAGAATTAAAAAACAAAAACAAAAGTCATATGCACTGGGGGGAGGGGGGAGAGAAAGAGAGAGAAAATATTAATTAAGGCCCCAAATCCTACAATCAGATCTAACTGCAGGATTGGGGTCTAATGCTACCTAACCCTAAAAGCATCATTAATTGGCCATTACTTACAAGCTTCAGAAGAGATTTATTTTGAATTTGAGTTTTAAAGGAGAAGATGGTAGTGAAGAGTTCAGGTGAATTTACAGATGGGTTCAGGGAGGGTATTTCATGCATAAAGGGGAGAGATAAATTTACTGCATTCCTCTGAATAAATTTCAGAATTAAAGGTAATTTGTTTATCTGGTTTAGTAACCTACTGGTAATACAATGCATGGCCACATGGAAAAATCAGAGTTCTGGCCAAGTGTGATATTATACTGATACCCTACACTCACCCAAGAGGGACTCCATACCACATAGGCTGAATGTGCTGTTTCTGTAACTGATAGACTCTGAAGAAAGCTGTGGCTCAGACACATTTGTGGGGTGGGGTGACAATGGACCTTTCAGGGATCAAAAGAAAAATGAAAGATAAAAGATCCTAAAGGATTCCCTCCCCAAAAAAGAAATTTGCTGCTGTATTCATACACGCTATTAACTATTTCTCTCTTTATACTAACTTTACCATATACAACCATTCACTTTATTGATAAGCAAATCATTTTTGGACAAAATAGTTAAAAAAATGGGATTAAGGGAATGTTAAAATAGAAAAAAAGATGTCTGTGGTTTTCCTTACCTCTATCGGTCTCTTTTTTTTGCCAACGTTATTTGTCTGAAGTTTTTCAGGCTGTGGCAGTGCCCTACTAACTGGTGGTCTGAAATAGAGAACTGTGAATAAGAAAAGGCTGTCTGTCACCTATTCTGTACTAGAAGAGTATAATCTAATCTGTTATCTGGATAGGGAAAACTGTTAAATCACTATGTTGCTTAAATTGTCATAAAGAAAAAAGACCACTGTGAAAAGAATAGCCGTCTCTGATTGCAGAAGTGTCACAATTTATATTGATCAACTTGATAAGTTTTTGACAATTCTGAAAGTATCTATTAGGTCAATTCAAAGTCTTATTTTCCAATAAGAATGAGCCAAACATTCTTAACTTCTAACAGCATATTCTTTCTCCATGTACTTCCCTTTCAATGCAATAATTATTGTTGGATGACCCACAAAAGTTTAGAGGCTTGCCTGAACTATCTAAACTCATTTAAGGTTGTCCCACCCTTTCCCACAACTTCAAACAGACCCCAGTTATCTCCCCACCTCCTTTCCTACATTCCTTCAATAGACCCTAGATACCCACATCTCTTCCTACAACTGTAAAAGTCTCTGCTGAGCCCTGGGCACCTCTGATACAGTTCAGGTCAGTTCTTGATTGAATAAATAGAAATTAGAGATAGAAAAGACCTATTAACATCCAGCCCATCTCCTTGCAAATGCATGTTTGCTTTTATATCCTTACAGTATATGTTCTAGTGTTCTGGTTAGTCTAGTTTTAAGTTGTTCAAGCAATGTGCTTCCATCATTTCACTAGGAAAATAATAATTTGATCAAAATTTGTTTGCTTATCTTTTTAAATATTTGTAATATTTATATATTGTAGACAATATATATGGTTTCAGTCACAAAGGACAATAAAACATGTATTTAAAAACTCAGGAAAATAAATATATTTTATTGACCAAATTTATGTAAGTATTGCTAGCAAATTTGCAAGAGCAATAGTAGCTGATTCTAGATAAAATGTTCAGTTGTTAAAAAAAATCTTTTAAACTAAACTATCAGAAAAAGTAGTATTCATTCAAAATTGGGGATTTAACAAGTCTTTGTGAAGTCTAAATTATTTAACTCAGCTGAGTTTGTAAGAGAGTTAGTTATCCATCATTCCTTGTCGTTGAAAGGAAAAGCTACAATAGATCATAACTCTTGGAGACAATGCCCGCAGAACATGACTGGCAGGAAACTTGTAATTTGAGTATTTTGCAGGCAGCAATCCTATCTAGGATACAGATCACAAAAGGTGCCCACTGATTGGGGCATGGAACATACTAGTTTTTCTACCAGCTTGTTTTTCAAGTGAAAGCTAGAAAAAGATTAAGGAATGCAAATATGTATCTTCAACTCTGTTGGGAAGGTTGGTGGCTGGAAAGCTATTACAGTTTTTACTCTCAGAAACTCATAATACAGTATTTTTTCTTCCTTAAAGGCATCAGCAGCATTAGAATCTCTTGCTACTGTGAACTGATGGTGGGGACAGAGGAGGGAGAGGGACAGCTGTTGACCACACCCCCTTGGACCTAGCACTGTGGCCCCAGTGTCCTATGTTTCTCTCTGTGGCCATGATATGGAGCAGGAGCCTCCCAACTTCTGAGTGCAGGGATAAAGAGACAGAGGCAGGCTGGGTCAGTATCCCCCCTCAATCACCTCTTAGACTTTGCACAAGGTGCCATCAGTCCACAAGGTTTTTGTTGGCAGTTCCTTCCTTTTCTATAAATTTTCAAAACCTTTATCTAGTTCCCTAATTTCAGCTATTATTTCTATACTAATAGCTCCCAAATCTACCTATCTATCCCTAACCTCCAACCCTCTGACATTCTTGCATCTCCAACTTTCCTCAAACATCTCCTCCTGCGCTTGTACTTAATATATTCAAACTAAACTTCCCAATTTTCCTAACCCCTTTCCATGTCCTCCCTTCTCTACTGGTGATGATACCTATACTTTACTTTCCCAGGCTTGGAAGATTGCTGTGAAGTTTCACTCTTCTCTCTCCTTCTCTCCCATATTTGGGTTTTTCTTTAATTCATGTTAATTCTTTCTCTGTTGTATTATTTTAAAAAATTATATTGCTGTTGTCTTACTGTTTTGTACATGGCAAGCTCTCTGATAATGAACACTTTCACCTGATATTTGTAAAGTACCTTATATATTTACAACACTAATACAATAATATAATCACTAAATATGATAACGCATATTACACAAGACTGCTGTATTTTTTATTTTACTATCCAATTAAACCAAAAAAGTCCCTGGCAATTCATGCAATTTTTACCCATTTTACACATGTTAGTGCTGGGATATAATTCATCTTCACAAAATAACAGATATTCTTTAACAAATTTATGCTTTTTCAGGGATAAATCAATGTTTTACTGTGAGAAAAAAAATTTTTTAATCACTTTTGTTCTACACTCTTTTCATAGATGTACAATTTCCATTTAGGCACAAAAGCAATCAATATCTTGCATGCAAAATAGATGTCTCTCCAGGTCCACATTAGACCCTTCAGAACTATGCCTTTGACCAAACCCCAAACATGTGTCTCATCTAGGATGTATAATGGATTATATTATTTGTTTATTGGAATATTATGAAAACATATAAATCAAACAAGATGTAAATATATTTAAAATATACAACATAAATAAAACCATTGGAAATATTACATTGTTAAAGATACAAATTATATTGCCACTAAATTCCTGTCAGAGAAATAGTCATTTAGGGTGGGATTTTCAAAAGCATCTAAATTATATAGGAACACAGATCCCACCCTTAGTTGTTTAATCAGCTGCTTCCAAACAGCCCAGCTCCAATTATATCTGCTGAAAAAAATCAGACAACCTGTACAACTCTTTTAATCGAAAAGATCGCATGTCAATGCCTTCTTTTTTTCTTTTTTTTTTTTTTAAATAAAACAGCCTTAGTTTTCAGTTGTAAATAGTTAACTAACATTATTATTCTGGAAATAGCTACACTGACCTCTAAAATATTATCCATTTCAGATTTATTGGCTGTACATGTCTGAAAAACATTAGTTGATATTTAATAACTTCTAGTCCTAAAAATCTCTGAAGTGAGATAGTAAAATGTTATCCAGCTTTACACCCAATTCTTTACTTTATGTGATCAAGAGTCCCTGAAGAAGAGAGGTGATTAAAAATGAAATTGAAAACAAGTTTGATAGCACAATACTATATTATTTCAGGGGTAAGAACTGCATTCACTATATGAATGGAAAGAACTGACATCTTAAAACCAGTATGATAAATGATACTGAGAGTACTTAATCAAGATTTTACTACCTGCAGGTTATTCACTGGAATTATAATTAAGGTACTGTATTTCCTTTGATATCTCCATAACCTTCTGGGCACTTGTACAGATATTTATTAGTAATTACGGATTACATATAAATAAGTTCATTCATTTCAATGTCACACCTTAAAGATGTATTATAAACTAAATATCATTAATCTACTTTCCTGTTTGCTTAGATAAAATGAATATGGCTGACTATTCTATCATCAGAATAAAAGTACCTTTCTCCTTTTAAAAAGGATAAGTATGAATGATGTCAGAGTTCTGTAAATTAGAAGACTACTTACCAGCAATTCTTGTTAGTTGTAGTAACCTTGTCTACCATCCTATCATGTTGGATTAAAGGACAGACGCATTATGGTGCCACCTACTGGAAGCAGGGATGCAAAGAGTTTTGAAACCCCATACCTGACCACACAGCTTTAGCCAGAAAATGCTCCCACCAGTTAAAAAAACTTCCACAGCCATAGAAAAGGACACAGTATACAAACCAGTGAGAGAGATGATAAACAAGCACCAGAGCAGAGAATGGAGGGATGCAGGGAGAGAGAACAGAAGACTCCGATAAACAGAATTACTGTTAAGTAATTTTCTGTTGTTATATGCCTGTCTTCTCCAATCCTACATCAGTGGATAGAATGACAGAAATGTAGCAAGTAGTAAACCCAGGAAGCGGGGCTACCATATTGTTCTGCTAGCAGGACCCTTTGTCCAAAAGAGACTATCTGAGAAGCAGAGAGGCCTAGCTAATAGCGACATAAAAAAAGGAATAGAGACAACCACGTTGCCACATCATACACTTGGGAAATGACTGCTCCAGCAATCACTGACCAAGACGTGAAGACTTCCCTTGCCAAATGTCATCTGACAAACTCAGGACAAGGCTGCCAGTCCGGGCATAATCTGTGAGAATGCAGGCTTGGACCTACCTAACAAAAGTGACTTCAGATGCAGCCTTGCCCTTGTTACAACCCTCAAAACAGAGTAGCAGTTGTTTTGGCTTTCTAAACTCATGAGAATGAGAATTTCGTTTTTGAAATGTTCAACAAATGAAACTTCTTCTCATAGGGGCTGGGATGCAATACTGGATTTGGAGGGAGCAAGAAGAATAATGGCTGATTTTTCTTCATAGGGAATCCATCTTGGGAACAAAGGAAGGCTGAAAAAATCTTTCTGGTAAGAACGGGCAAATATGAGAGAGAGAGAGAGATCAACCTGTACATCTAGCTGAGATCACTGCAATAAGGAACACCATTTTAAAGAAAAGAAGTCTGCCTTAAGGCCCAAATGAGGGTTGAATCAGAGCTTGCAAGATGAGGAGCAAGTTTGAGATCTTACTTGAGTACCAATAGAAAAAAATCCCAAAGATCCTGGAGCAAGAAAAGTAGGAAACAGGATAGCCCTCTGATGTCAAACCAGGCCAGGAAGACTTTTCAGACCTAAGAGTAAGAAAAAGAAGCACCTTTTCCACCCTCCAGACAGTGCCATGTCAGCAGAGAAACCTTCTTTTCAGAAGTGGCTCCCTTCAACTTAAATGCAGTCAGCCTAAGGTGGAAGTGGTTGCAGAGCAGAGTCATGAAGGGACCAGGTCAACAATTACAACTGTTTCATCCTGCCTGGCTTTCCTCAGTACCTTGAGTAGCAGAGGAAGCAGCATCTCAATACAACTCTATGCGAGGCATCACAAAAACGGTGAGGGACTGGGATAAGAGAACT